TCCTGCTATCAAGAAGTAATCTTTTGCATTTCGTTTGGAAAACATTTCTAATGTAAGATTAAATTTTTCTATAAATCGAAGTAGTCTCGAAAAATTTTCACATTTGTAATAATAATGGTTTCCCAGAAAATGTTGCAGATAAAATTTTTAGAAAACAAGTTTGTTACATATTTGATTCGTTCCTGTATGTATTTTATCTACTCAAGATCACTAAAACTGTTTAGAATTTTTTTTCAGAGTGATTCTGAACGATACTATTCAAATACAGAGTTTGGATCTGTGCCAGTAGCACCTTTAAAATTGGCACCGCCGCCTTTACCCAAAAAACATGCCAATATTTCTTCAAACATAAGGAATGCTGTTTCTGCCATCACTACTGTTGTCGCCGATCAAAATATATCCTGAGATTTGTTGATTAATATTTGTCTTTCCCCTTTTGCTGAAGTGTTTGGCACATTATAAGGATTTCTAAATGGAAGGCTTTAAGAATTATCCTGTCGTGGGTTTTTTTCTATTCTTGAAAATCGTAAATCGTGGTAAATGATATGTGGTGTAGTCAAAAGGTTGTGTTTCTTGTGTGATATGCTGTTTTACAGTGTCTTAATACTGTTATATTTGCCTTTCTATGGTATGGTTATGCATAAGCTATACTTTACCTTCCCATAGTGATATATAATTTTGAATTTTTGGAGCAGTAATTTGTATATATATATATATATATATATATCAAATTCACGATTGGATTAATTTTACTGTACATAACCAAAATGTCCTCTCATAAAAGCTTATTGAGTTCCAAGAATGTGCGTTATCTCGTCAATGTGTAGGTGATGTTTGTAATCTGTTATTGAAGCGATCTTAAAATTATGAAGGAGTTGGTCTCAGATGTCCAGATACTTTTACATTTATGAAAGTATATGAACATTCAGACGAAATTTTTTGTGCAAATATGTTAGCGAAATGTCAAATCTGCAGGCTTTCGCGTCTGAGGACAGCAACAGCAAATTTTGTGATATAACAGATGCACATTAAAGGTCAGGACGGGCTATGTGTTTTTTCGAGCAACTGCCTGAATGACTTATGGTTTTATTAAATGAAATTGCGTCTGGAACAACTGTTGCAGGTTAAGGCAGCTTAATTTTCGCTAAGCCGGTCAGGGAGTTTATTGGAGGGTCTTTGGTCCATTTTCAGCGTTTCGGGACTGGTAAAATGCTTATAGTTCGGTAAAAGTGACTTCATTTGAACACGGCAATTAACGAACAAACCTTCAGGTAAAGAGTAAATATTGCTCACTGTCACAAATTAAAATATTAAGAACATAACAAGACTACAATGAAAGCCCAGGGAAACAAAGGCTGAGCTGAATTCTCGAATGAAAGAACGGCAAGAAAACATCAAAGGTGATGGAGTCAGGAAAATGGAAGTCAAAAAAAATAAGGCGGATAACGCACATGTTTACTTCACACAGTCAAAATCGGAATCTAGTGCAGGCGAAAGACGTGTATGTAAATATCGACAAGAAGTACAAGTTATGGGAAGCTCAGTAAATTTCTGTTCAATCAAATAAAATCTCATGAGTATTTTAAAAAAAGTAATTCCCAGCATACTGTTCTCTTAGGTAAAAATTTATTACGATAAAGTTGAGGAATTGTCATGAGATTGTACTAATGAAGTTGCCTTACGAAAAGTCATACATATGATACAGAAACAATAAAGCATAGCAACAAATTGAAAGTCATCTATTTTCTTCTAATAACGCTGACAATTTGATTTTTTTTACAGGTAAAAATCACGAAACAAGTACCGCTCTAGTCAATTTCACTATTTTAAATGTCAAAAATGTAAAGAAAAAAATAAATCAGCAGACTAAGTTTTAAACATGAAATAACTACTGCGCTTATTAAGCAAAAAAAAAAATACAAGAATTACGCATAATTTTCAGTTGGGATATTCGGAGCACAGCATTACGATCTAAGTAATAACACATGAAAAATATTTCCTACCAGTTAACAAACTTTGCTTTATTCTAGAATTTTTCAATGTTATATACACTAAAAAATTTTTAAACAGTAACATTAAGAAAGACTTATATCACAATATACTTTGAAATGAACAAATTTTATGAATGACTCACTTAATACAATCCTTACGTTAGTCAAGAAGATATAACGATTGGTACGTAGATAGGTGTTCGTTTTGCATAGCTACATCGAGGTGGAAACCAGTGCTTTAAACACCATTCAATGAAATAAGCCAGGAGTATATAAACAATGGTTAAAATAGCTAAGACTATAAGAAATTTTATTATATATGCAGGGAAAAGAGCATTCTCAATAACTTCAGTGCACAGAGGGACCTGAAATAAAAAAAATGTACATCTACTAACTAAGGACAGCATTTCAATATAGTTTTCGTAAAATCTATCATTTTCTTATACACAAGACATCAACATGCTTATTTCTTTTTAATCTATACTTCACCGTTATTCCAAAACTGAAAATCTTGCTTTGAAAAAAACCTGGTCTCAGGAGAACCGCTTACTTGTTTGTAAGATGTAAATGAACAACCCAGTGTAGTACTTAATTGTTCGAAATTGTGTTTCATACGGATTTCACTAAATACAACTGTAAGCTGCTCATGAATACTACTTAGCAACAAAAATCTTGCAAACAAAAAAACTGGTAAAGTCCCAAATGCCAAGAGATCAATCCCACGGACCTGCAAGCATTAATGTTATAAAGAGCAGTAAACTTCTAGAAAATAGAATCTTAGTATGAAAGTTGTATATGAAGTGAAGAAAACTGCGATGTGCACGAAACTTCCATTCTCTGTAATTTCCGCCAGCTAGGTGCATTATCGCAATAAATTACAAACAAAAGCAGAAATAATATGAAAACTCACAATAATTTCGTAAGTAGCTTTCCGTGAGGACGCATTCAGCATGAGAATGAAACATGATGTAGATAGTGATACACACATACTACCCACAATCATCCACATGTTTTTCTTGTACTAAAAGCATGTAAATGATTGGAATAAATACAATGAATCTGGAAATAAATGCACTTAAACTTGACTGATTTTAGAAGTATGGAGCAATGAAACACTCAAACTACAACATTATCATTCTTCAAATAAATGGATATTAAAATCTACAAACGAGACAACAGAATCAGCTCTATAAGGTATTTTTGACATTCATTGCACATATGATTAATTAAAGAGACAAATGCCAAATAAAACAACTTCAACCTAATAAAGTGAAATCCTTTTTGATAAGTTGAAGCTTAGTTGCAATTTATCTCATTTTTATAGCCTTATTAAATAATAGTACAGATCTTACATCGGTGAGAGTTTCAATGAGATGCCGTAAGCGATAGGAAGCAGAGTTTGTTGTTACATCAGTCACATCATTTGCAGCTATGGCAGCAAAAATGTTTAAAAATGGGATCATATATACGGCATGGATGACAGCAATCATAAATAACGTTAACAATTTTACGTACTGAGCATATGCTGTCTGAAAAAGAAGTTCAAAGCAGCATATATATTGGTTAAATAATTGGACTTCAAAGAAATCACGTACCACATTGAAAGTATTCATATATTGAAAATTATTCATATTTTTGAATGTTGCAAAGGATGCATTATGTATAGTTTTATTGTACGTTCAAAGCAAATTTCGTGAATTTTAATTTTTCATTAACCACAAGATAGCGAAGTGAAAACTAATTATAATTAGTTAAAAGAACTGAGAAAATTTGAGAGAGACTTGAAGAAAAAATCAAAGCATACCTGAAATTGCAAAACCAAACGAAAGAGAAGTTGCCCAGAATGGTTTGAATTGGCGCAAGTTGAGGGTACAGAATAATGTCCACTGGTACAATTAGTCGATCTCTCTGTCTCATTTTTCAGCAGATGAAATGCTTTAAAATAATAAGGAGAAAGGGCTGTAATCGAGGGCATTGACTATGTTGATCAGTAACAAATATAGAAGCTTCAATCTGAACATTTGTGTGTATAGCATATTATTGTACACTCTATTACACTTTATATAGTATAAATATGCTTCTTTCCGCTACTTATTCATTACGTTTCGTTTCTTATTAAATCTCTCACTGCTAAAGCAACTATAAATAAAGCCAACTTTATCACCATTATCAATCAAAGGAAAAAACAAAGAATGCTAGTGAATCGACAAAATATGAATAAAAAGACTATGAGCACTACACATCAACCACTGCAATTATCCATCAGTAAGGCTAAATCTACAGTATGCATTAGTTTAAGCTAAAAAATGGTATTGCATACAGTATCAAAAAGAGTAAAATTATGTGATAAACGTGTAATATTATGTGAAATAAAACAAATCAGATGTGTTTTGAGAGGCAAAAGGGATGAAAAAACGTTCAAAAATGGCAATGTACTATGGAAAAAGCGTAGAAATGTCCTTGAGAAAATGAACGCGCGTTCCACGCAAGCAAACGACACCAAGAAGAGTAAAGAGGGAAAGGGAAAGGGAAAGGGAAAGAGAGAAAGAAGTGATCGATGAGCTGGTAGAAGTTGGTGAATTGAAGTGAGCAAATTATCAAGTACCCAGTGGAACGGGCGAGCTGGCAATTGAAGGGAGCTGTCAGGCGGGCAGGCGGACCAACTGGTGACGGACGGGTGGGTATGCCCGAGAGCGGCTCATGAATTGAATTGAATTGAATTGAATTGAGGTCAGCAAGTGTTGCCTCGTGCTGCTCCATTCTTGCTTGCATTGTTTGGGTTCAGAGATGGAGAAGAATTATGTTTTGCTTTCGGCAAATCTTATCGTCGAAGAGAGAAGATAGCAGGAAAGTGAGGTGAGCAGGGCAAGCAAATGGCAAGGCAGTGGAAGCTTTGCCAGTCACTTCTTAGAACTTTAACAAGTAAATGAATGTTTCGCACTGGTCAGTGAACTTGTCACATGTCACGCCGTAGACTGTCATGACATGACATGACATGACATGACACGGTAATACTGCAAGTCATTTAATGGTCAATGCTTGTGTTGTGATCGTTGACTCATGATGATATGCATATAATGTGATGCTGGCTTATATTTAATAGGACTTATATCATAAATAGTCGAACTTTAATCCTTTGAAACTAAAGAGGCGAGATCGGTATAAGCCTTGTGCTACAGAGAGCATGACATCCATCAGATATTTGCAGATTTTTAAAATTCCTTTAACAGTCTAATCTCGCAAGCAGTCTCAGGCTTTCACACTTACTAAATAGCAGTATTTCATGATCGCATTTACTACTCTCTCCAAAACTAAATGAATGCTATTTGAAATTATTCCTTACCATTCTTTCAACTCTTTTTAGTTGCTTGGAAACTTCCACAACACGCTTATTCAATAATTTTTTGAATGAAAGAATAAGAAGAATGAATAACAGTCCACTCACTAACAAAGCTGCTTCTTTTATACGAAACGGAGGTAAATATTTGTGAAATAGAGGTAATAGCCTACAAAAAAATTTTTAGTTAAAGGGACAATCGTATAAACACCGAGTTACTATAGTATATTCCACTACTACCACTGTACCACTTTTATTTGAGCTGCACCTACGTTTTTTACTTTCAGTTCTTTAATACACAGCCATCTTCTGTGTTTGGCAAGCACTCATTTGTTTGTAGTTAACTTATTTCTCATTACAAAGACTATAAAAACACAAAGATTGGTCTTAATCAGCGTTGTTTCCGTCCTTCTCCGTGAAGATTTTTTTGACTATACTACACATTGCAAATTTCATCTCTGAAAAGTAACCATAACACTTTCATTTGCTGAAGACGCGAGAATCCTTGTATTAGCACCAACACTAGAACTTATTATCATTTTCATCTTCCCCACAAATAAAACTTAGAACACAAACTGCAAAGTTCAACTACTAAGACTCTTCCACCGATGCAAATCGTTCCTGCGACCATGTAAACAAGTCCTATTCCTAGATCTCACTCACCACTAGAATTATTCCCTAACTAGTATTAATAAACCTGTTTCCCGACTTACTCAACTACTGATTTCATATTCATTCCACTATATTTTCGCTTCACTGCCACTTCACTACTACAACTATGCACGAGCGAAAAAATGTAATCATCTACAACTCAATTATAGTGAAACTCCATAATACATCAAGATGACAAACATATTGCTTGCCTACTGGAGCGACTAGAACATCTCACTTCAAAATGCCGAAACGCAAATATATTACACATACTACAAATCGATGGAGACAAATATAAAACTAAATATGCGTGCTTCAAACCTTATTCCAAAACATTATAAAATTTACTTGTCATCAACGAATTTTAAACTTCGTCACATATTTTGTTTATAAATCTGAATAAATTTGAAACAATCTCACAAAAAAAACTGCAATAAATCATGGAACTCTTCCTGCAGTCAATTTAACATGCCGTTTAAAAAAGAGAATAATTAAAATCCACCTCTTATGTAGCCCAAATCAATGAATATGCATAACTATGTGGTTATACTAAATCTCCACAACACTGGTATCGTAAATCATTTATTGTTATCAAAAACTGGAAGATATTTTCTTGTCAAGCAATAAACATTAATTGAAAAGTTAGCTCAGAAAATAAAATGATAAAAAACTGGATTCACTGATGGAGATATTTATCGAGCCAACGAACAATATTGACTGCACAATCTGCTTCGACATCGACTTCATCCAAAGGATGATTTGATGTTGGATATGACAGGATTCTAAATTTTAATAACAAATCTATCATCACAAAACTTATTAAAACAGTGCTCAAAAGTGCTCATAATGATTGACGCAGAACGATATATGAAGCTGGAATTTACTGCAAACGACTTCTTAATAATGGAATGTAAAAGATGATGTCCAAATTTTCGAAAATTAAATTTTATCAAATAATAAATTACTTATTTGGAATTCCGCGTGCATTTATATTACGGATGAAAGCTTGATAATGGCTAACCACACGCAAATCCTTCTCACCGTTCAATAGTAAGTAAGGTGTAACAACCTGAAAAATTGATTTCAGCATTTCTATCGAAACTCAGACACTTCTATCAACTCAACTCATAAATCCTGATGACAAACAATGTTCTGAATACGATCAACTATATGACACAATGAAAAAGATCAAAATTTCTTCTTAATTGTTTTTCACTTCAATAATATTTCATAAACTAGTATTCCAGAAATGTTTATCAGAGGCATAATACGAAATCGAAAATCTTTTGAACTTTCGCAGAACGTCCTAACTTTTTCAACATGAGCAATTGGTGAACTTTGATACATCTTTTCACGATCTTTTGCTGAGAGCATCTTTTTCCAGTCAAAATGATTTCGACCAAGTGCTTCAACAACTGACCTGGAAGCAGCAAAATGATTTTATAAAAATTAAAACAGTTAAGGACAAGAATCCATGTATATATACAACTCTTTTTATTCACTTTTGTTTAAATGTTTGCTCCCTATGAAATAATGAAAAACAATGAAAAAAAATTAACTGAACTATATTCACATATTTTTTGATATTTTACTAAAGTTAACCACTTTTTTCAAGTCATATTTCAGTAAATTTGTTTGTCCCAGCGATCAATTTTTTGATCAAATGCATGATGATGCATTTACGCTTAGATATCCCATATCCATACGAGGTTTCAGGGACCTCCAGGTATGGATGGATACCTGATCGCAATTTATCATTGTGAAAAAAAAAACCATAATTTGACTAGTAATGCAGCAATCAATTTAGAATTATGATAAAGGATAATAAGAACAGTAAGATATAAACTCAGTTCAGCAAATAGCTTGGAGAAAATGGCTAACGGCGCATCTTCAATTATTTTAAAGTTGAGAAATCGAAAGTGCTGCAAACATCGAATAAAAGCATGTGTAATAAAAAACAGATGATAGTATTCGCGGATAATTAAGAAAGAGATACCAGTCTGGAATGTCTGATAAATCGAACATGGCTGAAAAATAAAATATCTCTTATACTTGCTTGATAAGTTAGTTTTTAATTAATTAAAATAATTTCAAAGTACTAAATAGTGAACGAAACGTTTCTAGAAGTAATATTAGTTAAAAAACTAACTTATCAAGACAAATATAAAAAATTAATGTAAGAGCAGAATGACTTGAAACATGCTTTTGTAAAACTAAACATTTTCATCTCATAGTACAGTAATTCTTTTCAAAAATATGCTTTAAACATGGAATTCAGAAAGTAAAAAAAATGGTACCTGCAATATTTAATACAGGATTCTGAGCGACGCACACCTTGTAGAAATCCTAGAATTTTAAAGTTTATCAGTCTTAATCAATAATAGTTAATAATTTCTCCAACACTTCATAGCATACTCATAAACCACACTAAAAAATAAAATTACGGGAAATTGTCCTATTAGATGACTGACGATGAAACCTCCATGAGAACCACCACATAAAGCAACTCGTGAACGATCCAATCTCTGCTCTTTGTCTAATACTTTTTGAACCGCAAACTAGAATAAATTAAAACCGAAAATACGAGGTGAGAATCAAGAGCAAAATTACATTTGTATTTTAAAAGGAATCAGAAAATGAAACTTGAACATTAATAAAAGACTAACAATGATTTCACTTCAGCAATTAACTTGAACTTCTGATAATGTCAGAAAACGAAGCCTCAACTTACGTGAACATCTTTAACATCTAAATCCCCACAATTTCCAGGTAAAGAATTGACAAAATCATCACCAAATCCAAGTGACCCATGATAATTAACGAATAGTACGGCATAACCAGAGTTCAATAACAATAAAACCTTACGACTTAGCCAACTATAATGTTGTGTCGCAAACTTAAGCTTGATTTGAGTACATACTATCACTTATCATAACTCTTTAGTATTTTCCATCCCATCAGTATCATATTACAAAAAATTTTTTGATTTGACATAATTTGATTCAATATGAGCACTATATTAAATAGTAAGAAAAAATGTACGAAGCGATTGTGATGCTATGTGGTCCGCCATGGGGTACCACAACCAAGGGAACAATACTACTTCCATTAGGAATACACAACAGGCCTTCATATGAACCATGAGCTAAAAACATTTTATGGGGAGTCATGTAAACAGAAATAGTGATTTTGTCCTTTAAAACAAGATGCATTTTCAGCGTAATAATGAATTAAATGAATAAATTCTTTATGAATAGAAACTAACCCTCTCGATTGAAGTCAACTACATGCCATGAAAAATTGAGTAACTTTAAACGAACTTCAACGGCAGAACTATTATCAAGTCTAGTCCAAATAATCTGCAATATTAGTTTATACAAAGGAACGAATCAAAAATTATAGTGTAACAGAAAAATAAAATGTTCAAAAATAGTGACTAGCGAAACAAAACACTACTTTATTCATCTGGGAATAAAACTACAAAACTTTCGAAGTCCTAAGTGATACCTGTTAAACGAGTATTAGCTTCAGTAACAAATAATGATTTAATGATGAAAAAAATAAGAAAAAAGAGAACTCTATCTTCAGAATCAAGAAGAGGAATATGCCCAACAAGTACAGTTGGAGGACGATTTGGTGCACTACAAACTGCCACTAAACAGTTTTCATTTATATCTAATACAGTCCAACTTCCATGGAAAGCACCTAAACGGTGAATAAGCAGATCAAAATGCTATATGACTGAGTTGAAAAACTAATAACCATGTCACATTTTCAATTTTCCTATATCTGTCACACCACCGACTAAGAGATCACAAAATGTTTTTAAATAATCTAGATATAATTTTAAACGAAAAAAAGCATCGAGAACACTTACCAATATTCGTAATTTTCTTCATTTTTCCTGTTTCTACATTTAAGACTACAATATCCTTAAAACAAAGATATCAACAGCTCACAATTCACGATAAAATCTCATATGCTATCTGATATATGATTCAAAAGGATAATAGAAGAAACTGATATAAGCAAAGAATTTGAACATCTTCATTAAAAAATTAAGCTTTACCCGTTGTGAACCCCATATAGTTGAAAAAAACACTCGTTTGTTATCGGTGGCCCAAGGCCTGCTCGATACTTGCACAATATAGAGCCCAGGAAATTGCTTCTGATCTGACAAAAGAGTTGTCAAAATAATTTTAAATGATTGAATATATATCATACTACAAAATTTATTACTGAACCCAGTCTTCTCTGACATCCAAGATTACCTTGCAGGATGAAATTTATAAACATAAATTCTTAATTTCAGCTTACATAACTCTTAATAACTATTTTTGAAGAAATGAATGAAATTTAGAACAGTACCACTGATAGATGTAACAGTTGGAATGAGCATTTTTTCCTCATTTTTGATCCAGTCCATCTGAAAAATTCATTATTTATGTCATCTGAAGCATTTATCGAAAGCCTAATTTCACATAATCTGCAACATCCCATCAACTGATTGAAAAAATTGTGTAATAAAATTAGTTCGATTAGTATATAATAAATTTAGCTTTTTGTTCTGGAAAAACTGGATTTGAATGAGCAATTTTTCTTCATATATATATATATAAGAATTTATTTACTTATTTATTTATATTAAGTCGTTTATACTATGCATTCAAAATTGTTGATAAAGTTTTCATTAGAACATACTAGATGACAAGAAACTGAAGCATAATGAGGACCACCAAATTTACGTTGGAAATATATCAATTTTGATCCATTTGGTGAGAATGTTAACCCTTCAATTGCCACATCTTCTTCACTTAACGAAGTTAATTTTGCCGTACGAAACTCGTAATAAAACAGCGTTCCTCTGGAAATTAAAAAATAATGATGTAGTTAACCCCATAAATCTAAAACTTACATCTGAAGAAAGCTAGTCCTTCTAGGCCTCAATTTTTTCAAACACAGTATCATAGTTCGTCGTGAGTGCGTTTTCTTAACAAATCTAACAAACCTTCGGTTGTTGCAATATATTTTTCCTAATTTGGCCGGAGTGTTTTGAATCCCAAAAAACACTACTCCTTTATCTTCTGGAGCCCAAACAGCCTGAAAAAGATTTGTGGAAACAAGCAAATTAATCATAACAATAAGGAACCAATCACATTAAGTACTCAAATTCAAAAATAGAACATAAAGACAAACACTGAAATAGAGAATATCAATCCAATCAGCTGAATGGTAAACTCTATATTAGCAATCAACTGATCCGACTTAATCTAAAACTTTGCCTATTTTATATATCAAAAGCACTTAAAGAAGTTTCCTTAATTTTTCGAAAGAAAAAAAAGATGCACTTCAGTCTAAATCTTGCTTAATTAATTTAGCATATTTGGGTTATCATTCTGCTTAAGAGCATAACTTGAAGATAATGTAGACTAAGCTTTTCGAAAAATATTTATACAATAAATCAAACTCAAAACAAACAAAAGCAGGAGTGATAGTTTTCGGAATCTGATCCAAAACGGTAACGCTGCCACTCATTATGTCAAATATACAGAGTACCGGTTCTCTAATATCATTTCGTTGTTCACCCCAACTTTCCAGATGCTTGTACTTATCTCCCTATAAAGAAAGAATATACAATTTTATAAGAGTTTACGAAAACTTCACTGTTGCTTCCAAGAAAGAAAACAATTTGAACGTTTTACATGGGCTTAAATTAAAGTGGAAAACAGTATAAGGTTAATCAATAGATCTACCAAACTAATTAGCAACACAATGAAGCAAATACTAGATGAAATGTATTAGCGTTTAACAAGCAAGAATCCCAGTCGGAAAAAAGTATGCTAAATTTACTCACAGCATTTGATTCAAGAAACTTTTCCTCACTAGTCCAATCCAATTCTGCATCATAATATTCCTTCTTTTGGACAAACTTCTCAGCAGTATATAACAAATGACCTTCCCCATTTGACCACTTTAAACCACCAAATTCTTCTAGAAGAAATTTTATGTCATAATGTCATAATACTTTTCTACAAAAGATATGAACCTATGTATTTTGAAAAAGAAATTATTAAATATGTAGTTTCTACAACTGTTGTGAAAAGAAATGAATACCAAGATAAAAATATATAATAAGACAAAAATATTTTTGATCTTGAAGACAACAGTGATCATGAAGCAGTAAATTATCGTAAGCAACGACGATAGTCATTATACTACCACTTACAACAATTAATATTAATCAGCAATTACAAGAAGTAGTTTCAGTCAGTTTGATTATGCTTAATGTAAAATAATCTCTACTTTATTCAAGTAATGATCACTCGAAGTCAGTATAACATTTAAAATAATTTACTAATATAAATGTTATAGTCCCAGTAAAAAGCAGTTATTTTCAATAGAAAACTGCATGTCACTGCTCACCATCTTCATGGATAATACCATGCTTTTTTGGTGATGTGACATCGACGCAGCAAATTTCAATATGTTCTTTCTGATCAAATACCTAAAATAACTTCTTCATATACCACAGCCGATAACCATGAATGCACTGAATAGATACCATTTGACTAAGAAATCCTTCATTGCCCAATAATTTAATCACATAAAACATTCAATATTTAGTCGTTTGAGAAAACTATATAAAATGGACAGGAAATCGAAACTTATACTAATGCTAATTTTAGCTATAATTATAGTTTTTCTCTGTGAAGTTTCCTTAATTCTGATGGTGAAAACCACTATGAAATAACCTTGACATATTGTTTCTTCTCTTTCCCCTCAAGTAAAGTAATAAGTGTGGCACATTTTGTATCGCTGTTACAGTAAGCGATCAGCTCGTTTCTAAACATGACGCAGAATTGACGGTAACATGTAATAAGTATTTCAGCATAAATTTATAAATTAACTGCTTTATTAAGGCATTTTCACTTGATTCATCTGAATTCTAGTGATGTGACTATTTACTTGATTTCAAAATTTTAGTCTCACATTAATTCGTAAATTCATAACGTTAACAATACTCTATGCCTGTCAATGGCAGTGACGTAGTCGAAATCAATTCAAATATGTCCGGTTCATCAATTTTCGGTCCAATAATGCTTATGCGCTGCATCTTTACTATTTTCTTCAATGCCATTGAACGATTTGTCCATACTGAAGAAATCTAAATAGATAGCTTCATACCGATTTCAATATATTAGCATTAAAATCCCATTTTGATTGAATGAAATAATGAAAATATCGAATTCAAATTATTTAACAGTAGAATTCAAATAATACTCCCTATATGTATGAAATGATTTTTCTTTTTAATTAAAGAAGTCCTCTACAATGGAAATACGAAAAAAAGAAGTTCGAAAGAAAAACTTGGATACATATAATAGAGATACCTCGAAATATTTTCCTTGACGTCGTAAGCGAGCATTTTGTGGCACTGGTATCTGCAAAAGTGCAATTAAATCAAATGCAGTGATAACTATAAAGCCTGTAATTTTGAAATTTTTATGATTCAAAAATATTAAAATTACCTGGGAAATATCACTGTAAAGATCTTTCAACTTTTCCAAAGCACGTAAGGTTGTAGCAGTTGCGTTTACTCGTAGGCTGAAATGTTCAATATTTTTACTCTTTAAGAAATGTTCGATTTGTTTCATCATTTCGTTCAAAAAAATTTTCAAATACATTGTTCTTCACATACTAGGAAACTGTTGCAATCCTATTTTCAATTCATAAACACACATCTCCACTTAACTCTAAAATACTTTCAACAGTACTAAATTTGCTGTATAAATTTGCCAATCAACACAACTGCTGTATCTTTTCATTAATTAAAAAACTTTACAAATAAAAAAGTGAAGATTGCGTAATATTTAGCAAAAGCTGATGGATGTTGTTAAGCTTTTGCAGAAAAAATTGCGAAATCAAAAATATAAAGTAAACTTTCTCATGCTACTCAAGTAAAAAATTAATGATACAACTGTATGAAAGAAGTACTTTAGCAGATAACTTACAACGTAACGAATATCTAAAAATTTCTCAGAAAATTTTTCTCACAAAATTCAGCAACCTATAATTAAGCATCGTTAGAGTACTAAACTTACACTCACAGATTACAGTAATTACTTCAATGCACAAAAATGACACAACGTTTTAAATAAACGAAAAAGTAATGATTTGGACAATTATGAAAAAAAGAAAAAATCTTCATGTCACTATAATATATACTAGAAAAAGTTACAGACATATCAGTAATATGTAAAACTTCTTTCTTAATTTTTGCACCATATTAGTATGTTAAGCATAATTCAAAAACCCTTAATGTTTAATAAAGAATACCTGCATGGAGTAGTCATAATCATTGAATTATTATATCAGAACACTGCAATAAACCAACCAACGCTTTACAGTGTTTCCTAAAAAAACATAATATACGGGAAATTTCGAAACGAACAATCACTCTACATATAACACCTTGCAAAGACCTTATAGCAAACTTCTGTGCCTTTACCACTGAATCTGAAGTATACCAAAGGAATCGAAATGCAACATTCTGTCCAATTGTCAAATAAGACGTATGTTATAAAATTTCAAAAATTGTTATAAATTTGAGTGAATTGCAAAGTCTGGAAAATTTTTCTTAGTAATTAGAACGACCATTTTTTCACTTGCTTTATTGCATATTTAAGAAGGAATGAGCTTAAAATATTCCTTTTCTCTTTTTTCTTGGCATTAAAAAAGAAAAAATTGATACTTCAAATTCAGTGTAAATGTGATTCTGTTTGGTTAGAAAGTTTTCATCTTTCAACAAATCAAAGAAATGGCACCTTTAATCGGTAGTCTATCTCAGAATCTCAAACTTTGCTGTTAGAAAACATCTATTCAAGTCTTAAACAAATAAGTTCTTTTTTGCAGAAACAAATCACGAAATGTTATCGTTTCCAAGTGGCAAAGATATTTAATCAAATAACTGATAAATAACAATTGAATCTTTTTTTTTTTGAGTATGTAATTTACAAATAAACAAATATTACTGAAGAAAATGTAAGCAATCATATCAATACCGATTATTGAATTATTTAAAAAATGATATATTACTGATTAGATGCAAATGAATATTGAAGATGCTATGTGTAGAAGTAAGAATATTGCATAAATAAATTTACCAAAATTTTCTGAATGATATGGTAATTGTTGTATTGTTGAAAACTTGCAAATTTAATATCTTGTATATTTAGATTTAGATCTATTTCACTTGCAGCATTATTTTATCTGCTGCATGCATAAAATCAAAATGTCTGAGAGCATAATTTCTTTATCTCATAATTTCTTTTTTATTATCACGATTACCTGGTCACAATTTTTCAATAAACTAAAAAGCTTATACACTTATTTTAATAATTTTTTAAAGTTTGAAAATTACGTCTAAAAACTTTTAACTTTCTTTGCTTCTTGGTAATTGCAATTCTCGATTGCTTGTGAATTTGCATTTGTTGTTTTAAATGATTCCTTTAACACAACCTTGAAATGAAACTTGTATAGCTGTGGAATGCACCCTTCAATGAGTATTAACTATTAAATATCTTCAATAAATGGTTCATAATCATGAAGCTATTTTCTTATTTACTTTTTTTAAAATTAACTTTCAAATATTAAAGAAGATGATTACTGAATATCGATATCACATAACTTAAAAGAACTTGCTCAGAAATATATTGATTTTGTTGATTGAATTACTCTCAAATGAGTTCAAAATATTTCGAGAAGTATTTTTTTATTTCTTATAATTTTTATTTTAGCACATTATGCGATTTTTGTTGTTGAAAATTTTGAAATGATGCAAGCTTCAACTGTGCTACTACTATAACAGTATAATGCTATACGGAATTTTAAAATACTTGAGCAAATATACTGTACTAAAAAGATTGCACAGGCTTGTGAACGTAAATTTTTGCTTGCAATATTGCATTTTTGGCACTTCTTCTATTAGATATTTACAGTACTCATTTCATTATACATGCGCAAGTACTTCAGTCATAGCTGATTGCTAGGAGATAGCAAAAACTACAAAGCTCTTTATAATCTCCATACTGCATAAATTTCAAGTTGATTCATACGAAGGACTTGTTTAAATGTTGATCAGTTCTTTTTTATCTAAACTGAATTATCAGCTGATATTCCGCTAATATGTTGCAGATTTAAATGAAAAAAGATTAGAATATGCAAGTGTAGATTTTCTCAAACACCAAATATTATTTTCAATTGAAACAAGAAAATTGTGATTGGGCAAATGAATAATTATTACAAATTTTATGGAACTTGAAGTTATTTAAATACTAATTATAACGAAATTAGAATGAGTATAAAAATGTGTATCTAGCTAAGTTTTACAACACTTATACGGTTGTTGTAGACTGCTTATGGCTTCTGATTTCAAACTTTAAAAAATAAATAATTAATTAATGACATATTATTTTCTAAAGAACACACAATCACTGAGTTTTATACACTTGTATAAATGAAGTAAAGTTACATAAATTAAATAAACCACAAAACATTTTTAAAAACCAAGTTCTAAAAACTTTATCTTGCACTGTAAAGAATTTTCTACCTATGTATGATATTTTACAGTTAAAAAAAAGATTACCTTTTTAGCATATTTTGTTAACAACGATAACAATGTACAAAAAAGCAAGTATTTATGTTTTAAAAGATTTCATCTCCCAAATTATTTCAATACTTTCAAAATAATTACTACTGACAGATGTTTTATCTGTTAATAATCCTCTATTATTCATGCAAAATTTTTATGTTTTGTTTCACATTACAATAAATGGCTTCTTTAACTTTAGGCAAAATTTATGTTCAGTCCAATTAGTGAATTCAGCCTGAAGCCATTTTATCCTACTCATTTATATATGAGTAGAAAGTAATCTGGTCTCATTTCCATTTTATGCAGCAATACCCTGCAGTAAAAATAACAAATCATCCTATCCTAGCTACTTTCTTTGTCTTATGATCAAACTTGTTAGCAAAGTACGTGTTAAGGAAACTTTCTCACTTCATGGCAATGCAGATTCTTTTCCTCATAAGTAGCATCATAATTATTTCACGTCTTTGTGATTCTCAAATGATTTATTTGCTACTTACATCAAATGTTATTAGCATTTTTGGAATCTAAAAAGAATTCATTTTGAATGAATTGCAAAATCTTTTCCATAACAGTTTAAAGTGATTGCCATGCAGTAAGAAAGTTTGATTAAAAAATGCACTACTGATCTACACTTCATGCTATATCGTAATCACATTCTTTTTAACTATTTTCAAATAAATTGGTGATATTTTGTACAGTAATTATTACATTACCCTGTAATCGTCCTCAAGTAACATGTCATAAGTTCGAAAAGTTTTAAAAACGTATAATTATTTTGATTGAAAAATTTGTCGGTGTGTTGCGTAAAAAATATCAATATTCTAAGATTTATATTATTTACAAAAAAATTAGAACAATCACTTAAACCAAAGCGATCACAACGGTTTGATCTTGAAAATAATTTTATAAAAATTTTTTTTTCAATGGTTGTGCCATTCAAATATTTGTAAATTTTGTAACTATTATTACTGCATTTAATTAAAAACAAAAACAATTAACCATTATTTAAACTATCGCATTTGATGATATAGGTTTTTATCAGGTTACTTCTACTTTTTACATCGATTTCAACCTTTAAAAAGTGAGCATTTAACCCTGAATTATTTAAAAAATTTTTTTCCTCACTATTGATGCTTAATTTCAATTTCAAATTTGAGAGATATTTTTGTATTTCATATAATTAATACGTGAATCACAATATATTTTTGTAATGACTTTATCTTTGAGTTTACCATTTTTTCGCATTTGTTGTTTGCGAACCAAATTAATCAAACGTTCATAGTACTCTATCAAACACTTTAATCTTGATTAATTTTTAACAACTTATACCTCTCTGTTCTTTTCAAAACTTTTTAGAAAACTTACTCACTGATAATTTAATACAGTTTTATACATTATCCATCATTTCGACAGGAACAAATTTGCAAATTGTGCAATTAAAAAACACAAATGTATTTTAAGCTTTAATAAAATTTGAATATTATGCTCTATATGTTTTACGAAGCAATGCAATCGTTAATAAAGAACTTAAAAAGTGCAGCAATTTATAAATAATATATTGAAAAATTTTTAGATCTCCAGTTAAATTTGTTCCTGCTCCACTTCAGAAGGAATTCCTTTGGCTCAAATAGCTTTTAATTTTAATAAATGGAACTGCTAAGAATTTTTAATTTGTTTAAAAAACGACTGAGAGCAATTTCACGTCAAACTTTGCGATTGCATATTATTGTGTACGTGCATCACTTATCTAATATAGTCCTTTTTCATTTCTTTTATTTCACACTTTTGACTTAAGTGAAATATGATACTGTTTTTTTTCAAAATTGGGGGAAAAATTAACAGTGTACTGATGAATATTTTTCATCTGCAAACAAAACATATTAGTAAGATTTTACTTTTGATGACTTAATTTTTTAGTCACAGATAAGATTTAATAAAACTAAAAACTTTATTTCAAAAAAATTTAGTGCTAAAATTTTGAATTTTTAAATGCTACTTGCAGTGGATTTAATTAAAAAATATGAAAATCGATATCAAAAGTTTTCAAGCAAAATTATTGCTGAAATTAGGTTTTAAATCAAAATTATTTGCATGTTTACGACAAAATTAAGAAACTACTAAATTAATACAGACAGCAAAATGAGATTCCATTTATCAAGTGATTATTTCATGACTTTTTGAATATACCTTTTAAATTTAAAGCACAAATAAGACATTTCTTAACACTGCTTAAGAAAATTTCATTTTCAGAGCTCATATATTTCTGCAATAAACTTAGACTCAATCTACTTTTTATAGCTAAAGAATTTTTAGTGTTTCTTATTTCAATTTCAAAAAAAAAAAAGCTCTTTCAGTTGAAACTAATGTTAGTATGAGTGCTCCAAACTATAAATTTCTAAAAGTAACTAACTTTTATTAACTTGATAGATTAATTTACTATGGAAATAACTAACTCCCGTAATTTTTAAAAAAGTCAGCAACAAATGCAATACACAGTTTCTTTCATCTCGGAGCTTTTTTTGTACGAAGTTGTATATTTTGCAGGTTTTAGCTCTCATCTCAGTCATTTAAAAATAAATCTATCACGATAAAACAGTCTGATCTTTTGTATTCTTGCAAAACATGTTAAAGAGCATTTTTTAATAAAATATAATGCAAGTAAAATATTTGTTTAACTTTAATCAAGCATAAAAACTTTACTGTTTTTAGTTGTGCTAAAAATTTTGCATGACAAAAATACATTTTACTTTCTTTTGTTATTCTTTTTGTTTGCATATCACTACTGTTTGAGGAGGACATGAAAAGTTATCTTAAAAATTGTAATTATATGTTGAAAAACTTACTGATGTCAAATCTTGCAAAAGATTTTATTTGTATAATTCTTAGACATATGCCATAAACATAAGCGTTAATTGAAATTTTTAAGTTTTTATATGCTTATAATACTTTGATCAGTATTTAAATTTTTTAATCATTTACAAATGAATATTCATTGTACATATTTGAGGTTAACAGCTGTAGCATACTCGTATCTAATTAATAATATAACACAATCAGTTTATTCAACTGCTTTGTTTGTTATCCAAAAAGTAACAATATGCTTCTACTTTATAATCAATTTCATTACTTTCTAAGATTTGCTTCTATATTATATAACATAAATCATTCATCAAGCAAAAGTGTCTTTGGTTTGAAATAATTACTTCATGTGTATTGAGGACTGAAAATTTTTGCAGTTAGTTAAGAGGATGCAATAAATGTGTAATTTTTTTTCAATATGTTCAGAATGTAAAATTGTTTTTCTTTGAATATGTTTAAATTAAAGTCAGTTGTACGTTACGAGTTTAAAACTCGAAATGGAGAAAATTAAAAAATTAAAGCTAAATCTTACAGTTTTCTATGTATGTCAATGACAGTAATGAGTTTGTTGTATGAGAAAGACTGTAGACTAGGCAGAAGTTTTTTTTTACTACACAAATTCTGTCTACGGACAGTTTTTTGACTGCTTTACTGTGTTTGTTCTATTCTAATGTTAGTAAACTGTTTTTAGAGCTTGACAAGAAATGATTAGCGGATGCTTGAAGACACTACTCGTATGTATGATACTAATCATTATCATTTCATGTGAAGAGGCAAGTATTTTTTTTGGATTAGCGACTTGATTACTCAAAATTTGCAAGAATCAAAATATTTGCTTCTGTACTTATTCATTTGCGTTTCAACTTATCACAAGTGTTGAAAAATTTTTGGTGCGAATATTTGAAAATGAACTTATGCAAAGATCACGTGAGAATAAATCAAAAAAATGAAAGTTTGAAATATGAAGCATGATAGTTCTGTTAAGATTTCTGATGCCTAAACCTATATAACAAGATTTTCGGTACTTCAAAGAATTAAGCATTAAAAAATTTGCATAAAACATATCAATGCAGTATTTTGTTGAAAAGAAACATTCTGTGTCTTCTTTCAAGCTACTGATTCTTTTATCAAAAAACTACAAATTTTTTAGTAATTTTATTTTGCAAAGAAAACTGTATATATGAGCTGGTTTCGGGATAAATGTTGAACAAACATGATTCACTTCTACAGATTTCGGAAGAAACACTCAGTAGACATGATTTGTCATCATTTCCAAAGAGTGCCAAATACGTTTCCGCCAAACGATATCCTTCCAGATTTGCTTTTGCCAAACGCCATGAACTTGAAGTAAAGTTAAAGAATATTTCTAATTTACTTATTATTTTTTCCACTTTATTTAACTCTTTTATTTCAATAATTTGTTACTTTTTTTTATTAATTTTTAATCTGAAACAAAGTAAGAATCTTGGTTTTAAGTTCAATTCTAATGACAGTCACAATGATACTGACCAAAATACTTGACAATTCAATTTTGTAATCTTAATATTGTCAAATTTATTACGCTAAAACTTGTCAACAAAATCATTTATTATCTTAGTCGTCTTCAGTTCTTTATGAATGAAAAAAGTTTTGCGATACAACATTATGTAATAATTTTTGACGCAAAAGGCAGTCATTTTTTAAAGTTTTCGAAAAAAACTTTTAATTTTATAAATTTCCTCATCTAATTTTTGCATGGCAGCAGTAAATAATATATGTCATAATTTGTGCAATTCAATTAATCTGTGTATTGCCTTATAGGATATGAACAACTATGATACGAGAGCTATGCGTTTTGTTTTCGGCAAACGCTTTATGCGTAATTTCGCATTTGCAAAACGAGATCCTTATTCATCATTCGCTTGAAAATTTGGCTTCCAACATTTTGGGCAATATGGCATCTAAAATACAATAATAATATTATTCATGATACTGATAACAATGATGATGTTAATAATGGTGACAGTTACTGTATCATTACTGTCTTTCTATTAATAAGTGATTATTGATAAAAATCCTGGCACGACGTTATCTTTAATGATATAATCTTTACTCATATTTAATCTATCACATTGGACTGTTTTTCATCAGTCAAACTTCGTTAAAAAATGTCATTTCGATTTTCAAGAACAGCGAAATTTTCTGAAAATTAACACCATTTATTTAATTTATAAATATCTTTTTGGCTTGAATAGGGAAAAAAAAATGCTTTATCAATTATCAATTCATATAGAAGTTCATTATTACAGTTAATGATCATTTCAGACTCTAAAAGTATACCGTATCTTTATTAATTTATAAGCGTAATATCAAATTTTTTCATAAAATTTAAACTTTTGTATATCCATGCCATGAAGTTTAAAATTTTGGTCTTACTATGCTTCTTTTATGAATCAATTATGCCTTCAAATTGAAGTTGATGAGAGAAAAAAAAAGATAAATTTTCATATTTTCTTACTGTAATGACCGCAATGAGAAAAGATATTTATCAAGGAATGTAGCGCACGTACATCATCATTTTTCACATATAATAGCAACTGAAGCGATGAAAAAATAGGAAGGAAACTTTTTGATTTGAAAAAAATGCATTCATATTCAAAATTTCTCAAATAAAAAGCATAAGAAGAAACAAAAATGGCTTGTAAGTAAGTGAAATATATGGCATGCATTTGATATCTGATTGAAACTGGCAGATCAAATTTTTATCTTTATTTCTTTAGATGTTATAAGTGTAACAAAAATTGATGCTTGCAGTAAATCAACTTTTCAATTTCATGATACGTAACTTTTTATTACAAGATAAAAATTCAAAATTATCAAGATGTTGTTTTATTAATTTGTATGCAAGTCCATTGTTACAGTTAATGAGCGTTTCAGATTTTAAAAGTCTTCCATATGTCAGTATCAATATCAAATGAGTATTATATCAAGAAATTTGTAAAATTATGGCTTTTTAACAATTTTGATTTATTTGCTTGTTTTTCACGCTTATTACTGCTAATATTAATTACTATTAGTAAGCAATAATCATAAAAGCGTATTTTTATTTTTTACTTTAAAAAACTGTTTTTTCAATTTAGAGTACAATAATGATTATTGAGAAAATATTTTACGCCTTTTTTTTCGTAATATTGTTAAGTTTCATAGCAACAGTTATGGGCTTTTTATTTAAGGAAGTAAACACAAAGAAATTATTTGACAAGTATTATATTGAAAAAGTTAAACAAGCTAAAATGATTGCAATCGGATTTTGGTACTAAAATTTTCAACTAAGAATGACAAAATAAATTGTCAAAAGTGCGTTAAATAATGTTGTTTCAGTGTCAGTAACAAATATAATAATAACTCAAAACAAAATTTAAAAACTATTTTAAATAATTTTTCAAAAATTTTTTTTGCCAATTTTACTATTTATAATTAATTTATTGAGCATAATTACTAGAAAATCATGTCATTTTCAACAAAATGTATATTAAATATGGAAAAAATTAAACAGAAGCTATTAAATTGTATTTGTTTCCATTCTTTTGATTACTTTGTTAGATTATTGTCATTACAGTAAAAACTTTAAGAATGATTAATTAAAACGGAATCAGTATTTATTAAATTTATCTAGCACACTAAATTTATGTTGGCACTTCAAATTAATTGCTTCCATCAAATTCCTTGTCATTTTATTAAATTTCACTGTAATCATTGCTATTATAAATCGATTATGGCATAAACATTTTCATCATTTTTATCCATAATTAAATAATCAAAATAAATTTAACTATTCGCAATAGCGAACTCAAGAAAAGGAATGCCATTATACTAATTTTTTGGATATTATTTAATTAATTATCCGTATTATTTAGTACTGCTTTTATCTTTGAAGTTTGCGTAAATAATTAAAACAATTGAATAAATGGTAAGTTACTACGAGAAAACTTTTTTTTTAATGAACAGTTTTTTTGAACTTTATAGATTTGCTTTTGTTGTTACAGATAGAAATGGAAGTGAAAAAGCAAAAATGAAGTAATGTCTTAGCAGATGATAAAAGACCTGTTTTATTAGCATCAAAACTGGTAAAAACTGTTTTTATCGCTTCTGGTATGATTTGGCTTCGTTTAACTGATCACACCTTCTTTTAACATTTTTCTCATTCCTACGCCAAACCCTTTTTCACTAAAAATAGCAAAACGAGTTGAAACTATTATATAGGCAAGCTGTTCTGATCAAACGGTATAACTGGTATTATGTAAGCGATGTTTATCAATACTGATAACTCCACTACATCAGTAACACTTGACACATCCAATACCAACTACACCTCTTACACCGATTGTGAATTTAGTCAAAAGTTTGAAGAATGGCTTAAAGTTTGCCAATTTTATTATTATTATCATTTTTTGTTTGAAAATTATTGCATTGTATTAAGTGATAGATTTCAACTCAATTCTATCTATATGTATTCTTTCTGCTGCTTCTATTAATTTAGAATTGTTTTAACCTACAAGTTTTCATAAGAATGAGACAAATTTTTACAGTTCTAAACTATGTGCATTTTCTTATTTAAGATATATTTTTGTAGACCGTTGAGCAATACGAAAGAATTATCAATGATCAGAAAATATCAAAATGGGATAATAACAATTTTGGCTTATCAACCAATTTTAATAACAGTAAAGCCCGACCACTAGCAGGCAAACTTTCTTATTATCCTTTGAGTTATCATAAGAACTAATCATATGCAAAGAATGCATTTGTATAGATTGCTATTTAGTATCTTGATACAGATAAAAATTTTTCAAACATCATAATAAAAATACCACCAAAGAAATAATTATAATAATGACAGTTTCTCGCACTTTTTTAATGCAAAATGTTGAATTAAATTTTTGTTGAAGACTAATTTAAAAAAAGTTTTCGAAATTTGAGAATGTACTTGAAAGATGCAAATAAAATCTTTGCTAATCCAGAACTTTTTATGCGATTTTGATAGTTACAAATTTTTTGTTATTCTAATAATTATCAAAAAGTTTAGCACGCACAGGCACAAATCAACTTGGTGGTATTTATGCTAATGGTCGTCCATTACCAGTTTATCTTCGAGAACGCATAATAAAAATGGCTTCATTAGGTAGTAAACCTTGTCAAATATCACGAGAGTTGCGTGTATCACATGGTTGTGTCTCAAAAATTCTGACCAAGTTGGTTTAGATCATAAATTTTTGTATAATTGAAATGTGAGTTAGATTTCCATTTCTATTCAAAATGCAAGTACTGTTTTTTATTTATATGCAACAATTTAAGAAGTAATGCTTAATATTACTGTGATAATTTGTTACTATTTGTTACTATCATTTTATTATTCATATTAGTATATTAGTACTGTTATTGCAATATGGTTATTGCAGATATCGCAGAACAGGCTCAATTAGACCTGGCAAGATTGGTGGCTCTAAACCAAAAAAATCCCTTCCACAGGCAAGCTTATATCCTTTATTTTCAAAATTTCTTAAGTTTTCTAGTGCATTCTCAAAATTACTACTATCGAGAAGCAAATTTATTAATTCTTAAGAAAAACTGTCTTGCAAAAAGTTCACACTTCAATAATTTGATATTGAAGAGGAATAAAACAGTACCTCTTTCTCTTTGATAAATCTACTCTTAGTTATTTCTGTTAAATGCCTAAATGTTATCATCTGTTTAAGAAGAAAGGCTGTTAACAATATTTAGTCTCAAGCACCAAAATAAATATTTTTATTTAGCAATATTTGGCATACACTTCAAACTTTATCATTTTAATTTCACATATTAGTAATTATATTCTATAAGAATGATAACATGACGGTAATATTAATGATAAAAAAAGAATAATGTTACTTTTCTGATGTAATAAGTAAAAAAAATTTCAAGATTTTTTTGATTTTGGGCACTTTAGCAGAAATTAAAAACGCGACCTAAACTTACACTTACACTTAAAGTTTATTGATCTAATTTTGACGAGTTGATGAATAAATTAGTTATATTTAAATAAGGTGGTGACAGCAATTGCAATTTACAAACATCGTCAACCTTCAATGTATTCATGGGAGATTCGTAATAAGCTGATTTCTGATGGTATATGCAGTACATTTAATGTTCCCAGTATTTCTTCAATCAACAGGTGAAGACTTCTTCAACTTTTGATTAATTACTGAAAATATTAAGTCGAAAACTGAAATATGAAAAAGATTGCATGAAGTGTTATTTAAAAGTAATATGATTTAGAAAGTTTGATGATGATGAACATTTACTTGTTAATTATTTAAAATTTTCATCGTAGAAATGACAACGTTTAGCTGATTGCAGAATTATCAGAACAAAACTTGGCAATGATCAATCCACTGGTTCTGAATCAGCAATAGTCCCTGAGACCACTCAGTACTTCTGAAAACTGCGCACAGAAATTCACAAGATACTGGCTGATTTTAAAAGAAATGAATCAAGTGCTTATATTTAAGCAAATATAAGCACTTGATTCATTTCTGATGATAATTATTGCAACAAAGATTATGCTTATCTTACTTGAGTTTGTTTTCAAGAATTTTATCTAATTAATATACTTAAGGGGGGAAAAGCTGGAATAGTAGTGGGTGTTTAATTAATCGATGTAAATTATTTTGATAGATAGGTTTATTTTTGCTCAGAAATACTTTCTGGACAAAAGAGAATCACTCAAGAAAAATTTTGAAAAAGCATTAAAATCAAATGAAAATTGTTGAAATTACTAAGCAGTACTTATTCTTGTCTCATTATGACATTGTATATTGGTTATACATTTATCGCATATTTTTTAATATTTCATTAATTTTTGTAAATACATATTAAATATATTACTTTCTGAACTAAATAACATCATATAAAAATTTTCAATATATGAAAAAATCTTTTTTAACTTGATTTTACTCATCAAATTTTTAAATTTTAATTTAAAAGCAAAAAAAATGATTAATCAACGCGCCTTTTTTTTTCTTTTTCCTTACAAATTTTGTCTATTGAACGGAAGATGCATTGATAGTTAGTTAGTCAGTGAGAGAAGAAAAAAATTATGGAATTCAAAAATTTTGTATGCTAACAGATTGCAATACGATAACATTAAGAAAATTTGGTTCTCACACAGGTTGAAAAAATTTCTCTCACGATTTCATTTTCATGTTTTCTCATCGTGCTGAAATCTAACACTAAAAACAAGTTAAGTTTTTTTTTCATTCTCGAAAAGTACTAGTTTCAATATTAATCTTGCTCTATTTTGCTACAATTTCGGTAGATTCTACTAAATTCAATCTTTTGCTCATTCTTAACTACGTTTTTTATAAATATTACCTTTTTGATATTTCGTTTATTAATAAAAAATAGATTAAAAAATGAAAGAAAAAAAAATCTGAGCATGAAATATGAACAATATCACTAACTTAAATATTTTAGATTATAATATAGATGAAATTTAATGAAGCAAATAGTGTTGCAAGTTTAAGTTTAGCTGAGCTTCCCTTCACTTTTTTTATCATTCTTATATCTTAGCCTGCTTGCTCAAATGATCTATGTTAGTTGAATAATGCAAATTAAAATACAACAAAAATGAAAGAACAGTAGAAAAGAATTTAAAAATAACGCAGCAGTGTAGCATATTTAGTACATACAATTGAATTTGAAAGTTAAAATTTTTCCTGCGCACAGAAATGACAATTTTTTTAACGTATTTACCAAAATTTACAGTAGTTTCTAAATTCAATAAAATATATGTATTTGCTTTGAAAATTTAGTGTACATTTTCCGAGGATAACATTGCAAAATGGCCATGATTAATAGTTAACTTTCTTAACTCTCTAAAGAATCAAAATTTTTTAATGCGTAAACACGTGGACAAAATTTATTTTATCCTTCTAAAGTGAACTTATTAAGTATTTCAATTTCTTAAATTTATAATTTATTATATATTATAAGAAAGTAGAGCAAGAATGAATAAAATGCTGTCTCAGCAAACACGTGATGATAACAGGAACCATTATTTTTGTACTGTTGACTTATTGTTGTAAGGTGTGCAATACCTGAAAAATTTTTGTACTTAGAAATTAACAGAAAATCAAACTTCCTTTAAAACTTAATCATTTTACTACAGTACTTTTAGTCTACAATGCAAAAACGTTGTCATACCGTCAATTACAGTATTCGTTTCGCTGAAATTATTTCTCGAAAGTGGTAAAAATTGATGAATAGCAGAAGGAAGTAAATTTTTTATTATTTCACTGATGAATGGACCATTCACTTCATAGTTTTCATCTAAAAAAGACAGTGTGAAATTACGTACAAATAAATTCAGTACAAACCCTAAAATATTTGCATAATGGAAAAGCAATAAATATGTAAAAATAAGTTTGAGATGTAACTGCGATAAAGAGTAATTTCATATATTCTGGCATTTTTACATTGTAAGCGGCTTATTACTCGTGCAACTTAAGCTTACTTTTTATTAGCTTACTTTGAAACTAAGACCCATTCATTCTTTGCATACTTTTCAGAAGGTATTTGTACTTTCCTTTTAAGCACTTTTTATGATCACAAAATAAAACATTGAATACTTTTCTGATATCTATTAATGCAATTATAGTTTTTTCTTCTAATCATCTGTAGGCTTTTTAGTCTCTGATTATTTGCTTCAATCAGGTAAGCCTAGAATAAAAAATGTATTTGGTCAACATGGATTGTTGTAAGTCGAATCATTGTAATTCTTCATGATATCATTATTAAAATTCTATATAAATCACCTTTTATCATTAGATGCACTCTAACCCAGTTGACAAAAAATTGAATTTGAATGATAATTTACCTTTATTTCCCCTTCCGCCTATTTCGAACTTACCTGTCGAGTTGATATTCGATGGATAAAGCATAGCTGGTGTAGATAGTTTTTCATCGGCATTTGTCTTCCCCATAAATACATTCATATCATTGTTCACTTTTACTGAAGATGTTATCCAAGACTTGTACATAACAGTTGTGGAATCAATCCTGAAATTCACTTTTAGGCAAAAGAAATCAAATCTTGAAAAAAAAATTCATAAAGTTTTTAAACAAACAGAAAACAAAAACATTGTAAATCAAAAAGAGGACAAGCAGCATATATAAATTTTTCAAGAAACTATTGATACAGCAATAAGTTATAAAATTCTTTTTCACAAGTATCAAAAATAAGCAGATACAAGATAAATGAAGTTAAAACATAAATACCAACGTGATAATGTTTTGCACACTTTCTTCAGCCTCTGTTACAAACTCCTTCTTCAAGCTATTTTCTACTAAAGAGGTATTGACAAATAAAATTTTACCGTCTTTATCTTCTGAAATTTCAAACATTATTACGTGAACACAATCTAAGTTTTTTTTTCCTTCAAAAGATCATGAAAGTAAAAAAGAAGAGAACTGAGATTTTTTTTTGCGTGAAAAAATATCACACTAAGAAATATATCAGTGATTAATTTACAATAAGAATTTTCACACCACATTATTTTTTTATTCTATTTTTTTTACTTAAATGCAAATTTAAAATGATGACTATTAGATGATAGCTTATTAAGAAAAATTATATTGATAAGTTAACGAAGAATTGAAATCACTGCAGTCCACTTTTTTTTCTGTATGTAATCAACAATTGTAGTAATTAATTTTGATTTTGATTATTTTTTGCCAAGAAATGCAAAAAAAGTGTATACTAGTTTTAATCGAATAAGTAATGAGTAAAGAAAGAAGAAGAGAAGCTAGAATCATGAATTGAGAAGAGAAAACGAACCAGATTGAGGTATAAGTATGCAATCCTCAAAAAAAGGTTTGGAAATAAAAGTAAACATAGAGAATGGTGCCTGAGGACTGTTGCAACGATCTAACGTGGTGCAGCCACATATGACATACTCTTTTTTTCTGTAACAGTAAGCTTGATCACGGAAAAAATTTCGTGTTTCATTATCAGCTTTCACACATCCAGATACCAACGTTTCATTATAGTAATTATTTACTACTGAAATGCATCACCATTATCATTGTCATTATCATTATCGTTATCATTATCTAGCTCTTGCTGTGGATGGATACACACAAAATATGCAGAACAAAAAAAATTTTTTTGACTAAATATTTATAGCTATTGTTGTCTTGAAGACGATTTTGATGTAAAAAATTGTTAGAAAGTAAACAATATACTTTGTTCTAATAATTGATTTTGTTATTTACAAGATGAAATAATAGATTACCTATGAAACAAATATCTCCTTGGCAGTTGACTGGACATGTTCTGAAACCAGAATTACTTGAATGAGGTAAATAACCACACTCCGCACATTTGATACTTGTAACATTTTGCGCTGCATACAACATTAACAAAGCAGTTAGAATTGAGTATTTTTGCATTGCTATAAAAATATAAGTATTATTTTTTTTAAATATCTACCCCATTTGCTGCTTATCGTCATGCTTTATCACATTCTGTCTATTCTATTTTCATTAATTTATATTTCGTACCTTATAAATTTTCTATAACATTTTTCAGACTTTCATCACTCTAAGCTTTGCTCAAACTTTTTTCTGAACAATCTATATGAAAAATATAAAATACAATTAAACTTTAAAATACATATTGAATATAATATAACATCAAGTCTGTAGTCATCAAACTAGAATTTCTTCATTACAACTGCTTTCCAAAGCAGTAATAAAGAACTCTCTCGCAAAAAGCGCACAATTTGTACATTTTTTGCATGACTGTTTCCTTGATAAAAATCTATGAAATGAGCATGCAATACAAATGCTTATGTATCCTTATCAAATATTTAACTCATAGATTTATATCTCGTCACAAAGTAGCTTAAATTATTTTTATTTTGAAATTATTCATCCGGAAATCGTTCCAAACAGTTCCTATTCTATTTGCAAGTTAGTAAAATTCACATTTGCACACTTGCAAAATTTTAAATTTCACTCAGTTAATTATTTCTACTGACTTGCCACATCAATACAACACAATATTATCATCGGTGCACCACCATATTTTCCAGCCTAATCGTTTCATGACAGCAATAAATAAATAAATATGAATCTGACAGAAATTATTGAGATTTACTTGTGAAATTTATGTTCTTTACCGGTTTTATAAGACTTGCTGAAATATTTTGAAACTTTTTTGCATCAAAGCAAGATATATTTACGTTTTTATCAAATACTTATGGTAAACAGATCTATCTTCATTAAGTTATCCATTAAAATCCTTTAACTTCTTTCTTTGTTAACATGCGTTGTTTCCTAAGACACAAACCCTCATTTTGTACTATTCTGCAAAATTATACATTAAAAACTTGCAAATAAGCTATTTTTACTAAAAGATAGTACAAATAAGTTGTGAGCAGGAAAAAATTTGGTATCCAGTAATAACTGATACAGCAAAAGTATTTTGGGTATATTGAGTTGAAAACCAGTTCTTGTGCTATAAATCACATAATAATAAATGCGGAGAGGAGGAAATTGGAATCGCTCTTTGTAAAATTTTGTAGTAATATGCCAATCCATCCTAATTTACCCTTCTGCAAATAATTCAAAATATAAAGTTAAAATCAAGCATTACAAGATGAAAATAACTTCAGATAAGAGAAAAATAAATTTTTATAAATTAGTCTTATATTTTTTGCAAGACTCAACAACAATTTCGCGTATAACACATATTATACCTCGGAAACTATCAACTGATTCACAAGCAAAGCCTTCTGCTGTCGCTTTTCGTGAAATAAATGCTGTACTATCATTGTTTTTTGTGTAAAAGCTTCGAAAATGAGTTTCTCCTAAAAAAGTTTCTATTCTCTCCTCAATCAGTACACTATTTCATTGTGTATTATGCAATGGTTAAATGTCCAAATTTTGTACAAGATGCTTTAGACATAATTGTAAAAGTTTCTTACATTTACTGAAATTTATTGCAGTAAAAATCACAACTTGCCTTGAGTTTCAGGTGTAACTGGACAAAGCAATACGAAGCCAACTCTTAGATCTTTTTCCACTCGCATGATAGCACATTTGTTATTCTAAAATTTTAAAGATTAGATAAAGTTTTGAAAAAAATAAAGGGATGTTTTGAAGCATTTTTTACTGTCGTTAATTTGACATTGAATCATAACTGCCAATTATTAACAGTCCATTGTTTTTTTTCTGTCTCATTACTTATAATAAAAATGTTTACCTTGCATGAAAGATATCGTGGTGCTGAAAAGAGTGAAACCATTCGTCTTTTACAAAAAAATCCATAACCATTCATAATCAGCTACAAATAATAGAGATTATTTACAGAGATCATTGAAAAATAATTGAAGTACCACTTATTCATTCTAATTAATTTCTTACTAAACAATGATAGTGAAATCTGCAGAAATGAGAATTCTAGTCTATTTCTTATTTAAAACTGATTCTAGAAAATTTAGCCTTTTCAATGTAAATAAAAAGATCTTGCATAGGTACTTGATGTGCTCGAACAATGAGGTCAATATTTAATTGTTCGCAGCAGGTATTTACAGTGTCCTCACCAAAAAAGTAACCTGCTCCACGGATTGAATTTTTAATAAATCCTTTAAGATCAAGCATTGGATCAGACCAGAGTAGACTGCATGCAAGAGGTGAGTCAATGGGATCATTTAAAGGACGTTTAATCTGAAATTTTCAATTGAGAAATTTTTTCAATGAATTGCTATGAACTAAAAATTTTTGATTGCATTAGTTAAAATATAAACTAACCTTTCTAATATCATCCAATGACTTTAATTCTGGTCCGATGCCACCATGCATGCAAAGAATCTTATTATGTATAATAGCAGAAAGTGGCATGCATGCAAACAGTTCATTGAATGCATTCCATAATGTTGAGCTTTCGTTATTGTGTGGAAATCTGCGTTCAAGTTCTGCTTGAAAGCCATATGCTTGATTGATATCTGCTGACTCGTGATTGCCACGTAACATGTTAAACTATAATGTCACTCAATTAAAATATATTTTTAAGACTGACAAATAACCTCTTGAATTAAACAATAAAAAAACCGTATCATTTATTTATTTATTAACCATTTTTGGAAAGATCAATTTATACGCCAATAAACAGCAAATAGTTTCCAAAGAGTGCAGGCCTCGATCAACGTAATCACCCAAAAAAACAAAACGTCGTTTTACTGCACCACTTATTCGACCTTCTCCAAGAACGGTAAATATTCGATGCAAATCTTCATACTGAAAGTTTTTAGCTTGAAGTTGATTAAGAATAGCTAACGTATATGAGTACTATTCTTGCAAGGTTTATATTCACAGTAATGTTTTGCTATGTAGTTAGTTAATTAGTTATTAACTAATATTGTACGTGTTAACGTTTATTGCACTGTATTCAGTGCAATAAATGTTTACACGGTTTTATGCAGAGTCTAAGTTATCCTTATCAGATCAAAAATGGATGATACAAATTTTCAGTAGACTTTTATCACCACGAATTACGATCTACATATTGAATATAAAGAAATTAAAAAGACAGAAAACAATGCAAATAGTTTAAAAATGAATAAAAAAGTTCATATTTCTTTCTTTTAAATCGTGGTATTGAAGGTTTTTACTTTATCTTCATTTATTTAGTTTGATAATTATTTATTTCTTGCAGATATGGCTTATTTGTAGTTTTCGATGTTAATTCGAACTGTTATTTTTTTCAATAAGGAACAGTTTAGAGCTGATTTGGATTTAATTTCTAGTCATCTTTTTGTAAGCAATATAACACGCTTTGAAGTAGCTTGAGATCTTGGCTCCAGATGAGAATCCTTAATTCTATATATCACTAGTAATGATCACAGTGATACAGAAAAAAATATTAGCTATTTGAAAAATGAATTAAAATTCCCCTCGAAACTTTCAATAAAATCTAACAGTTAAATAATTGACTGCCTAAAATTCAATGTCACAATTAAAAATAAATATTTACCTGTCCATGAATATCACCAATAACCACACATGGTACTTCTACTTCAAGTAACGATGGCTCTGCCAAAAATAGCTTTTTCGCGTCCGACAAAATAGGCAACAGTTCAGATGCAGTGTATTCAATCAGTGCAAAACAAATAATAATAATAAAATTTTTGGCCGTGTTAGCATATATACAACAAAAATACCTCATGAAATGAAAAATTTGTCATCTGCAAGGCACTATCAACTTTTTTTCCTCAAAAATCTCAATATCATTTGTTTCAACAATTATTTTCATATTTTAATTTTCTTGAACCTTGGTGACAACCACATATTTTCTTCTATTCCAGTAGTCCTTCTTGATAATAAGAAAGATTAAAAAAATGCGACTGAGTATTAGTTGTCTGTCTCGATAAAAACTTTGTGTGCACTGATTTCAGCAAATATAACTCAGCACTTAACAACAGTTGCTATCTGTTTCTGTATGACATTACAACGATTAATAATAATTTTGTAGTGAAATTGATCATAAAACTTATTTGTGGTATAAGTAATGTGTTTTTTCAAGAAAGCTGCATGCTCTCGATTGATAGGTTTGGACAATTTGTTCACAAATGGCATTATCTAGATTGTACACCATTTCGTATCTTTATAAAAGGTCATAATTGCTTTCAGCATATATTTATCATACTTTTTATCTACTTGAAAAAACTCAATAATAAATAAGATATAAAATTATATTTTTTCAGTCTCAAGTTAATTTAACAGTTGTAAAGTACCAGTACTTACAGCCTTTCAGATGCAATGCTTGTGGTAAAACCACTCAGTAATAAGCAAACTATCAGAATGAATTTTAAAAGGCTGAATAAATGATTAAATAAATAACAAAGTTTAATAGATATGAAATATTCAACAAAGTGAGCTTTATGTCGCACAAACACACAAAAATTCAAGCTTTTAAATCTATAAAATGTAATTGAACTATTTTTTCAAATTAGTTTAAAAAATAATTTTCTATCAACTCAATACGATTCAAATTTGTTGAAGTGTTTGTGTTATGAAAATAGTTAAGATGTAAATTTTATCTTTATACACTGACAAATTGATTTAATGTACACTATATTTTTGATGCATATTTGCATATAACAAAGTGTAACAACTTATTTTCATTGAAAAATATTGACATACTTTCTGACAAGTAACAATATTTAAAAATTAATTGTAGGAAAATTTACAATCAGAATGATTTACAAAATATTTGTTTATCGTATCCTACTATTGTGAAATTTTACATCATCAATAACGATAAACATGACAGGTAACAAAATTAGTGCATGAGCTAATCCCAAAATAGTGACGAGAACTATTGTTTTCCAGAATACAGCTACTACATATGCATGCACCATTGTAATAGGCAACATAGCTAAAAGTATAGTACCACGAGATCAATTATTTTTTTATAATTTTTTTAAAATAATATCTTAATTAACATTAATTACAACGTTTTATATATGAAGATTCTAATAAAATAAACTTTTAACAAATTAAGAGTGATAACAATTAACTGAAATTAAATACTGATTGATACGATTACTTACTTACCTAACAAATTGCTACATCCAGATTGGATCACCGGCAACCCAACATCATTAAGAGTAATTAGAAGCCTTGTTCGAGCATCAGCATTTAAATCCATATTAGATATAACTGGATTGATTTTTCTTGAACAAGATATTGATTGATCTTTGATATTTGTATCTGAGCCCACAATGATCGAAATAGGCTGAGTATAACGCTCTGGTAGTTTTCTCTTTCGTTCGTCAATCTATATGATAGCACATATTTATAAATATTGCATTATAATGCTTGCGCGAAGCTACATTTTTATCTTTGCACTATAATTGTTTCTCATTTTATAATTAATTCATGCCTAATAATCTCTAAAAGGATAATCAAAAAGTTATATACTAATTTACATGCATGGAAATAGTATAAATAGTGTTTTGCATGTTCAAAGCAATCATAAAAATAATGAAAGTTTAGAAACTGGATAAAAGATACATTTAGTGTAAAATAATGATAGCATATATGAGCACTGTAATCAACTGAGAAGCCAATACTCATTAGTATGCTTATTAAAGATACTCCATCCAAATGAACATTCCACAAATGCAAATATGCAAGACAACCAAAACAAATTGATAAAATTGATATCACGACTGAGATTATGGCAAATATGTTGTTAATGAACATGTAAACTAAGATCCCCATTAAAATTAATGCCGAAACTGCAAATAATATTGTCACTTGTATAGATGAGTTTATTTTAGCTAATAATTTTAGATAAAAAGAATGCTCGAAAATTAAATATAATGCTAGAATATTTTTGTATTTTGACTTACTGGAATGTTTACATTCATATTTGCTTACTTATCTTTAATGATGAGTATGCAAATGATGAAAGTGAATGTCAAAGATGAACCTGCTGTTTGAAGGAAATTAACCACAGCACTAGCAGATGACTCCGTTGGGACTTTTTCTAGTGGATGATGGGAACTGATAGTGAAGAATTTCGAATAATTTGCTAATATTGACCGCCTTCACTGACAAATATTAATGTAAACAAAAAGTTGACATTGAAAGATAGAATAAAAACTCATTGAGATATTACAACTTTGGCCTATTTGTTAAATTTTATAGCTTCATTTAAAAACTTTGGAATGAATTACAGTTAGTGCGGAATAACACTTTAAGCAGTTTTAAAATTAGAAAGAAAGATGGAACTTCATTTTTTGAAAATTAAAAAATTATTTTGTCAAAAACATTCTACTCTGTTATTTGCAAGCTTGATTTTGATTTTTTTCAAATTATTAAATGGCTGGTTGAAAATTGCATTAAAATGAAGTTAAAATTAGAAAAGACCTTAGAAACATGAGTTCTGCCACATCTGTGAAGTCGCGCATATTATGGTAAGTTATTATCCAATAGAAACCAGAAATGACTTCCGTGCCATCTGCTCTTCTCCTAAAATAAATTTTCCCTTACATAGAATTATGCGCAATTTTACCTCCATAATTGTGCAAATAATGATGTCATCGCAATTATGAAAAGCAGCTGTAAGTTTTTCATACTAGCCATTTAGAATCAAATGCAATCCCCATTGTTAAACTGTTTAATTTATAATTTGTCAAATTAACTTTTCCAAATTTTTTAAAAAAATTAATGAAACGAAAACGTGAAGACAAAGTAGAGTAAAAAAGTCTTATTTTCTTTCCAAAGTAAATAGTACTTTTACTTCATCCAGAATGCTGTAGAGATCAAACCATGGTCAATTTTTTGTGAAGAATTGCAAAAAATTTGCAATCAACGATAACAAGAACATAATTCGTGACCCGAACAAAAATCTACATAATTATAAAAGCTAAGATTTATCTATTCAAAAATTTAAAATCTGACTTATTTGTTTTGAAGAAAATTTGGACCTAGCCAAATTATTTGTATGACACTGTAATCGAAGAGGAAGATATGATAATTTATGATCCTATCGCAAAATTTTCCCTACATGAAAGGAACCTTTTGAAATGGTTTAAACCAAGCACATCTGGCTATCTATGCCTTCAAAGTAAAATAATGAACTAACTTTGTTGTGATGAATTTATCTTCCATCCCGTATTCTCTAAACGCAGACAGTAACCTATCTTCAGTCCATAAATCATCTTCTTCACCCCAAAAAGCTGCTGCCTGCAATATTTCAGTGAGAAATAGTAAGTACTTCCTTGTTTGTGTTTGCTGTAAAAAAGGCAAACAAGCAATTTTTCACGAGTGAAATTCAATTAATAATCAATAACTGCATTTGAGAAGAAATGTGGTAAATGTGTACATATGTTTTTCTTTACCCAAATTTTTTGATTTTTCATTGAGATGAAAATACTTTCCCTTTGAAAACTGCTACTACGAAAATCTATCTGTAAACGGAATAGAAATGAGCAAAAATTCTCTTACATCATCGAAATCTCTGGTCCATAAAACAGTACCAACGCGACCCAAACCGAATTTGGGTATTGCTTCAAGTTCCTCAATAAGATTATTGAACTTATCACGAATGGATGGATCCGCAAAATTTGGCATTGGATAGAGACCGAAATTGACAACATATGATTCACCAAGAACAAAATGTTGTATCCGCTGTGCGATTTCTTTCATCGGTGAATTTTTCAAATACAAATTTTCCAAATCAAAATTTGAATTAACTTTAGTGCATAAATAAACTGTTGCCTGAAATTTAAAAATGATATAATTTTGAAGTCTGAAAGTGGTGTAATTTCAGTCAAAATAATCAATATTATGAATTAATCTTCAATTTTCATTAAATTTAATGTTAAGTATTAAAATACGACATCATTCTGAAAGACGTTGAAAGGCGCATTCATGTCATTATCTAATCATTTATATGCAATGCAACTTACAATAATGTGAATGATGAATAGAGTAATCACACAGAATTTTACTAGTGGTATATGAAGAAAACCAATAAATCGTTGAAGGAAAGTTTGAGTATTCTTGTAAGTTCTTTTGGGTATCTTTGCTGGCCAACTATTACTATTAGACAGGGAATATTTAATAGTTCCAATTTCACCAATGCATACTTTATTCAAATTTTCCTGATCGATTTTTCGCCAAAATGCGTCAACCACACTTTCACACTTCGACTTCTACAAAAACTCAGCTTAAATGTGGCGATTTTCGGTCTAAATTTTCCTCCTTAAAAAACTCCTTTGAAACCCTATAGAGTAATCTGAAGCAAAGCTAACTAGGTTTTTTTTTTCTTAAAAGATCAATTATACTATGGGAGATTACTACAAAATTATCTTGATGAAATAAGAAAATCGAACAGTTACTCAGATGTAAATCATTAAACTTACTCCAATCAAACTAATTGCTTATTTAAATCACATTATTTGATGCAATATTTCTACTAGCTACAAAACAAAATGAAAATAATAACTGTTACTAGCCAGCAAATATAATGACTAACTTGATCGCAGTATTTTCTATCATTAGCAAGATTTAGTTTTCGTCTGTTGCAGTACACCACAACAGCAGTATAAAAAGTAATCTGAAATTATAGTTATACTAATTAAAAAACCAAAATTTAAATCAATCTCAAGCATACTCAACATGACTACTGCTAATAATTAATTAATGCAAATACCTGATAAACAAAATCAAACATGAGTGCTGTGCAAGCATAAAGACAAAATAATCGCACAATTGGTAGATTCGAAAATAATCCAACCCCAAAACACAACACATCGGTCAGTGAAGTTACTGTGAAGCTCGCACCCGAATAGGCTAACGTCTCTCCAATTCTTGTACAAAGATCACTATCTGGACTGTAAATGAGCAAAATAAATTTATTTACTTTGACTGCATCTTATCCATCACTCAATTAAGCCTAATTATTGTGAAAAACATATATTTTGTGTAAGTTGAGAAGTTATAAAAAAGTCATGTGAATTAATACTTGTTCCTGAACAAGTATTAGTTTTAGAAATGAAAATACTTTTCAATTTAAAATGAAAATACATTAAGAGCATTTAATTTACAAATGCTTTAAGAAAAATCTTAAAATTCGACACTTACTTTGAATGCCTCCAGGCAGCCAATATTAAAAAAGAATCATCAACACCAATAGCTAAGATGAGGAAAGGTACAACTGTAAGAATATTAGAGAATGGAACATTGAAACCCCACAAAAAACCCATAGAAGTAATCATTGCCATTATCGGTGAAATCACAGCAAAAAATGCCTAGAAATTACATAGTTCCCACCAGTAAAGTAATTCAGTACAATAAGTTTATTGCAAGCTTTGCTGTAAAAATAAAGCTATTAAGTAATTTTACTAAAAGGTTGTTTTACAATTTTAATTGCAACTGGACAGTAAATACCTCAATATGTTGACTTTTAACTGGAGAAAAATTTATCAAGCTGATGACCATAAACACAGTAAGAACAGAAATCGTAACGACTAGGAATGGAAGTGCTGTAAGTGTAATTCTTCTTTGCTCTTCAGTCTCACGATCAAAACTAGTTAGTTTGTAATCTAAGTTCTGAAAGACCATTTCTTAATGTCTCAATACTAAAAAAATTCAGATTTCCTACTGATTCAATTGTAGATTTGAATTTGAAGGCAAATCCGTTCACACTTTTCCGATAAACTTTGTTTTCATACTAGGTAAAAGAATTATCATATTAATTATTAAGTATTATTCAATATTTGTAGTAGAGTAAGAATTTTAATTTTTCATATTCTTTGAAGCAATAGTTACTAATTTTCAAGCACTTTAAAAATTTTCATAAGTCATTTGCTACATTCCCTGCTTACTTGAGATGTGATTGAACTGCTTTCAAAAAATGCTCGCAATTGAGATTCAAAATTTTTAGCAATTGTATCACCATTAGGAAGCTCCAAATTGACCTAAACAAGATAAATTAAAAAATAACTGCCTTGTTTACATTATTTTGATACGATAAATGAGGAAGTGATGTAAATGAAAGAATTCAGAACAAAAAAAAATACTACCATAAAGTGAAGTATGAAGAGTTTGAAACTATCAACAACTGTTGTTGCATCTTCCGTCGATTGATGCGTTTCACCAACAGAATATCTGAACATACGTATTTTATATGCAAGTATGCAAATTTATCAATTTAATTTATATCGTATGATTTTTCATTACCTAATTGCTGAGCATAGTAATATCACATAAAAAGCGACTTGCTTATAGCTTTGAATTCATGAATAATTATAACAATAGCATTAGTAATAAACATAATAATATTAATTAATTAATTAATTATAATTATAGTAATTAATAATTGTTAATAATAATAACTTGAGTAAGATTTTTTGAATAAGTGCATGTTAAAAAATGCAAAATCATTAATGATTAAGGAAGAAAAGCTATTTACCCTAGAAAAACCCGGTTTTGAAGTGCACGTGCATTTGGATAGGTAAAAACAAGCGATGAAGACTGACTCTTTGTGTCAATCACAGCCTGAAATTGTAATTAATTGAAAATTGTTTTCTTAAAGCAAACATTTGATTGTATTGACAAAATAAATTTTGATAACTGTTAAAGAGAATGGATTCACTCTGATTACATTAAATGATTTTGTTAATATTCACAAATTTGGTTACTCATAAATTTAAGTGACTTTTTTACGCATAAATTTACGAAATTTTTAAATGCAAATTAAAATTACAAATATCAAAATTTTTAACTTAATAAGCTTATTAATGGTTGTTCGTGCGCAGAAAATTTGTGCTTAAATAACCTGTATGAATGCAATGGCAATATTGTTACTATCGTTGCAATAAATGCCACAAATATTTGTATAAGTTAAAACATTGAAGCCATCATGAATTGTGATATTATTGTTTACGTATTGATGCATTTCTAATATTTCTGCTAAATTTTCATCGTTCATCAAATTACCACCATCTTTGCGACTCACCAAAATTTGAATCTAAAGTAATAAATTAGCTGAGATAATTATGAACAATTTAAAACACAACATAATAATCCAAATAAAATCACATTTTTCAGCTTGAAATTATAATTTGGTTCAACTTAACTAATGTTTGGGTAGTTTTACTCGTGAATCCTTTGAAGTAAATGACTAAAATAAGCTTACTTCTGAAACTATATGAAATGATGGCGATAAAAAATATGAAAGTTGATTCATATATATATTCTTGCTTACACTGCATACCAAAATTTTCACAGTTATTTTCGCTCATGCTTCAAAATTTATCTTGATAAATTTTTCACTTTTTTCACACTTCATTACCATTTTCACTCCCAATAATTCATAAATAAACGTGATCATATTTTTTTGTCATGTTGCTTACAACTAATTTTTGTGAGAATGATAACTGAACAAATTTGTCAAAATTTTCTTCCTCAATAGTGAAAGAATAAAATGTAAAATGCAAAATGCATGAAACAGTTGAGAAAAATAGGTGGGAACTTGATTTACATCATGGAAATGTTTACTATTTAATTGAATTTCATTAGCGATTACTTTTGATAGATAACTACAGAATGAAATAAATTGAGATATCTTCTACAAGTTACTATTATTTTTTGCTTTTTAACGCTATCGCACATATTTGCCATATGAATGATAATTTTCACAGTTTTCTTTGACTTTTTATTATATAAAAATATTACTCACTCTGTAATGATGTGAAGCACTTGCATATTCAAAACGTTCCAAACCTTTTTCTTCTACACGAGTTAGACCATTTATAGGTGAAAAAAGATGTCTAATGTCATCATTAGCATGAAAACGAAGTAGCCCGAAAGATGAAATAACTGTTATAATTACTGGTATAACCTAAATTCATTTTAATCTAATTTACTTCAAGAAAATCTCTATGAGACATAAATTTTGAAACATTATGCATAATAAAAAAGTAATTAGGGAAATTTCAGAACTATAATTGTATAAAAATACTTTGCATCCAAATTATGTTCGAAATTTCCAAGGTCATGCAGCCAAGCACAGTTTCGAATTCAATTATTAAAAACAAGTTTCTTAATAATACCTTATTTGCACAACTGTTGTTTAATAAATTGGTAGAAAAAGTAAAGAATATAAAATTAAAAGTTGCTTATACAAACGAATATTACCAAAAAAGGCAGTGGACGTTTTGCTAAGTAACATCCATAACGTCGATAAATATTCTCCAGTAGTCTCATTTTAGTTTTTTATTAGCTGCAAAAGTTTATGATCAAGATTTAGCAAAAAAGTAAAAAGTCAATTTGATGAAAAAAATTGAACTTGAAATAAGAAAAACGCGAAAAAATTATATTATTAATAAAATGTATTCAAGCACTTTATGATCATTGATTACATTGCAGATAGATTTTGGTATGAAATATTAAATTTTAAAAAAAGATAACGAGAAATTACTGAATACTGAACTGCAAAGATTTTCAAAATTCATTTTTTACACACAGAGCATAAGTTTAAATATACGTTGATTTAATTTATTATTGCTGATTATTATCAAATTCGAAAGTGTGAGAAGTAAGCTTGAGACTTCAAAAACATACTATTCGGAATTTAAAGTTATGCCAAAACAAGGTAAAGATAGTCATATCAACCTAAATCTGCAAAAAACAAAAAACAAAAAACTTAAAAATCATAAAATTACTGATGCTTCAACTGAAAATGCACCTCAATTATTTCCACAAGAAATGTGAAAACTAAATATCACGATACAATAAGGCCAATGAAATGATTTAAAAAAAAATGAAACGAGTTCAACTGAAAATTTTTCGGAATCAAATTTCTGAGCAAAACATTCATCACGTAGTAGAAATAATTGAATAAATTTGTATGACCAAAGTGTATAATTTTCGGTCTTTTTTACTTCACTGTACTTTCTTTCTTTAAAATTCTTCGAAGTAACAAAAAGGACATCCATCTAACATGTTTAGCTTAGACAAAATAAAATTTGGCGAACAATCATCACAATAAATTTCTTAGACTTATATTTTTACAGAAGAAATACTGACCGGTTCTCAGATTACTGAAATTATAAAAAATTTAAAGTAGTTCATGCAGAATAATGATTAAGAAAATGATTTTTAAACAAATTTTTAACAAAATTGAAATACGTTTGAATTTTAATTAATGTACTTGAGCAAAGAGTCAGCTCATCATGATGAAAAAAATGACAGATATTCAAACTTTCTCGCAGCATGACAACTTAAATAATTAATACAGCATTTAATGAAAGCTGAAAAAAATAATTTAAAAATTGTATCTTATTAAAGAGCTATGAAGAGGAATAATAATAAATTATAAGTGAGCTCAAGTTGTTAAAATAACAATAAGTAGTATGTAAATAGCGGAGAAGCAGTAAAAAGGCAAAAGCTGGAAAATAAGTAAACAACTGTAAAATATCATCAGTAAGAAATTAACGCATAGAGAATAGTATTTGATTCATAAACGAGAAATTAGAGAAAAGAAAGCAAGTATTAATTGAAAAGGATGAATGAAAATGAGTAAGAACCAAGAACATAAAAGTTACTAAAGTAACAGTAATAACAAACTGGTAACAAAATTTGAATCTTTAAAAATATAAGATGAAAATAATTATGCGTGATAAAAACACTAACACACACATGCTTGATATTATTAACAAATTGCTTTTTATTTACAAAATTTAAAATATTCACTAGGATATTTGCAAATATCAAACGCTTCTTGAGATTATTTTTTATGTGTTCAAGAACAAGAGAACAAGACATGGATTACCTACAACGATATATTTTTTCAAAAGTTTGACGATGTTCATTTATTGATCTCATAATTTATTATCACCATAATTAATTTGGTGATTAATTATGTGTTAGTAAAAGTTTTCCCTCTTTTATTTACATGTAACTATTTAAATCTGAAAGGTAAGATATGAAAAATCCATTTGGACGAAAGATTCTTTTGTATTCATATTCTTTTCTTTTGTATTTTGTTTAGAATGTTATTATATGTGTGATGAACATACAAAGGCGTTATCTGTTGGAAACATCTCATCTTACATTATTACTTGAAAAGATTGCTGCCTTCAAGTATCACTTTGCTTTACACGTTAATGGCTTTCTTGCAATAAAAACGAGTTTTTGCCGATCTGACAATAGATATCATACAATCTTCGAAAAATGGTTGTGATTAAAAGAAAATGAGAGGCAGACAACCCATTCGTAATTAGCTTACATAATTTCAGTGTATAATAAGTTTACACTTTATAATGGTAAAAAACAACCTTTATTTTGAATAATTTTGTTCAATTTTACATGGTGACATCTTTTACCTTGCAAGAAGTACAAAAAAATCCTTCTAATATCATTTAGAATTTTCACAAATGATGAAAGTTTTTTAGTAATATTTGTTTTATTCTTTCAAAAAACTAGTGACAACTAAAAGTCATAAAAATATTCACTTTTAAAAATAGGATAATACTAGAACTTATGAAGCGAATAATGTAAAAAATTTTTAGCACTCGAAAATTCTTGTAACTGATGGTAAAAACATTCCATTTATTTTTTTCGCCCAAAAATTGGTCAGTACCTTTCAGCTCTTAATTACATATCCCACTATTGTGAATACACCTGTACTTGCAACTAGGAAATACTCTTAGTTTCTCAAAATTATCTAAAATCAAATAGTATTTGAAAAAACAAGACAATTGACAAGTTTTGTTATATTGAAATCACGATTAATCAATACAGTTTTATCGCGTAAATGTTTGAGAACATTTCATTATGACGTCGATTTAGGCGAACTGCATTCATCAGCAGATCTATCTCATTTGTAAATGCTACAAAACCAAAATTAAAAATTTGAGCAGTAAAGTTATTATTTATACTGCACAGACTATTTTATTAAAACAAGCGAACAGCAGCAAATTGTGTAATTTGCACATGCAGTAATTAGTTTCAGGTCATTTTAAAGAATGCTGAAACAGAAATAAAAAGTTCTGAAAAAAACGAAAAACAGGCTTTTAGCTCGTTTCTTTTTTTTTGTTGTCAAACAGTAATTAATTAATGAGCACAAGTATTTTTCCTATTTTAATTTTGCAGCTAGTATATTTTAGCAGCATGCAAAATATGCTTAGTAGATCCTGAAAAATAATTAATACATTAATGATAATAACTATTGAATGTGCAATTAATTCCTTAATCATCTAATAGTTCATTTTGCTTAGTGAGAATAACTTTTATTATTTTCATTACAACAAAAGAACTTTGGTTGTAATAAAACAATGCAAGCATTTAATTGTAAGCAGAAGAGAGAAAAAAACTTTACTGCCAAATGAAAGCCTGAAAAAGTGATGCCCACTTTAAAATTTTGAATGACAGAGAAATGTTACCGTAAAAGTTAACTTGTAATGCTCTTTACACAGTTTCTCTCGCCCTTTTTCGTAGTTCCTGTTTCAGTACATGCATCCTTTGTATACATCCCCTTTTTAAATAGTTTCAGTAATTGCTTATCTTTGAAAGTTTTTTTTGACGAAAATAAAATGCCTCCTATATAAATGTATAGAAATATAATTATGTAGATAGAATTATATATATATATATATAATTTTAAGAATTAGATAGAATTATACGAATATATAATTCTATCTAATTCTTAAAATTTTTTAAATTATGAAATTTTAAAAAGTACTTTTTTAATATTTATAAAACTCAAATTATTCGTCTTGTCTAACCTTTTTTTGCTTATACATAAATCGAAACAAAGATAGTAGTAATTTATTATTAGTTCTTTTTAACCTAAATTTTTTTGCATCAAGATAAAATAACCAGTAAAAGATATGATGCAGCTGTTATTAACAGCTAAGTTACAAGCAATAAAAGTGAGTCTTTTAAAGTAACAGTTGGTCAAAACATTAATCAGTTATAGAAAACAAATGGAGGCCGAAAAATTTACTCAAAATGCTATTTGAAATTACGCTGAGAAACAATACAAATAAAAAACTTCCTCCATATATGCCTATCTTACTTTCATTCCATAAATAACGAAAATCGGAATTTGTCAATTTTTTTACGCATAAAATTTATAATGCTCAAAAACTAGCCTTATTTTCTAAACTACTCGTAATATTAATGTAAATGAATAAAACTGCTGAAAATATTAACAAAAAATTTTCGTGGAATTTTGCAACGAATTGAGAACATGTTTTGCAAAAAAAAAATCTAAGTGATATCTACAGACGGTCGAGGAGGTTATATGTGCATATAAACTAAGATACCGATTACACGTACAATTACTGAAATCCCAGAAATAATCATAAAAAGCTTACAAAGCACATTCCATCTATAATTGTTTTAATTAAAGAGTGCAAAAAATCACTTAAATAAATGGAACAAAAACGGGAAAATGGATGTCATTCCAAATTACCTATAGTGCTAACTGCTTAACACCATCAAGTCAAACCTGCATTTCTTGAACTGCATGGTTTAATTAAATAATAATTAGGAATCTTCATCATAATCATTACTGCTTTGTTTTTCAGCTGACTAATTGAAACTTTCATTTCTGGCCTTTGCTATCAAATTGTAAACCATTTCTCATTTTTGAAGATATGAGTGTAAAATGATCCATAAAGAAATAGTAGTGATGAGATAGAATTCAAATGAGCAGAAATTGTATGTCCAAACATTTCAAATTCGCTTTATTACCTTTTGTATGGCATATTTTTGCTTCAATAATTGGTGGACATCCAAGGAATTGAGATTGAAAGAATCAGTAGATTTTGCTGTGAAAATGATCGAAAGATGCAAACAGGCAGCAATTATCACAAACAAGCATATGTACAAGGGTACTCACGCAATAAACCAATTCATATTCGCATTTTCATCTTAATGTGATTTGCAATTAGCGTCCGAACCAGGACAACAAGAACAATATTTGTTACATCTAAATTAGTAAAGTAGAAAAAAGGAAGTAAAAAGTTACAAGTAAGCAATATTCGTTTACCTTATGCTACTACTGCTGCTACTTCCATAATCTTGAGCTCATTACAAAATTTTATTGTCTGTATGAAAAGGATAAAACCATTCATACATTCATTTCTCAATTAGTCCGCAAGAAGTCATATATGATAAAAACTTCCAATCGGATTATTTTTCTCAGACGAAATTCTGAAAGTAAACTATTTTACAAAGGCCATTTGACTGATTCAATTGCATGATGATGCGTATTTTGCAAAAGAGCAGATAGATTGACTTATAGATTAGATGTTGCTGTTATTGCTGCAACTGGTCGACAATAAAGTAAGGGATTTGCAAACAGATTTATTTGCTGCAATGAGATGATTGCATGAATGAATGAATGATTGATTGATTGACTAATTTCATACTAATTGATTGATTGAAATGCCTACAGACTGCTACTAATCTCCAGTATACTTTACTTTGCCATTGTTGCAACTTTATTTAAATTTTTTGCAAGTGATAATAAGGTATCTAAGAACGAAAAAAATCTGCACAACTAAGAATAAGTATGCATTTATGATGCTAATTAAAATGAAATCTCTATGAGATACTGTAAGTAAACTATGAAAAAATTGCTGTCATCTGTTTCATCTTACTGCATTTATTATTTTTCTTCTTCTTAAATATATTTTATGTGAAGAAAAAAATGACTGCATCATATCATAGTTATACTTCTTCTGTACTAAAATTAATTTTATTTCAGCAAATTCAAGATGCTTTTTTGATCATGAAATTGCAATGATCATTCATTTCCACTCTTTACTTTCTAAAATATAAAACTTATTTGAGTACACAGAAGAAAGACGACTTTGCTCATGCACGCTAATCACCAGTTTCAAATATTTTTTTTCAGATACAGGTACGTAAACATACTCAACTCATGCTTCATGAAAAAGCTTAACTGTGTTCATTTTACATAAATATGCGCATTTTATATAAAAAATTAAAAATGTATTTTTGTATAAACTAAGATTATCTGTCTTGTATCAGTTAACTTGGCTGCTTCTTAGTTTGGAACTGTTGTTATGATTAAAGAAAGTAATCACGACCATCAGTTCAATATCAACCAACTTTACTGCTCACTCACCGTATTTAAAAGAACTACAAAGCTCTAAATACATCAAAGACGACATCTTGCTTAGTTAAATCCTAATTATTATGCCTATAGCAAATCTAAAACTTGACTTAATTCGTCATTTCTACACGAAGAGGCAAAAAGCTTAAATCTCAGAAGCTTAAGTCTTGAAAATTTATAAATAAACTCATTTGAAAACATGCTTTAGAATTCCGCTAAGCAAATGCATGTTAAGCCATTTTACTGTTTTTGCAATATTCTTATTTCATCGACTTTCGTATAGCTTTACTAGTTTTCATAAAACTATTATTTGTTCAATACTGTGTGCTGAACGAAGAAGCAAGCATTTAGTGGAAGCAATAGAACATATTAAGAATGTAATGAAGTTATTATTTGAAATAATTTTTTCCAATCTCCCCTTTTCAAACAAAAAAAATATTTGAATGACAACTTGACATTTAATTAAGAAGTAGCAATAAAAGTAGCGTAGTAAACACATGTTTCATTGATGCACCATAAAATCGGACATTTAACCAAATCAAACTTGAGATCTTTTAAATTCACTAAGTATGCTCAATAATGTATTCTTTTTAGGGCATGAAGGCAGGAACAAAATACTGTATTCCAAACTATGACAAATGATGGAAAAAAATTGCTTAAAATGCTGAGAAAGGAAGCGGGATTCTAATTTAGTGCTTACAAAATTTACTACAAAAAAATGATTTAATGTTGGGCTTTCGAAACTCATTTATCAACTATTTTTTTAACTTCATTGTTCTAAATTAATTTTACATTTATTCCCATTATCACGTTGATTTCCAATATTGCTTGAAAAATTTCATGTAAGGAACTTTGTATTTTAATGCCAAATTAATTTTGTTCAGCGACAAATGGAATATTTTTGAAAATTACAGATTTTCGGTTTCATTTTTGCACAGTAAAAAAATAACATTTCTTTATACCGTTACACAACTGACCATATCTAACAAAATCATATTTACGGCAATGTTTGCTTGAAAACCAAAGGTCAGGTAGTAGAGGGAACAGCTGAGAAATGATTGCGTAAAGTGAAAATTTTCTGCTCATCTTCAACGACAGGTGTTGAGGAGCTCTTCACTACCATTTCAATTACTTACATAGAATAATCATGTGGTGGGTAGTCGTGCTCGTTCTCTCAACTTCATCTCTTAATGGCGACGAAATCAAGCAACTTCCAGGAGCAAAGCAATTGCAAATCAGATTCAAACATTTTTCTGGATATTTTCAAGTTTCCAACATTCATTTTTTACATTACTGGTAAATTTATTTTAAAATGCCAATCAAAAATCTTAACATTGATAATTATAAGTGTTAAAAAACAGTTTAATACAGTGATTAGTACTTTTGACGGCAGAATTATGCATAGAAAATTCAGATCTAAAAGAAAGTACAGAAATTTTTTATTAAAATTTCCTGATGTTAAATTATTAATGGCATCTTTTACTGTAAAGAATTAATTTAGGACAATGATATTACAAAAAAGCTTGATTAAATCATGGTACTGTATTATGGATAGTGATAGATCAAATCTATATCACTGATACTTAGGTTTGTGGAGTCACAAAATAATGTAGAGAAAGATCCACTCATATTTTGGTTCAACGGAGGTCCAGGATGCTCTTCTTTAGACGGTCTGCTCAATGAAATGGGACCGTATCTGGTGAACGAAGATGGACGAACACTGCGAAATAATCCATTTACATGGAATAAGGTTTAACATAATAGAAAACGATGCTTATTTTTGCAAATATAATTTTCTTTAGTTCAGAATCATTTTTAGTATTCATTTACTACTAATTTTCATTTTCAGTTGAAAATTCAAGTGGTAAGAAGAAAAGAAAAACTGAAATTAGTAAATTTTTTTAATTAATTAGTTGACGACTTTAAATAATCTATAGAGAGGGCAAATTTGACTAAATGCGCAACTTTTCTAGATGGCTTCTATAGTTTACATCGAATCACCAGCAGGTGTAGGATATTCATATGCAACTAATGGAAAGATTAAGACAACCGATAGTCAGGTTATTTTCATGTTTGTTTCTCATCCACAAGTTTTATTTTTCCCAAAATATGATTAGTAGCAGTTAAATGCTGCAGTTGTTGTCAACATTCACTAATAATTAAAAACCAAATTTGATTATTATATTTCTGAGAAAAATATTTCAGTATTTCAAGCGTGCTATCACTTAAGTATATATATGTTTTTTTTGCTCCCAGTCTGATTTCTCGTTTTCTTGAATCTTTTTTACATTTTAAATCAGTAATAACGAATGTAACTAATTACTATCCTTTATAAAATGTACATTTGTCAAATTTTTTAAATAAACTTCTTCTAGTGCCTCATCTGACTAGTTTTAATTTTTCAGAAAGTATGCATAAATATTGAAATTATGAATGAGCTACTGCAGTAATTAATGCATCTGAAGAATTTGGTCCAAAATCTTCTGCTAATAGATGAGCGAAAACAAAAAAAAAATGCCGTGTATTAATATATTGATGTTGCAAATTTGAATAAAAATTGTGTGCTTTAATAAATTCTTTTAGACAGCTCTGGAAAATTATAAGGCAGTCCAAGCATTCTTCGAGAAGTTCCCGTCCTACCGTGATCATGCAGTATATATTATGGGAGAAAGCTACGGTGGCATTTATGTGCCGACGCTTGCTGCTCATATTATACGAGATTCATCAATCAATCTGAAGGTTACTTTTCGCTTTTGCCAATACATCAGTTATTGATTATTGCCCATTAATTTTATCAAGAAAAAAATGGTATAAAGTAACGAGGATAGAGTATGAGCACGAATAGAACTCAGAAATTTTATAAATTTGTCGCCAAAATGATTACATTGTCTTGTCATCTGCCAAAATGAAAACAACTGATAATTGATAATTGTCGAAAAATTTTTAAGTAAAAAATCTTTTTTTAAGAAAAGCTGTCGTTTTTATTTTTTGTAAATTTGTCAAATCTAGAAGCAATTATTTTTATTTTTATTTTTACAATTCTAACGTGTACTGTTAAATATTTAGGGTATTGCAATTGGCAATGGATATGTGAATGAAGTTTTAAATATTGATACTTCTATTCGCTTTGCATATGGTCACGGACTTATTGATGAGAAAACGTGGAATACGTTAGAAAAGGATTGCTGTCATGGCTGTATTGACACTTGTGATCTGACAAAAGTTACTCTGGAATTCTGCAAAAATATGGCGAGTATTTTCGTAAAATAGTAGGAACATATACTTTCATCATTTCTGAACTTGGTGAATGAATGAATAAATAAATCACTTAGTAGAGAAGAAATGATAGGGCGAATGGTTTTCATTAACATTGGAAAACAACTACAAAGAAGTTTTTCTGAGCATAAATCAGAAGATTCCACAAATCTTTTGCTTTTCCAGTATAGATTTCTATAATTTACTGAGAGTCCGTTGAAGGTCGAGAAAATATTTACATTTTTGTGGGAAGGTGGTCTCAATCCATACGATTTATATCGTGATTGCGATCCAAATTCGGAAGAAAGTAAAACACGAATCAACGCCATGAAACGGAATTTCGCTCCTACTTCCTTCGCTGCTATGTATAAAGAAGGAGAAAATGAAATTAATTCAACTTATTTTGTAGTAAGTAGCTGCTTATTAGTAAGAAATTTTATTAGATTAATAATATTTCAAAATCGCAACTGAATGTTTGATCACTTAAGTAAATTTTTTCATGTTTAACGAGAAATTTTATGCACCAAAAATTGTTTGCCAAACTGCAATAATTGTATGATTATGCACTTTCTACTGAAAATTTAAAGTATCTCTTAGCAATATTTGTAAATAAAAGTTCTCCGTAATTTACTATTATTTCAGCCCATTAATCATTATGTACTTGGTGACGTACCGTGCTTGAATGATTCAGCTTTATTAAACTACATGAATGATGAGGAAGTGCGCCATGCTTTGCATATTCCATCTCATTTGCATAAATGGGATATATGCAGCAGTGAAGTACATTTTACAATGAATGAACTTAAAAAGTCTCAAGCATTACATTTACTTATACGAAAAGAAGCAGAATTAAGCTTCAACTAATTCTTAAAATTATATTGGTACAGGTCAGTAAGAATTACGTGAGAATATACAATGATATGGCTCCGTTCGTCAAACAGATTATCAGCGCTGGAGTGAGAGTATTACTGTACTACGGTGATACAGACATGGCGTGTAATTTTATGATGGGACAGCAATTTTCTGCTTCCCTCAAGTTGCCTGTATGCATTTTACTCAAATTTCCAAATATATTGATAGCAATTAAATTGAAGAGTAACAATCAATAATCCACTATTGTAAATGATATAATTTAAGCTTTGAGGGGATTCAGTTTATTAATAATCAGTGATTGCAGAGGAAGCAGAAAAAGGAAAAGTGGATGTACAGTAAGCAAATTGCCGGCTTCAAAACAGAGTATGAAGGCTTGACATTTTTGACTGTACGAGGTGCTGGACATATGGCCCCTCAGTGGCGCGCACCCCAAATGCAGTACGTGATTCAGCAATTTATCAGAAATCAACCCATCTAGTGAATGTAAAAAATAAACAGCTACTTACACATGAATGTAGTCTATTGTTATTTATATATTAATTACTTTCGATCTTCCTAATATTTAAAAGGTTTTTATGGAATGCAAGCAAAAGTTTCAAGATTTTTTCAAGCAGTTAGTAAATCTTTAAGTCGAATTATAATAGCTGCTTCATTTTACTTTTTATCACTTCTTGTTGTCTTTATTAGAATCATCTCTACATTTCGTATCTTAAGCAATTAATGAAGTGTTTCTAGTCAAAAGGATCCTGCATTTTCCTTTCTAGCAGTGCGTTTTGAATTAAGATTTGCATTTGATAGCTTATTAAATATAAAGCTTTCTCAACTGTCATATTTTTACAATCTTCGATGCTTACATCTGACTGATGATTGAGAATTTTATGTAAAAGTTCACGGAATAACTGATTTGCGAAGGATTTTATCTGACTGATGTAGAAATTGAAAATAAATGTGTATTTCAAGAATCAATATTGAAATGAAAGATGAAAGTAAGTAAGTTGTAATGCGGTATTCCTTACTAAGGACTGCAAGCTATTAATAAGCAAATGTAAAATAGCAAAATTTTAAAAAACTATCATGTTTGCAAGAACGTCTTTTTCTAAGCAAACTGGTATTTTAAATTTCTGACAAGAAACTGAATTTCCAGGTTGTTAATCTTTTTTTGAAACATATGCATTAGTTAAAAATCCTTAACTGTTCACGATTTTTCTTCCATACCGTACACATCTTTAGAATTATCTTCAACGTTCTCAATCATCAATCCTGTCATGTACTATGTTAGTTGTTGTAATACGGAACCACTCACATTCCTGCATACATAGCAGACTGATGCCATTTGCATATGATTACTGTTGACAATACAAAAGTTGAAGCATCAATCAACCCCCAATACTCCTTGTTTTGATCGTAAAGTCATAGTTTAAAGGTCTGAGATAGATGTTTCGAATGATATTTCGCTGCAGTTTTGCGCTTATAATATGCAACGGACAATGCAATATTTTGTTTTGCAATGATAAGTAGCAATAAACATATTTATTATTTTTGCTTACTTCCTCTGTCGTAATTACTAATCAGTATTGTGTGCTAACTTGATATTAATTGTAGAAGTTGTGAGAAATATGCTCTTAACATAGATTACGCTTTTAGTTATAGCAGATTATGTTGCGTTGATTAAGTCTTTGATTCAGCACATACCGTTGTATTAAGAAGTTCTAACGCTTGTGTGCCTTCACATTTAATTTGCGTAAATTTTGGGAATAATATAGATTAATTGCTAACAATATGTTCACTTTCAGAAAGTTACTTTGCTTATTTATCCGTTAAAATCGAATATAGTTTCATTCAAGGAAGTCCGTTTATTTAACACATAGAGGCAATCAGAAAAACAATATACAGTTAATCTGTTAAAGTTAAGACATTGCATCAGAAATCTATTGAATTCAAAATGCAATAAGTTATAGGATCGAAATTTTTTTCTTCAATTTCTGATCATCATTGTTATTAATTGCAATACAGAGCAAATGTGGGTGATAATTTAAGTAATGCGTATCCCGTTAGGCGTAATCTATCAGCTTTTCGCTTAGGCTAATTGTAGATAGCTTTAAGGCAGAGTTGTAATTTTATTATGCTGTTACTTCTGTCAAGACTGACTTCTCACTCCATAAATTATTTGTGTGTATGTTATGAAGGAATGCAAAGTCAGCATGGAGAGAACAAATTAAAGTGCTCTTAGTAACAAGAAAAGCGTGTACCATCTTCTCTAGTACTATTTTTGTAGTAATCATCTAACGCATAATTTCATTACTGCTTGATAGTAGTAAGAATCCATACAGATTGTACGTAAAGAATTGTGTGGTGTGATTTACTATTATTTTCTGTTTCTTTACATTAATATTATTTGATAAATCAGAAAGATTTTAAAAAATTAAGCAGGATTAATTTTATATTACATTTGTTTATACTGTAATTTTTGCAATATAAAAGAGTAGTTGAAAAATCAGGAAAAATAGGTTTGTCAGGTGTTTTGTCCGTTTTTCGTTTTTTGTGCTTCGGAATTAAGGAGAAAAACTAAGCTCTTGACTCTGATTAACTAATGTAATCTATGAACAGAAGTCAAATTATCAGAGAATACAGAGTAAGGATTGATTAAGTTTCTGACTACTCTATAATTATGCAAATTATAAAATTCACCCAATTCTGCATATGTAATCAGCTACTGCAATTGTTACACGTCTGCTTAACACATTTGCTCTTTAAAAAATCATTAGAACTGTCAGTTTGCAAACATCTGTGACTGTTCGTTGTCGGAAGCGGAATAGCGCTGTTCTTTTCGTTGGCAATTAACTGTGACAATCGTTACGAACAATTCTCATCAATTTGTCAAACAATTTCAGCGTATCAGAAAAGTGATATTTTGTTTCTTCTTAGTAATCTGTGGTTTTACTTTCTTTTTTCTTTCTACTTGCTACTTTTCTATGATAGCAAATACAATCAAGACTTTAGTAAAATCACAATGCTTTATCACTCGTGGGGTATGATGCTCTTCGAACTCGAAGGTTGTCCGTATTTTGGAAACATATCTGGTTTGAGCTAGAAAATCCCATTACATAGCACTTTTTAATTCGTGTCTAATAATAATATATTTAACTAAAGAAGTTGCGACGTTATCTTTGTTGGGACATGAAGATGAAAATTTGTTTTCAGGTCATGAAAGTATTAACTTTGTGCTGAAATATGCAGTTACTCCTAACTTAAGTAATATAACCTTAATTAGCAAAAATTAGAGCGAAAAAAAATTTATTTTAATGCGTTCTTGATGTCTTGTGATTTCGAATGATTTCGACCTTCTACCATAATAATACATTCATTATATCATTATTGATAGAAGATTCTAGAATTTTTTAAATTGATATTAGCATAACGAACAGAGTGCACTAACTATCATATGATGCTTATCTTTCTTTCTAGCTGTCCACAAATCAATTAATATTGAATAACATAAGGATATTCAATATTTAAACGCAAGGAAGCAGAAAAACGAAATAATCGACACTCGCGTTTGTTTACTGGAATATTTGGACATAATAGCATACTTCAAATGGATTCCAATCAAGTAAACAGTTTGAATATCATAAAATAGCTTTCATTTAACTATTTGTTATTTAAACTCTTCAATTTGAAGCCGAAGCAAATGCAAATTACTATAGTGTGAAATTTTAGGAACAAACTACAAACAGAAGCTTGCCAGAGACTCTGTCATCACTTGGACTTAGTTCTCATGAGAGCATAGCTGCAGAAAAGGATAAAATTTGCACACGATATAATGGTTTGAGGTTTTTTCGATATGTGTTAGTCTAACAAAAAAAATGATTAGTGATATGCCTTTAAAATACTGAGAAAAATTCTATAGTAGTAATCATGATCTAAAAGCTTGTTATGTTTGTGATGCATCTTATTGTTTTCTTGAAATTATCAGCTTTAGAAAGCATCAATGGTTCTGGTTTTTCTCCATCTTATTTCTTGTGGCATAACATATGGGGCAGCAGTTCTCGTTCCGGCTTTTTTAATTGTAACCTTCAGCAACATGTTATCGAGAAAAGGGTCAAAAATTTAAGGTTCTGAAATTAGTTTATTTATCGTCGGGATTTGCGTTTTTAGTGAAGCTGTATAAGCATGGTTTATGCCATACACATTAGATCATAGTTTATTGTTGTTTACTGCTAAATTTAGGATCAGCTGGCGACATCAGATTCCATTTACTCCTTCTTTCGCATCCGGCGTTCACAGCATAGATTTGGACCCAGTAGATAATCGATAGTAAGTTTTATATTAAATCATACTGTAGTAGAAAAAATTTAGGAGTGAGTTTTTGATTTTAAGCTTTCACTTTATTTATTGTTTTTAAACCTGGAAGCAATATTTTGAAATTTTTTAACTTAAAGGTAGCAGTTCGTTTCGTAAGTTTCTTGATAATGATTAACCTTTATATTCCATGGTGCTTTCTTCTAGAATTTTTCGCAGTTCAGTACGAAAATGTATTTTAAAAATACTTCCTGTCTCACTTCCACAATTTAATCAAATTAATCAATTCATAGTTTGCTATGTGGTGCGAGCCGTGGAGAAATGTCTATTGTGGATTTGGAAATGCCATTACTAGCAGATAGCAGAAAACGGGTAGAACATGCCGTTATTCCATGCCGTCCATCAAGAGGGTTCGTTTACATTATAGTCATAATTACAGTACTCATTTGTACAGTTTTAGTTTGGTATGGTTGCATTTATTGTGTTGAACATGTTTTTTTTCAGTCAACATCAATCCTTCATAACATACTGTCAGTGGTATCCGCAAGACACAAGTTTGTTTATATCTTCAGATAAAGAAGGAAAAGTTAAAGTTAGTGTTTGCTCTATTATTGATAGAGCTTTTTGATTATTATCTTCTTTTCCCTATATGTCGTTTATGTTAAAGTTTTGTTTTGACTTGTTTGTTAATCTGATAGCAAATTCAGAACCTTAAATTTTGACATTTAAGCTATTTATTTCTCACTTTCATATAAAATTTAAGATAAATGAAGCACTGTGTAACGCAGTGATCGGGATTGAGTTAAAGAGAGCTCTATAGTCCTCATCATTCTGCCCTAATTTTTTCATAATTGGCAAAATTATCTAGAGAGTATTAGTTAAGATATTGAGGATTTTCAATATTAAATTATTCTACGTAGTGTACTTGATAATAGAATAATCGAGTATTAGAAATCTTCTGTATGATAATGCTTATTTTCTGTACTCTATTTTACGTTTTAATTTGTTTTGTTTACTTTTTTTTCGTATTCTGCTTATTTAATTAATTTCAGCTATGGGATGCAAACAAATCTGAAATAGTTGATGAATACGAATTTGATGATGGAATAACAGAAATGCATTGGTGCAATGCTGTTTCACAAAATCCACGGATCGCTGTAACAACTTTGGCTTCAAACGTTGCGTTAATTGATCCAAGGCAGATCTTATTCACTTTTGAGTGTTCTAGAATTTCGTGAATTTTTATGGTGTACTTTAATTTGTAATATGAGGTACTGTTTTCAGAACTGGTGATTCGTCTCAAAATCTAAGATGGCAAAATGAGCACATTTCATCACTCAGATGGTCTGTAGAAGATGAAAATATGTTAGCTACTGGTGCTGTCAGCGGCAAAATCGCAATTTGGGATGTTAGGTAGGAAGCGGATGTATGATTTGATTGAAAATGCATGCGTTACGTGCATTGCTTGGGTTGGAAAGTAGATTGAGGCTGTTTTAAATTTTAAATCAATTTTTAGCTAATTGACAAACAAAAAGAGATTATTTTCTTGTTTGTTTCGGAAAATTCTATCATCTATTTATCAACATATTTTCAAATCATTTAGCACATATGATGTCCTAAAAACTTACCACAGATTTTTGTTACTGCTCTTTACTAAATTTCTATAATTATCCTTTTCAAACTTGTATTTTTATTTTGTGCTAAAATTAGATTGTAAATTGCTTTCCAGAAGTTCAAAGAACTACTTGATATCTGCTACACCGTCCATTAAGAATCATTGTTATGGTGATAGCAAACTTAGAACTTGCATTGGCGGCATAAGATTTTCTCAAGATGGGTTGTTCCTAGTTTGCTTATCACTGAATCATACTTTTACTATTTTGAGAGCTCAAACTATGAAGGCAATTAACCAAGTTTCGGTAATTCTTTAAAGAGTTCTAATTGCTTTCTTTATATTTTATTAAACTTAACTTCATTATGAATTCCTTGTTATCATTTTGAATTAAAGCTGCTTGTTTTCTCTAATTTGTTGCTTAAAAAATAGCTAAATTCTGTAGTCAACATAATATGATCTACAGTGGCATTGAATTAGTAAACTATTCCTTGTTTGGTAACTCAATTTCTTTTAGTTGCCTAACGAATGTAACACGAATGTTGCTTCATCTGTCCGTTTTGACATTTTCTCGGATGACAGAGTTTTACGGGCTTGTACGCCTGTTAGTGATGAAGTTCTAGTTATGACTTTAGACAGTAATGTCAAAGAAAACTTCCGTGTTCTTCTTGTGGGTCATTTTCAGCGAGTAAATGCATGCATTTACCGACGAAAGCATCAGCAGGTTAATAATATTTTGAGTCAAAATTCTGTTGGAGCTCAGGTAAATATGAGATAAAGATTTTATCTCGATATTTAAGTATCATTAGAGATATACATTTGCTTGGTATTCTTTTTAACCTTTTTATACTGTTTCCTTGATTGTTGATTGCCTTTATATGTTTAGGTTATCAGTTCTGGAAATGATCGAATGATACACATTTGGAGCCCAGATATGGATGAGCAACTTCCCGATCAGGAGTATGATAAAATCTCGACTCTGCGAAGTGATCGATGGAGTGATGACGAAAACAGACCAGGACCTAGCTATATGTTATGATTTTGTACCGTTTTTGAGTAATGACAATAGCTTTTTCCTAGGCATTATCCTCAAGTATTCACATGTTCTCTGATTTTCTCATCAACTGTTGTAGGTAATCTTTAGTATATTGGAATTTGAACTTCGATATCTTTTATTTCTTTCATTTCTCAATTTAAAGAAGGTTAATGACGATTCATGTGCATATTAGTTTCGCATTCAAAAAATGTACTTGAAAAGTTGATTTCTTTCTTTCAGCGCAGTTGTAGTGACCTTTTCTAGAAACAAAAATTTTCCAGAACTTCTGTCAGTACCATTGCTGGCCAGGCAAAAAATTATCTAATTTATTATTTGGAAAATTATTAATTAAACGAGCAGGTTCAAATGCTTTGTCAAGATTATTTTGATTTTTTGAGTCCTGTAATTTGCAAGAAAGATTTGTTCAAAAGTGATTTCTGGCATTCATTGGTAAATTTTTCGACATTTTTCTCTCGAAAAATAATTTCAATCCTAGAAAGCAGAAAATGATTTTAACAGAAAACATTTTATTATTGCATTGGAACTGTTAATTATTTTATGTCTATCAAGCGGGAAAAATAGGTTCAAAAATCACCAAAGAATGAAACTTGTTGCATATTTTCATTTCGTAAGATGAAACAATGTTTTTTCTGATTTATGTTGCACAAGATAATACCAGCATTTAGTGCAAAAATTGTCTTTTACCTTCTCTTTCATTGTTACCATTTCACGTTATAGAGATCTTGAATGTGAAGATCTCAAAAATTTTGTAAAATATCGTGCTCATTTGTTATTCACTAATTACTATTTTATTGGAACATTACGGTACTTTTCTTGCTTACTGAATTCAGTTATACACATCATGAGGGTCAAAAATTCCTTAGTTTTGGTCTTTGAGAGTTCTCTTCAAAAATTTTTAGAAAGGAAGCTAACGTCATTAAGATAATCTTAATGACGTTAGCTTCCTTTCTAAAAACGATGTACTCATTAGGAGAGTGAAAATGATTTTTTTGGTGTAGTAAAGAAGCAATAAACGTGCCAACATAAATAATTTAGTATTACATTCTTTTTTCTTGGTAAATGGTAAATGTCGGTTATTTGTTGATGGTTAGTCTGCTAGAAAATGGTTAGTCTGCTAGAAAATGTAGTCGTGTAGTGATATCTGATTATGTACACATCTTTGTTGATTTCAAATTTTGGGAATTATTAATAGTCTTTATTTGGAAGATGACAGGATTTTCAAGTTGGATGGATTTTTTCGTATCTAAGCATATGATGTGTATATGATAATCTTGAGGAATAAGCGGGTTCAGGCTTTTGAGGTATGAGTTTGCATTTAAATATGATTACCTTGATTTGAGCAAGCGATATGTGGTTGAATTAACATATAATGGAAATTGTTGAATAGACTGTTGTTTGACAATTTTTATTGCATGACATTTGTAATTGTTATCTAATCTTTTCTGTCAATTCATGTTTAACCCAGTTATTTTGTTTTCAGTAGCATTAATAAAGTTTAGCTTTTTTTGTGTGCGTTTGTGATGATAGACGGATGAATCATATGGTCTTCTGTAAAAACATTGGGAATGAGAACATAAAGTCAACGATCATCAAAATGTTTTTTGGAGATAGGAAGAATTAATCAAAATAGGATGGACCAAACTTTGTCTGCGGAGTTTTGCGCTTATACTTTAGGACTTATAATAAATTCTGCTTATTGAAGTATTTCTCTGTCATTTTTAACCACGAACTACTCGTAGTAACTAATCTGTGTAACCAGGGATGTGTTATGTAACTCGAACTTAAACGAGATTAATAGGGTCTCTGTTGCACAACTAATTCGATGTATATATTGTTAAATTGCTTTGAAATTTTTATTTAGAACATTTATGATCGGCTCAGTATAATTCTAAACAGTTTTTCCGGTGTTGTACGGCAAAATTTTTAAGGATGTTCGAATTTCAAGCTCAATGATGCATGTAAATTGCATAATATAGCTTTTTTTAAAATTCGATAAAGCATGGTGAATTCATGCAGTTGTGATATAGTTGATTATATCTCATTCTAGTTGGTTATTACAATTTTTCTTATGATTCCAATAAAAATTCAAATAGAAGTCCTTTTAGTATACACATATGGAGTCTTCTGTACAAAACAAATGCAATAGTTTCACGTTTTACCGTTGATTCATAGAAAGTATTGCTCTCTGTAGCGCCAATTTTAGTTGCGAACTACTTGTAGTGACTGATCTGAAAAAATTGAAAGCAATTGCCTAATTTGTTTTTGTAAGTGTTGGTACCCATAAATTCTGATGTAAAATAAAAGTTAGAATATCTAAACTCGGGAATGTAGTCTATTATTGCTGAGGATTTCATACGCGCAATGTAAAAGGTGAGGGATAGGGACACTGCAGAATCAAATTTACTTGATGGATTTTGAGGTATTCGGTGGAGTAGATGATGCTGTTGAGGGCGTATTCGTTGTAGTTGCAGTTGTAGTCGCAGACGTTAAGGATGTAGTTGCAGTTGTAGTCGCAGACGTTAAGGATGTAGTTGCAGTTGCAGTCGCAGACGTTAAGGATGTTGTTGCAGTTGTAGACGTTAAGGATGTTTTTGTAGTTGCAGTCGTAGAAGTGACCGTGACAGTAACATTTGTAGTTAGAGAGGTAGTAGTAGTATTAGTACCAATTGTAGAAGTTGTGGTATCATAAGCAGTAGTTGTTGATGTTGACTTTCTGAAATTAATTAGAGTTGAAGGACGACTAGAATGTGAAAAGTTTTCATTGCTGAATGTGGTGTTACCCAAATGTTACTATCATACACATATTTGTTGTAATATCCTTACACGTTAAATTTTTTTTTACTTTTTTTTCAGAGTTGAATAAGAGAAGCTTACAGTAAAATCACTGAGGCCTGAGTTAAAGTATTCAACTATATTTGTTTCTTTTGCTGAAAAAAAGTGTAGTAAATGTAGCTGATTATATAACCAACTGCTGGTTATCGGAGGATTGTTGTGTGGATATAGCAATGATAACAAGTATCAATAGAGCCAACAAGATCACTACTGAACAGATGTAAAAGTGTTGTTGCTTTTTTGTTAGATTCCACCACCAGATTTTTATCTTTAAACCAATTGAGTCATGATAATTTGTTGCAAATCTGTAACAATATTGCTGAATACTTGTCACATGTAACAGCATGCTTATTAATGAATTATTAGCGTGAATGACTTTTTCATACTTTAAAATTGAATTATTAATAGTATGTTGATAAATCGTAGTGTCAAACAGCATTGGATATCTAATAATTATAAAATTATTTCTTGAAATTTAACCTTGTCGCAGCATCATTGTTGGGAACACAATCTGACATCTCAATTGTTTCATTATCGTGCATTGGCGGAATCATTCCTTCGTTTTTAATACTATTGCTGAAGAAAAAAAGTTCAGTATTATTTCTGAAATTATCAGTAAAATTGTTTCAATAATGTTGCTTTCGAAGTGCACTAAGATGTTGCTGCTTGCAAAATAAGAAACTTTTGCTACTCAAGTTTGAATCTTATATTTAATGAAGAAGTAGTATGCATATTAAATTAAATTGATCCATAACTGTTATCATTTTCATCATAGCTGAAATTTCGCTCTCAATCTTTGCATCAAAAACTGAATCACTCTTTTAATTGAATAATTTTTAACGCAATCCAATAGAATACGAATTATAATTTTTATTTACGATGATAGTATGCCCTTTATTTAATTGCCATATCCAAATTAACATAAAAACAACAACAATCATATCAGAATTTTGCATCTTAAAAAAAATTCCTTTGTAAATTCATGGTATAGATTTAAAGACTGAAGACTAGAATGACAACACTCGTTGCACTGATAACGGTGATGTGCAGGGCTATTTAATAACATTGATTATCAGTCCAAACAATTTGTCTCAGTCGCAAACTGATGATTCAGTTGATTTTTATTTGAATTAAAAAATATAGTATATTTAATATATTATACCAAGAATGAAGTACTGTTCGTAATCCATATTCCTTTTAAATACATCACTCTTGCTGTTTGTTATTGCAAGAACGTGAACTCTGTCAAGTAAGTCTGTCAAGAGACTAGCTCTTAACAACGCTGTCCATACAGAAGGCATGAGTGTAGTTTCCCTATCAGGAAAGACCTTTCGCCTTAACAAAAGATCACATGAAGGTTCAGATAGGACAAAAGGTTATTTTTCATAAAAATGAGTGAGAACCGTTATATGTTGATTACTGCTCTTAAAATACAAATACTCTAATAGACTTGTTTATTTGGCTAAGAGTTAAATGTCACTGAATCACTTTTAAATACATATTAAAAACTCTTGTTAACATTTTTAAATGATGAATTTAATGCTTCAAGCGCAAAATATAACATATACTTAGAAAATATACAAAAATAGCTTGAGCAGAAAATATTCGATAAGTTGACAGTAAAAATGCAGAAATGGCAAATTAAATGATTATATGCTAATACAGTTCAAGGAAAAACAACAATAAAATGTAAATAAAATCCATTCTTATATTTTTTGACAATGACTCGAATCAGATTATTTGACTAAGTTAAAGTGTTAAAGTATCAAGTAACACCAGAAAAGTTTAATAGATCAAAATTGTTGTTCAAATGAGAAACAGTTGAAACCATTCGAAGTCCTGAAAAAATGAAATTTAAGAACATATGAATGTTGAAAAAGCTGAGATATTCAATTAGCGTGCGAAGAGATAATAATACATCATGTCACAGGTCGAAACAAACTATTTTCTTCCTCACCGAAACATTATTTTTGAACAAAACAAAACAGTAACACCAGGCATTCTTTTTATTTTTTTAAAAGCTTTATTTAAAAAAAGGACTGAAAGGATGTATGAATTTAAAAGTGATAGCAAAAACATACTGACATAAACTACCGCCAGAAAGTACATAATGGAGTGAATAAATGCCTTTTTTTTCCATAAATAATAAAAACCGAGCAAAAATATAATACATCACCAGTCCTATGAATGATAACAGTCGGAAAAAAGGAAGACGACTTACTTTTTTGATTTCTGCCCACATCATTGATAGAGAAGATACGGCCCAGAATTACAGCCATCAGTAAAAAATAAGAAATTATAGAAGAGATGAAAAGAGCTGCAAAATCATATTTTATATTTTATGCATACTAAAAAGTTTGAAAAATAACAGACTTTTTTGAAATCTTATTTATACAGCTTGAACGCTGAAAAAAAAATAGTTTCAAATTATGAAGCACTTACACAGTAGGATGATGAATAAGACTGATGATATACGTTTTTTACGCTGCTGCTTCCACGCGTACGAGTAAACAACAGAGAGGACTAATGTCCAAAATGTTGATTGTACTTGGAAGATTTCATACTTCATACTTTCTCGCCTTCTTTCATCCTCAGCATAATCCTCACAGTTCAACTAAATAAAATTGAACTTCTACTATGTTTAATTTCAATTTAAGAGGTGCAGAGCTGCAGATCTCAGTAGTAGACAAATGACTTGTAATCTGTGCTTGCTTATGACAACAAACATTAAAAAAATAGTGGTAAGGAATGAAATTCATAATAAATATATATAATAACAAGAACTCAAACTCGAAAGTACAAGTGCATAACTGGGCTTCAAATACATAAAAAACATGCATCTGTTAATAAAAAACGTTTAAGTCATACACACCTCCCAATGAACCTTGTCTACATTAGCACCATTCAGAACCCGTAACTTTTTCTTGAACCGTTCTAACACCTGTTCCAATTCCATTTCGATGCTATTACAACCACTCTCAGATAAGAACCACTGTATCCAGAAACTGAAATTTTGCCAAATGATACTACAGAACCAGCTGAAAGATCTCCCTACGAGAAACTCCGAAATATACTACTCACATATATTGCATGTGCCACACAATTGTTTATGTTCTTCTTTTATCACATTTTTTTAAATTTTTAATGGTAACTAGCAACGTAGAACTAAACAAGCTACACTTCCTGCTCAGATATAAACCACCCCTTCAGTGATCTAAATGCTTCACTAGGAGCTCATCAACTTCAGCACTATTTCTAGTTTTTCTTTTCCTATCCAACAGGCTACTTGCATCTTACACAAAACTTTAATCATCAAATTAAAAACAATGGAAAGCTACTACATTGATGAGGAACTATTTCACGTTTCATATATATACTACATCAATCAGATATGAACAAATGACTAGTTTCACAACCATTTTACACGGAACACGAAAATACAATTTGCTGCGCATTACATCAAACAGAAAAAAAATAGTGGTAAGAGATGAAACTCATAATAAATGTACATAATATCAATTTTAAGAAAGCAAAAATTACAATCAGTTTCAATAATTATAATTTCTCCCAAATAATTTGAGAGATCACGATTTTTGTACAATACTGAACTAAATCTACTACGAACATGTTTCTGACATCACCGTACTTGAAAACTGACAAATATCTTGTCCACAATAACCTTACTAAGAATAAATCTGTAAGAATATACAAACAGAATATTCTTCAGTTACAAGTACACAATTCAAATAACGAAGTCATGATACGACCTAATACACCTTGACGGCAGATCACTTCTGCTTCTCTTAATAATACTTCATATAAGCAGATAAACAGAACATCTGGCATAAACTGCTCAAATCAAGGAAAGATTAGCGTAGAGCTATTGGTCATTCTTCGAAAAGTTGACCACTGAAAGCTAAAGCTGCAAAATATACGATGAAATCCAACTTCTTTGTTAGATTTGATCACCCATAGCAACCTTATTGGTCTGTAAAAACATGGTTGATGAGCTTTACTGTAAGTCTATCTTGTTAGTATAATGCAGAAGTAATAAAATCTCATTGAAAATAGAATTCAATAACATATATGATCAATAACATTGGGCCCTATGAAAAGTAATAAAAATTTTTTCTGAATCTGCAAAAAAATTATACAGTTGTTTACCTGAACAATGCCTATAATCATTCCAAACAGACCAATTGCAGAAGCAAAAATTTCAATAATTAAAATTTTCACAAACAAGGCGGGATTAGCGGCATCTGCTAGGGCTGCACCACTTCCTACTATGCCTAAAACCTACGCATGTAGTTCATACTGCATATTATACCTTTGTGCTTTGTTTTTTACCATTTGTGCATGAATAATGGAATGAAAATGTGCTTTTGAGAGCAAGCTTTCCTAATATTAATCAAAACACATCCAGACTACATTTTAAAACTGACAGCTTTCTCTCGAATAAAAAATACGAAGCACGATGTAACCGTAGATAGTGTAATTAGACTGCATTTCCCTACCATCTGAACGGAAATAGTATTGAAGTGTGGTCTTTGCAAATTGCTGCAAGATATAATGTAAAGAGTCAATATTATAGAGACTGACCTATAGACAAACCACAGACAAAATTACTGAAGCCAACAGTTAGCCCACCACCAAATATCATATATCCACTAGCAATGTTTTTAGACAGCACCACATCTGATGCAATCGCCCGACTGAAGCCCTATAAATCTTGGAAATTAAATTACAATAAAGTTAACTTCTAATGATTATAATACTTATAACAAATGCTCGAATGTTAATAGTCGTCTTTATCACGAGCATAAATAATTTAATCAAATACAGTCCTGCGCTGGAGCATAGCAAACTAGTTCACAGAAACCTTCTACAATTATATGAAAATGAAAAATACCAAAAAATGTTTGAAGAAAAAGCCGCAGGAAAATGTGGACAAATTCATATATTACGTTGCTTCGATGATTTAAATAAAGGTAATAACTGTAAGATGTTAACACAAGTTAGAATCAGTATTAAATCTAAGTTCTTAACTTAAAAATCATACGTGAGTTTTTCCAAGAAATACAAATGCCATGATAATACCGAAAATCGCAACAGCTTCACAAAATATAATTGAAACTAAGTTTTTAGTTCGAATACGTGGTGCTTTAACACCACCACCCAAAATTGATGCACCTGTAGTAAATATACCCCTGAAATATGAGAATTCGAGAATCTTTCAAAATAATGCATTGAAATTGAAAATGTTAAAGATGGTGGACTTCACATTGAAATCTAACAAATCTCTCCCAAAAATTGCGGTCTGATGACATACCAGCCTGCTCCCAAAACTGATAACGACAATGAACAAGCGATGCCTAAAGCAGACCACATATGCGGTGATGTAGCTGTCAAGAACCAACCAATATCAAATCGATATCCTTGTTCTGTGAACATGAAAAATAGTGCTGAAAAAAAGATATGGTTAACCACCTTAATTCTGAAAAAAATATAAGTACAATATCCCTTTCTGGAAATGGTTCCTCATTCATTGCATACACAACATAATACACCGATCACAGAAATATATTGTTAACTTCATTGCGAACATTCCAAACTTCAAGATTTACTATCATTTAATGTTTTAATGATTCTTTCTTATCATTTATAAACCCTTCACTTTTTCCCGGTTTCATTTTTTGACCGAAAAATATTCTCGTATTCCATTTTTAGAAGTCGCTTCAACTGTTGTAAATTTAAGACTCATAATATTCTACTATTTAAGATGCATAAAATCTATAAGGGTTTATAGCGATTTACGGTACCGAGGAATACATGATTCAAATTGCTCCGAAATACTAATTCGTACGAAAGCAAGTCATCAGAACAGTTCCACTGAGATATCTTGAATTAATGAATACTCACCACTTGCAACAAAAATGACAGATGCTATTATAAGCACGAAGAAAAATGTTTTTAACATAGCCGACATTGTTGCTTCCGTTCCAGTTATTGGATCTTTCGCTTGACGACACCTTTAAATAAATTATTTTAAGTAAGAAAGAAGCCAGCTCCACTTTAAATTCAACGATTCCTTACATGATTATTCTTACATATATATTTTCATATTATAACAAATTTTGTTCATTAGTTCAAAAGCCTTTCAAAAGCTATACTTGCAAGTATTTTAATGTATGTCATCAGGACAAATAAGCATTTTCAGCATAATGAAGTTTGTAAATGTAAACGAATATATACAAGAAAAATTAATCCTAAGAGTCACATTCTATCACTCTACATGCAGTTTGTAGCCACCTTCAACTCCTGAAAAATAACTAGTCATTACTTCAGTACTATCACAGACCTGCCTTCCTTACTACTCCTTTCATGCTTCAAGTCATCTGTCAGAAATGAAGACGAAAGATCAGAGATTCAGGCCGTTAAATTTTGTCCTGTGCACGATGAAATAAATATTTGTTGTGGTAAGTATCTCATGCATTCAAAAATCGGACATTTCAAGTAATTACGTATTAGAAAAGCCAACTTAAAATGGGAAAACAAGATAGATGACATGTCCAAACAGCTCTACTTCTTACGGAACAGAACATAAATTACGCTGAGTCTTGGTTTACAAAATGCACATTATATCTTATTAAAGAATTGGAGGAATCCAAATAAACTATCTATGTCAGTTTTCTGTCTATCATTTAGCACATGTCCTCATGAAGCAAAGACTTGTGTAACAATTATTGCAATAACTATGTAAAAATTTTAAGTGGTACTTTCATTTCATTGCATCCCTTAGCCATTGGTACTGTGATATTTTGTTACTTCTAACTTAGTTATTATATTAATTTGTGGATGAAGTGTATTTGCTATGTGAGTAAATTGTGGTTCACTGTATTCATCGTTTAGGGAGTTGCAGTACTGTTTCAGAATTAGTAAGTTGAACCGAGAAAAGCCATGTATTCTGAATATAACTGTCATTATGTTTCATGTGCATATGAGAGGAAGTTATTGTGAAGATTTGCAATTACCAGTTAATGGTAGTGAGTTAGTAAGTTAGTTAGTTACTTATCTTATTGACTCATCTATTCTCACTTATATGAAATAGCAAGCACTGAGATATAGGGTTAAAACATCAGCGATATATTAAATAGCTCCCTTAGTAAGCTCTTCGATATATAGTATTTAAGACGGTTCTTTACAGTACATTTCAGTGTTTTGCATAGGTAGATTGTGACTTTCATTCACTGTGTAAAGAAATTAAGTGGTTCCATATTATTTGACTTGAAATTTTAATTAATTCAGCCGTTTCTGTGATGTAGTATGCAATTACTGTAGAATGGGTGAAAATTTTGTTGTAGGAATACTGTTGATTTATTGTGGAGCTTCGCATTTAATTAAGTTATCATGGCTGACGAGATTGCTCGAGTGCAGCAGTACGAATATCGTCAGGTACCATTCTTAGCTTTAATTATTTTAGCCAAACAACAACAAAAAGTAGCAGCTGCTGCGCTTTTTTGCTAGAATGTAAGATTGTGATTACATTAAATTAATTTCTGTCTGGTTACATTAAGGATAATGATCCTTTATATGATCGCATTGCGAAATGTTAATCTAATTTACATTCTATCTCTAATTACTATGTCTCAGCTAAGTTAACAGTTTCTACCAAAATTGTTTTTAGAACAGTAATCTTGTACTGCAAGTCGATTTTAATTTCACTGATCGTCGTGGTCGAGATGAACCTACTGGTGAAGTTATGCCACTGACCAGAGAAGTCCTGGCTGGAGTTAAAATGGGGGATAAGTATCTGAGAAGTAAAGCTCCTGCCATTGACACCAAGAAGACAAAAAAGTAAGTTGTAAATCATTTTGATAATGTAGTAACATCAGGTGAAACGACACAAATCCGACTTTGTAGATATGTATAATCTCTATCAAATTCATTTTTGATTTTATTATTACTTAGTACGAATTAAGCCAAGTCCGAGGTCGTGGTGTGATGGTGATTTTATCTTTAATCTGTCTTTTTCTTAAGAACGAACCACAGTTTATTTTCACATTATTCAGCTTCATTTTGAAACTAGTTGTTCTCATCTTAGTATACATGGATTTTAGGAAGAAACGAATTAGTGGTGGAATCATAGGGCATAATGCAGCACCAAATACTGTTTTGGGGGATTTAGGTGGTGAATTAATGGGTCTGTATAAGCCAAGAACCCAGGAAACGAAGCAAACATATGAAGCAGTATTAGCCTACATACAGGATGCTATTGGAGATCAGGTTATTCTAGTATATAAACTAAGTTCGATCCTTTTTCACTTGAGTGTTACGAATATTTTTAGTTTGTATTTGAACATTTTTATCATGTTCTTACAGCAATATGCTAAAGGTTCTTTCTTAATCGTTTCTGGAGAAGCATCCCAGTAATTCCAAACGACTTGCATATTGTTCTTCATCCTTTTTCATATGCAATTTTAGAAACTTGAGATTTGAAAAAATTTAAATCATGCTAAAAATTTTTAAGCCACGTGATATTCTATGCGGTGCAGCGGATGAGGTTTTAGTAGTTTTAAAGTCGGAGAAAATTCGTGAATGGGATCGAAAAAAAGAAGTAGAACTTCTTCTTGGGTCGTTAACAGATGAAAGATTTGCCGTTTTAATGAACCTTGCTAAGAAAATCACAGATTTCTCAGTTGATGATGACAAGAACAGAACTGAAAATGTGAGTTCCCATTTCTTTGAAAACAGTTATTAGCTCTATTGTATGCAATAAAATTTTCGTTCCAGGATGAAATAGATGAAACAATTGGTGTGAATGTGCAGTTTGATGATTCTGAAGAAGAAGTGGAAGGAGAAGAAGCTATCGAGGAAGAAGTAAAAGAAGAGGGATCGGGTGGGGAAGATGAAGGAGGTGACGAAGCTGTGTTTGAAGAAACACTTAAAGCTCGTTATGTTGAAGAGAGTGATGAAGTTTGTTTTGGATAGTGTTTTTTTTTCATTTTTACATTTGATATTAATAAAAATTTTAGCATTGGTATTTATTTTTTTAGTCGTGTGAATAGCGTCCAAGAGAAGGTTTGACAAATTATTTTACACTGTACTAGTCATGTTTTTTAATCATCCATAACACAGAAGTTAATTCAAATGAGGACCCATAAATTAACGCTTTAGATTACCAATATTTCTAACCTAGATTTTTTGTAAATTAACCTTTTGTTCCTCAGTCATCTGATAAGGAATCTAATCGAACGCCACAATGTAAGATTAAGTAATATTTAAGAACGCGGCGGATGAAAGGAAAGGTAGTTTACATGCTCGAGACATTGATGCCCATTGGATTCAAAGATCACTATCAAAATTCTACAAGGATCCCATTGTGTCGCAGCAGAAAGTAAATGAAGTGTTGCAGGTTCTAAAAGTAAGGTGTTTGACGTCTTGACAATGTAACGCTTTTAGCAAAATAAATTGTAGTTAATGGGATGTAAAAGTAAAACATTATTTATAGGAAGCATCTGACGATCGTGATTGCGAGAATCAACTTGTTTTACTCCTTGGTTTCGACCAGTTTGAATTTATCAAAGTGCTTCGTCAACATCGACAGATGATTCTGTATTGTACTATTTTAAAACAAGCACAGGAAGGTAAAGAAAGGGAAAACATCGAAAAGGAAATGCTTAACCATTCAGAATTGCATCATATATTAGCTGAACTTCATGAAACTGACAGCGTCAAGACTTTAGAGGTATTAAGCAAATTTTTGATTTCTGTGCGCCCTTCTTTAAATTTGCATTTAAGGAGTCTCTCATCATGTTGTCTTGATTTTAGGCTGAACGCGAGAAGCGTGCCAAGTTACAGCATCAACGCCGCTTAATTGAAGCTGAAGGTGGTAATGACGAGGGAACAACGGTCAATACTTGGTTGCAGTTACGTAAAATGCTCGATTTAAATGATTTGTCATTTTCACAAGGATCGCATCTAATGAGCAACAAAGTTTATTTTTTTATTTATTGATTGTAACATATCAATCATTTTTAAAGTCACCGCCGATTCTGGTTTCATTTATTGTTAGGCATGTTTTTCAGAAATCATAGAAAGTATTAACAGTTGTGGTTAAAATAATTTGGTTTACAAAAATTTAATAGAATGATGTATACAGTTTGAGACTACCGATGTCATGACGGTCTGTTTCAAATAGTACGGGATTTTCAGCTTACAACTGTAGGAGTATGAATAGTTGGAAGTTTTACTAATCTTTTCATACCGTAGTCACTTTTATATGTTGCATTCCCTTAATTACAAGTTATTATTAAATATTTTCGATGTCATAGGTTGTTATCTGTATTTTTGAATTTATGAGATTTTTTTAGTTTGCTTTCAGTATACATAGAAAAACTGAAGAACTATGAATTCCAATAATACATTATGAGTGTTCTGAATTTTAAATCAGTTATTTGGGAGATGTGCTTAATTTTTTGTTTATGATTTTAGCGTTGTCATCTCCCGGATGGTTCTTATCGTAGGCAGAAAAAAAGTTATGAGGAAGTTCATGTTCCGGCATTGAAATCAAAGCCATTTGGGGAGAATGAGGTCAGTCTTTAATTGATTTGTGCCTTCATTACATAAAATAAACTTCACTACACAATTTTTTCTTTTTTCATTGGACTGTTTCAGAAATTGGTAGCAATAGTTGATTTACCAAAATATGCTCAGCCTGCATTCCAAGGATTGAAATCTTTGAATAGAATCCAGTCAAGACTTTGTGAAACTGCCTTGAAGTCAGATGAGCACTTACTTCTTTGTGCGCCTACAGTGAGTATTTCTTTTGCGATTAGATATTATCGCTAACAGATTAACTCATTTGTGGAGTAAATTGTTTCATAAGTATGAATATCTGGGTATTAAATCACCTTATTATGACTATTAGACATGTTTTCTAGGGTGCCGGTAAAACTAATGTTGCTTTGTTGTGTATTTTACGAGAAATATCAAAGCACATGAATGATGATGGAAGCATTCGAACAGATGAATTCAAGTGTGTCTATATTGCTCCCATGAAGTCATTGGTCCAGGAAATGGTTGGAAATTTTTCAAAGCGCTTGGCACCTTACAAAATTACGGTAAATGAAATTCGAAGAATTAGTTAATTAAAAGTTTCAAGAAGTCCCATTTAATTATTGTGCCATTTTTTTTGCTCTTCAGTGAAAAAATAGTCGTTTTTTCAGTGTATTATTTTTTGTTAATAGGTTGGTGAGATGACAGGAGATCAACAGATGAACAAAGAGCAGTTTATGCAGACTCAAGTGATCGTTTGTACACCGGAAAAGTACGATATTGTAACACGTAAAGGTGAATTATTTTTAAAAGGTTCAAATATACTGGATAGTGGATTGAAATCAAGCTCACTTCTAAATACGATGTGTCTTCATGCTCGGCTGTTTCAGGTGGCGAAAGAGCATATAATCAACTTATTGCTTTGCTTATTATTGATGAAATTCACTTATTACATGATAGTCGTGGACCAGTTCTTGAAGCCATTGTTGTGAGGTAATTTTTAATCATATGGAAAATCTTCCTCATTTATGGTGCTATTGCAGGTTACTGGTATTTTTGGCTTCATTTTGTTATGTTATGAAATTCAAAAGTTTTATGCGTAATATGGTGTCATTTACAGAACTCTTCGACAGATGGAACAAGGTCATGAAGACTGTCGTTTAGTTGGTTTGTCGGCGACGCTTCCGAATTACCATGATGTTGGGACTTTTTTGCGCGTAAAACCACAGAATTTGTTTTTCTTTGATAATACATACAGACCGGTGCCTCTTGAACAGCAATACATCGGAATTACGGAGAAAAAAGCACTTAAGAGGTATCTGACGATGAATGAAATTGTATACGATAAAGTGATGGAACATGCTGGCAAGAGTCAGGTTCTCTTTTAACCTTTCATGTCGCCATTTATGTGGTCGTAAAATTTATGGGTGTTCATAATTCTAGTAATAGTTCCCTGCACTTGAATAATGTGTTCTCTTTTATTCCCAATATATGTTAGTTTGTAGGTTTTGATTTTTGTGCATTCACGAAAGGAAACAGCAAGGACTGCAAAAGCTGTGAGAGATGCATGTCTTGAAAAAGATACCCTTAGTGAGTTTATGCGTGAAGGTAGCGCAAGTACTGAAATTCTACGAAGTGAGGCATCCCAGGTTTGTCACGGTTATTTTCTGCATTATAACAAGGTTGTTATAAATTGATAAGAAATATTATAATCAGGTTACTTTTGCTCATTTACTGTAAGTCTTTGAAATCTATGTTTGTAACCTTGACTTTGCTGATATATGCCGTAATAAGCTATTTCTTATGGACCTTTTTAACTCATATTTATAGCGAAAAGTTTAAAAAATAAATTTTATCCGTTCTGTGCCTTATTTTTGTATTCTATCTTTGCAATTGTTCAGGTCGCAAATGCTGATTTACGAGACTTACTTCCTTATGGTTTTGCTATCCATCATGCTGGCATGACTCGTGTTGATCGAACACTCGTGGAAGATTTATTCGCTGATCGTCATATACAGGCAGCTCTTCATTTATTATGAACCGAGATATTTCACCACTTTTTCCTTTTGAGTATTGATTGCTTTTGACTATTTATGATGTTGTGATTTTCTATAATTTAGGTGCTTGTCTCAACAGCTACACTTGCATGGGGTGTAAATTTACCTGCTCATACTGTAATCATAAAAGGCACACAAATTTACAGTCCAGAAGCTGGTTGTTGGACGGAATTAGGAGCCTTAGATGTTCTACAGGTTACTTATTTAATTTTATTATAAATGCAATTAATTATGACTTCAGAAGAGTTGTGCTATGTGTAGCAAAATTAAAATGTGAGTGATAGAAATTAGTCCAAATTACGAACTTGTTTCCATTCATATTACTTGTTTCGATGTTGACTCTCTCCTTAATTTAGATGCTTGGTCGTGCTGGTCGACCTCAGTATGATTCTAAAGGCAAAGGCATAATGATAACGCATCATTCCGAATTGCAGTATTATCTTTCGCTTATGAATCAGCAGGTTTTTTTGCATTTTGTCATTTTTTGTCAGTTTATTAACAAAATACTTTTGTCATTTTTTGTAATATGCAGTTGCCGATTGAAAGCCAATTGGTTTCGAAATTGGCGGATACACTTAATGCAGAAATAGTTCTTGGAACCATCAATAATGTCAGTGACGCCATGAACTGGTTGGGTTATACATATTTGTATGTTCGCATGATCAAGGCACCAGGATTATACGGAATTTCACCAGAGCAAATGGTATTTTGCCAAAATTTAATGACTTATTGTTGTCCACGACTAAGAATTAATTTATATTTTAAAAACCAAAATTTATTGTAATCTTTTCAGAAATCTGATCCACTGCTGGAACAGAGACGAGCTGATTTGATTCACACTGCTTCAGCGCAGTTGGAAAAAGCTAATCTTATTAAATATGATCGTAGAAGTGGACTTTTCCAGGTAAATGCACTTTCCAAGGGTTCAATTCCTATTTAAATAAATAGGAGACAAAAAGTGACTTATGTTACATGATTGTTAAATTTATGTAATTTGCTAAAGTCTCATGGTGTTTGGGTATTAAAGTATGCTTTAAAAATTATTTTGAATACATAAGAAATACGCATAATATACATTTGGCTCAATTTTTTCTCATCATTTGTGCCCAGTGAGTTCTGATTGATTTCAGGCAACTGAGTTGGGTCGCATAGCATCGCATTTTTACTGCACTCATGAAACGATGCTTACATACAATCAGTTGCTTAAAGCAACAGCATTTGAAATCGATCTATTCCGCATATTTTCCATGTCATCGGAATTTAAAAATATTATGGTTCGCGAAGAAGAAAAGATGGAATTGCAAAAGCTTGCTGAACATGTTCCAGTTCCAGTCAAAGAAAGTTTAGATGAAAGCAGTGCGAAAGTCAATGTTTTGTTGCAGGTAAATTCAAATCAACTCATTTTTGCTTCTGTTCATTATACAAACAGTTTCCGTTAGCCTTTCTTTGAGTTTGAGATGGTGCTCAAAAAATTCGAGTTGTATGTAATGAGTTATGTATAGTTCTATGTATGTTGTTGGATCAGAAACTTCGATCAAAGTTTGATTTACTGAAAAATAGTTCATGTTATGAGTATATAAAACATTTTTCAGGCTTATATTTCGCAATTGAAGTTGGAAGGATTTGCGCTTCAGAGTGATATGGTCTACATTAGTCAATCTGCAGGACGATTATTCCGAGCTTTGTTCGAAATCGTGTTGTGGAGAGGTTGGGCACATCTTGCGTTGGTTAGTTTTGTCTTTTAGTAGAATATCTTTTTTGCTTTTGTTCTTACAATATATCCACGTTATTTTATTTCCTTTCCCTACGAGGTTTGAGGCCATTTTATACCTTATAAGCATTTTAATTTAGTTCTGATCAATGTAAATCATTGAGCACTTTTGTAGAAAGTTCTTGGCGTCTGCAAAATGGTCAATGCTCGTCAATGGCAATCTCTTAATCCTCTTCATCAGTTCAAGAAACTGCCATTAGAGGTTAATTTTTAAAGTTTTATTCATTTATTTTACTGTTTGTGATAGAAATGTTAAATACTTAAAAGCATGCATGAGATGGAATGTTGCAATTTATTGCATCGCTGTCCATTTTGTTTGCGTTTTGTTCATACTCATTATGCAGAACTTTTAGGTTGTTCGAAGTATCGATAAGAAAAATATATCATTCGAATGTTTGTATGACCTTGATCAACAGCAACTTGGAGAATTAGTAAAACTGCCAAAGATGGGAAAACCTTTGCATAAGTTCATTCGTCAGGTATGCTTTACAATATATATTTATGTTCTAGAATATATGAAATTTTTGAGTGGTTGCAAGAAATTGTTTCAGTTACCTAAATTGGATATGACAGCTCTGATACAACCCATAACGCGATCAACTCTTAGAATTGAATTAACAATTACTCCAGATTTTCAGTGGGATCTCCGAGTTCACGGTTTGTTTTTTTGTATCAGAGTTTGGCTTTTTTCCTTTATGTGTTTTTTGTTTGTTCGTTGCTTCTTTATAATAATGAACTGCAGGAATAGCTGAGGGATTCTGGATATTTGTTGAAGATGTCGATGGAGAGTTAGTTCTACATCATGAATATTTCTTGCTGAAGCAGAAATTTTGTGAAGACGAACACGTGGTTAAAATGTTCGTACCAGTGTTTGATCCACTACCTCCACTGTATTTTATTCGAATAGGTATTATTCTTCTGCTTGTATCCTAAAGCTATTCAGTACATGTTTTCTGTAACTTCGCTTTTTAATGCTTGTTTCTGGATAACTTATTGGAGTTAGTTTACAGCGAATATAAATATTTGGAACTATAAAAGTTACTGTTTCATAAATTCTTCCTTGAGTATGTAAAATGACTTAAAACAGACTTAATCGATAATAATAATAATGTTAAACAATTTAGTATCTGATCGTTGGCTTGGTAGTGAAAACATCCTACCCATATCCTTTCGACATCTTATTTTACCGGAAAAATATCCTCCACCAACTGAATTATTGGATCTACAACCATTGCCTTTGTCGGCCTTAAATAATCCTCTTTTCCAATCTGTTTTTGAAAAGAATGAGATCTCTGTTTTTAATCCAATTCAAACTCAAGGTGAAAGCTTTAGCTAATTATGGTTGTTGTGTGTAGACGTTTTATTTTATAGTGTATTCAGTGCTAGACATTTTCATAAGTAATCTTTAAGTTCGTGTTTAACGGGAGTTAAGTTATAAGGTAATTTATGCCATGGTTTTGATAGTTTACGCAGTTCATAAGTACGAGTATTATCAAATTTTTAAGATTTGAGCAAGGATTATGATGCATATTATAGAACTTCACTGCATAAATCATCTTCTTTTAATCATGTGTCATTTAAGTTTTTCGTACTGTTTACGAAGCTAATGACAATGTATTCATTGGTGCGCCACATGGTAGTGGGAAAACCGTATGCGCTGAGTTTGCGCTTTTGCGCCATTTTGACAACAGCCCCGAAACAAAAGCCGTTTATGTGACACCGATGGAGGATATGGCGGAGAAAGTACATCGCTTTCATTTTTTTTCTTATTTTTCAGCACTTACTGATTGCCTTACTAAGCTAATGTGCGCAAAATAAGTACTTATTAAAAATATCTGTGTATATTATAAGTATGCTTAATACATCTTGCAAAGACAAAAACATTTGAATTTAGTATATGTGCATATTTTTAATATATTGCTTTGGTTAAATTTTTTTATTTTCAGATGTATGAAAACTGGCAGAATCGAATTGGATGCATTCTAGATAAAGAAATTGTATTATTGACAGGTGAACCATCAACAGATTTGAAACTGTTACAGCGAGGACAATTGATCATTGCAACTCCTGAAAAGTGGGACAATGTTAGTCGTCGATGGAAACAACGAAAAAATGTCCAAGCTGTTCGGTTATTCATCGTCGATGATCTCCATATGGTAGGAGGTAGCAACGGGGTGCGTTGATTTTGCTAAATCATTTATAAATATTTTTCCTTAGAATTAAGTCGTTTATTTTCTTTATTTTACTACTCACTCATGCTAGTCTTTTTTATTTATGACATTTATTTATGACATAAAAGCTATATCTTCGCTTAAGAATGCTTAAGAACTTTGCTTTAAAATTAATTAGTTTCGTTCTATTTAATTTTTTATATCTATTCTGATCCAGAATAGGATGTGTATTTCTCAATTTACTGTTTATGATGTTTATCTCTTTCATTTCATTTTGTTCTGAACTTGATTTTTTGAGTAAATGTGGCGAAAAAAAAAACTTCTGATGTGATCAACCATTAATCAAAAATTAATTTTCATTAAAAATTTTTCTTTGCACAATTTTAAAGAACTTTCTAAATGCAAACTTATAAATGGCTAAGTCTCACAGTGATTCTACGATTTTTTTTCACCATATGTCTTGGGATTTTCTTCCTTAATTCTTGGTTATTAATTTATAGTATTTCTGAGTTGCTTATTTATAGCCTGTGCTGGAAGTGATTTGCTCACGAATGCGTTATATGTCTTCTCAACTAGACTCGACAGTACGCATTGTTGCTCTTTCATCTTCTTTAGCAAATGCGAGAGACGTTGGACAATGGCTTGGCTGTTCTTCTCAAGCTACTTTCAACTTCCCTCCGAACTGTCGACCAATTCCTTTAGAACTGTTCATACAAGTGCTGATTATTGAGATGCTTATTATTTACATATCCTGTTTTTTCTGGGCATAAAAATTGGAAAATGACATCAACGTTTTGTTCTTTTCATTTATTTTATTTTCAGGGCTTTAATTTATCACACACTGCTTCTCGATTAGCAGCCATGACTAGACCGGTATATGCAGCCATTCTTCGGCACGGTGGCAAGTTACGTCCCCGACCTGCCCTAGTTTTCGTGCCAAGCAGACGACAGTCGAGGTCACTTGCGGTCGATTTACTGACACTAGCTCATGCAGATGGACAACCGAAGCGGTTTTTACACATTCATCCGACAGAAAGTAGTTTTCTCAGGATGCTTAATATCGTTCAGGTGTATCATTTCAGCTTGTCAACATTTTGAAGTTTGCTAAAAACCGTTTTTTACTAATTTTAATACTTTTTTCTCGAACTTTATAGGACAAGACTCTGAAAGAGACTCTTTTATGTGGAGTTGGTTTCTTACATGAAGGAGTAGCTTTCAAAGATATGGCTGTTGTGGAACAGCTTTTCGAAAGTGGCGCTGTTCAGGTGAATATGCCTTTAAAAATATAGTTAAATTTAAGCGTGTACTATTTTTATATTTAGTTATTCATTAATTTACTGAACTGTTATCGTATTTATTAGCTTGTTATCTCATTTTCATGAGTGATTTGAATCGTGGGTGGCTTACTTCATTAGTAAGTATTCAGGTTTGCATTGTTACTCGTTCTATGGCTTATAAACTTTCAATTAATGCGTACCTTGTCATTATTATGGACACACAGTTCTATAGTGGTAAGTACCATGTGTATGAAGATTATCCGGTTGGAGACGTGCTACATATGATTGGCTTAGCAAATAGACCACAAGTAGACGATGACGGTAATATCTTATCAATTTTTACTTTAAAAATTTTTGATAAAATAGCAGTTGTACTCGGATATTAATTCTTGTCTTTTCATATACATAATTTGAATTATATTTAGTCATCCTTATAAATTTTTTGGTATTATAGAAATTCATCTCGTTTATCGCTTATGCATCAATTTATTGAAGTTTCATAAAGATTGCTTTTATTTGTACAAAGCAGTAATTGATTAGTGTCGAATAATGTTTATCTTTATTTTTCTATCAAACTTCCTGTCCCGTGTTCTCATTATTTAAACTGCTTGCACTGTCCAAACTATTCTTAAATTTTGTGTTGTAAGACATTATGAAGAATAATATCTGATATTATTTTCAGCCAAGTGTGTTTTGATGTGTCAAACATCCAAGAAAGATTTTTTCAAGAAATTCCTTCACGAACCTCTTCCCGTTGAGTCGCATTTAGATCACTGTCTGCATGATCATTTTAATGCAGAAATTGTAACGAAAACGATCGAAAATAAACAGGATGCAATTGATGTAAGTTTTCTGCCAGTAAAATTTTAGAAATGAATATTCTTTTATTTTCAGCTCCATTTTTTTCCATCGTCGTGGAGTCGTTTCGTGCAAATTCGTCTCTAAAAGTGTATTTAACAGACGCATTCTATATTCTAAAGAATATCTTTTTCACTTCTTTTCCTTATAAAATCAGTTTAGTACCTTACGTGGACCTTATTATACCGACGGATGACACAGAATCCAAACTACTACAATTTACAAGGTGTCACTCATCGTCATTTATCAGATAGTTTATCGGAATTAGTCGAGAATACATTAAAAGATTTGGAAAATTCGAAATGTATTGCAATCAAAAATGATATGGATACACAGGCCCTTAATTTGGGCATGATCGCAGCATACTATTATATAAGTTATACAACAATCGGTAATTGTGTAATTGTTGTCTTAATAGCTTAATTTATGCATGAATTAACTGTACATTGAGCAGACTACCGTATGATGACAAATGAAAGTGAAAACAACTCGCATTTGTGTTTAACTGTAATCGTTTGATGTAGTATGCATTCTAAACTTGAACATCAAAATTTATATGACCCATGTAGCCTTAGAATAAGAACTTAGACTTTTTATTTTCCAAGATACTTGGTTTTGATTTTCTTACTATTATACAAGATCGTTTCAGAAGTATTCAGCATGTCTTTAACCGCCAAGACCAAATTACGTGCTCTGATTGAAATTATTAGTAACGCAAGTGAATTTGCAAACATGCCGATACGTTATAAAGAAGATATTGCACTGAAACAATTAGCTGATCGACTGCCAAACCAACAGAAAAACTTGAAGTTTTCAGATCCACATATCAAAGTTTGTTTATGTGCTTTAGATTATTTTGTTCCAGATCTTTGAAAGTTTTTATCGTGATAAAAAATTTTACAATTAAAGCTGCTTAATACTAGTTCCAGTCTGCAGAATATGCTGTCTCGCCCCTATAAATTTTTTTTCAGGTAAATTTATTGATGAATGCTCACTTAAGTCGAATACAGCTTTCAGCTGAGTTGAATAAAGACACGGAAGAAATTGTTCTTAGAGCTATTCGTTTAGTACAAGCATGTGTTGATGTTTTAAGCAGGTATGTACTTTCAATTAGTATATATTTGTTATTTAGACATCTAGCAAATAAAGTGTAACCAGTTTGCTCAGTTCGTTTTTTTATTTGAACTGATTTTTATCGTCAAATTTCTCCATAGATTATCTGTGAGAAACCTTTTTTTTGACCCTTGCTTATCAGTTCAGTTTTTAGTAATGGATGGCTAGCTCCTGCAATTCATGCAATGGAGCTATCCCAGATGTTAACGCAGGCTATGTATAACAATGAATCTTATTTGAAGCAACTTCCGCACTGCACACCCGCCTTACTTGAACGCTGCAAAGAACAGGTTCATCGTAATTTTTTTTTTCAGAAGCTTGGAAGAAATTATGTATATTTCCTTACATTTGTTTCTTCATAGTTTTAATAGAAAATGGATACGCTAATATCAAGCTTTAAAATAGTTTTAACCTTTAGAATTTGTTTCAAATTTTCTTGTCTTTAGAAGATTTCATCAGTATTTGACATATTGGATTTGGAAGACGACGTTCGAGAATCGCTACTGCAAATGACTGTATTTGAAGTCGCGAGAGTTGCTAGATTCTGCAATCAATATCCGAGTATTGAAGTTATGTACAAAATTGAAAACAGTGGAATCATTACAGTGTAAGTACACATTATTATTTTATTTGATAACCGAATACTTAATTATTTTTCATTTTAGCGGTGATACAGTTAATGTTACTGTGGAAATGGAACGTGAAAATAATGTGGATGGATTGGCTCCACCTGTAGTTGCACCATTTTTCCCTCAAAAACGAAAGGAAGAAGGATGGTGGTTGGTGATTGGAGATCATGCCTCAAATGCACTCTTTTCTATAAAAAGGTTTGTTTTTAAAGTTGGTATTGTTAATATAGTGAACTGGTTGATTGTGTTCATGAATTTTTTTTAGATTAACTGTACATCAGAAAGCTAAAATGACGCTTGATTTCACTGCAACGATGTCAGGAAAGATGCACTATAAATTGTATTTCATTTGTGATTCATATTTGGGGGCTGACCAAGAGTTTGATCTCAAATTTCGCGTTGAAGGTATTTTACATAGTTTAGTGGAATTTCGATTCATAAAATTTTATTCGCATTTTATATAGAATCTCCTAGTGCACATTCAATGTAATGATTTCACTATCCTGTATTGCATGAATTCGTGTTTACTGGAATGACGATCAGCAACTGTACATCATCGATCTTGACTCCATAAATTTATGGAAATCATTGTAATTAGACTTTTTTCAGAACCGAGTCGAAATCGAACGCAGTCTCACGACGAGGAATGATCAGAATTGTTTAACAAACATGAATTTTTATTCTCATTGTTTTAATGTTTGTTGACATTGTTTAAATAGATGATTATTTCGGAAGTGATATGGGATATCTCGACTTGTTTAAAACAACCAAAAATTTCAGATTTCACCTGTCCTTTATTGAACGAAAATTCCCCCCTAATTAATTTTGCATCCAGTTTTTGCTTCATATTCGAGATCTGTTACGAATTTGACTAATAGGATGTGAGTAATTTTGTACATCCTTGTTTTTGTTTTTTTTAAATTGATTGAACAGCATGTTTTATAAAGGATCGTTATTCCACTGTATCATTGCACCAAAGTCGTTGCTCAGTTTTGACACAAATTTGAAATTCCGGTTAGCGGGATGGCATTAATTCATTTAATGAACGGCCGTATTCAACATCTACACCTCCAATGTTTTTGCTAAGTTGAAATGGCCTGAAGAGGAAGAGTTTGGCTTAAATTGCTATGTTACATAGTACACCGGTCTTGAAGCGCTATCAATGTAAATGTTTGGGAGCGGGATAGTTCGGCGCGCAATGTATCATTTGCTTTCGGAGAACTGTGGTACTGGGAATCAGTTGGGGTAGGTTTGGTGGCATGATCTGCTAGGGAGATTTAGTGCCTATATTTTGTTTTAATTTCTGGCAAATGTTCAGGTGAAGTCTCCAGCTTTCAAGTCGTTTTCACAATGCAAAATTCAATTAATTTGTAGTGAGCCCACATGATATGCAGATATAGTGTTATTTCCCAAATTGAGCAATGTCGTCGAAGTCATCATGGATTCCTTTCATTTCAGTGCTTGTTATAGTAATTTTTAACAAGTGTTACTGCCTTAATATTGTGTCATAGTTCTTTTGGTGTCGAGCTGACAGAGTTTTGGACAACAAAAATTTGATATTTCAGTTTTTAGCTGCAAATGTATATTCAACGACGATGTATGAGAAATTGATGAGGATTAAATTTCCATATGTACGAGTGCCTTATATTGTACTCTCAGAAATTAAAGGTCATGAAAAAGTTTGTTATTGTTATTTCCTATTACTAAGACCAATTCTATGTAGAGTTGCGTAATAAACAATGCATAATTTCTAGTTCAGAAAGAGCCTGGTTGGGAGGGTCACTTTTCTTTTTTCTTGAGGTCTTTTCTTAGAATTCTGTAATTCATTTATCCGATCAAATTGCCATCGTTTTGTCTGTCTTGTCTTTTTCTCGTTCTTATTTGTACTGTTTTACACTGATGTTGACATCTGCTTTCATTTGCAGAAATTACTGGTTGTCACATTTTGTTCATCTATCTTGAGATGTTATACTATTTAATAAATGATGCAAAATGGTTAATTCTGACATAATTTTAGCTCGAAAATACATTAAAAATGATTATTGTGTTGAAAGTATAGAAAATAAAATGAGTATTATAATTGCGCTGCGTTCTAATCTATTTTAGCTACATTGATGAAGAAAAATAGCATTTAATAGTAGCAATTATGAACACTATAGCTGCATATGAAACTTTTCAGAAATTTTTAGAGCTGAACGCCGTTTTGAGCTAACGCACATTTCATAACTGCACTAAGTGTAAAGAGAATATCACAGCTGCAGCTCAGCTTGTCTTCTTATAACATTTATTTTAAACACAAAATAGTTATAAACAATATATGCAACTTTGATTCATTCTAACATTATTGTTCTATTTTATTTTCTTACTTCTTAACTCGTGTTAATTCTTTCACATTTCATTTTTTACTTACATTTGTAATCTTTAAAACTGAAGTTGTATGTGATCATCATGATTGGTTTATTCCTACTTGTATTATTTTCTACGACATTAATTCATGAAGATTAAACCGTTATTAATGCTTACATAACACAGTCAACAATTCAATTTAAGTGCTAAAAAGTTCCAAATTTATAGGTAAATGATGGAGATAATGGTTATAAGCATATATTTGCAAAATTACATGTTTGTTTTGTCAATATTCAGTTGAGCTGAAAGAGTTCAGTGCTGTCGAAGGGTACTGTGGAAGATGACTTGAGGGATAAGGATACTGTCGCATCACCCCGCCTTTATGGTGTTTGGAAGGTGAGCAGATTTTCTTGACACTTATGCTCACACTTGACTTGTCTGCACTCTGGTCATCTGTGATGGACAACTCGTTGGCGGCCAAGTATATTAAGCAGAAGGTTTGCACTTCTGAAGATGGCTCTCGATTTCAGGTTGTCACTCGTTTTCATCAATTACTTTGCCTTTTTGACTAGTACCTCTTGTAAAACTGAAAAGAAATTTGTCATTTTTTCCATTTTTTAAATGAACTTTCGGTTTGCACCCATCTTCTTGATAAATAAAATAATTCTTCATATTTGTTTGATATGTTTTTTGGAAGATAATTTTGTTGTCAGTAAAAAAGAAAAAAAACGTACACAGTTCAACAAATTTGAAAGAAACATTATAGATTATTTAAAAAATTTTCGCACAAAAAGTAAACTGATCTGCTCTCTTCATGTTCAGTTTATGCTTTGTTTGTGATACGAACTCACAGTAATCCGTTCAATTTCATGCATAGATTTGATTAATGTGTTGCAAAAAGGTTGGTTGGTTGATTGATGAAAAGTATAGTCCAGAACAGCACAAAGAAATTAAGACATAAATTATTTGAAGAAGAAGGATTTAAGGATTTATGTTAAACAGTTCCTCTACCAATATCAAATGCTTCTTTACTTCCTAAACAGCAAGTGACTTATTGCTGGTTCCCTTCAGCTTAATCAATTTTATTATCATTTTTTTGACTTGTGAAATACTATTTGCAGTTTGTATTTCCTTTGGAATTTTAAATGGTCTCAAATCTTTTGATTTCTTCTTGTTATTACATTTCCGTTCATTCACATGAAGTGAGTGGATAACATTTTTGTCACCTGTAATAATTTTTTTAGCAATAAAAGGTAAATGAGATTCGTGAAATCTTGAAAAAATCTAGATTCATCATCATTTTTGTTGTTTGCAAAAAATGGAATGATTTATTGAATTATAAGTAAATTTTCAGTTTTATTCTCAGCAATTTCATTTATAGTTTCAAACATAACAGTTTCATGAGAGAGGAAATTTTGCTGGTTATGGAAAGAATCAAGAGCTTGCAGGGATTCCAGAGCTTGCAAAGGATTCAGAATTTGCAGGGATTCCAGAGCTTGCAAGGGATCCAGAACTTGCAGGGATTTCAAAGCTTGCAAGGGATCCAGAATTTGCAGGGAATGCAAAACCTGCAAGGGATCCAGAGCTTGGAAAGAAAAGCAAGTAAAACGATTGAAAAAATTGTGAAAAGGACAAAACGAAAGTATCGCTCACGAATCCATAGTCCGGAAAGCACTGAGCGAATGAGGCAGATTCGGAGAAACAAAGCGAATGCTCGAGAACGCCATCGTATGCAGATTTTAAATGAAGCTTTAGATAATCTTCGAAATGTCCTTCCACGGTTTCCGAATGAACCGAAGTTGACGAAAATAGGTGAGGAAAGATAAAACTATGAAAAGCTGAACTATTCTAATTCCTACTATTGAAATCACTTTCATTGTTGCACTATAATTATTGCAGAAAAGATTATTGAAACTATGGTGCTGAATTAATCTCAATTTGTGAACTTGTTTTCAATTTCAGAAACTCTACGCATGGCCAACAGTTATATTCATACATTGACACAAATCTTAAAGGAACATGACGAGCAAGAACGTAGAAATCAACCTGCAGTCGAAAATTTACCTCCCAATGGGGAGCTGAATTTTCATCCTTCTAACGTCGCTTTTTTGTAGGATTAGGTCATCACGGTGCTTCATTCAAGAATTCAGCATTTTTTCAAATATGCCATGTGCTTTATTATATTGTTTTATCATTTTCACTGTAGCGTTTTGTTACGATTTGTTCTGACAATTTTTCATTTCTTTTAAAGAAATCTATTAGAACTATTAGGTAGTGCTTTCTTCTGCTATCTTAATCATCATGTAAAGAAATTTGCTTATTTTGTCCGACTACAGTTATCAATTATTAACGATAATTTTTTATTCCTTGATATATTTACAGTATTTGCATCTGACTGTGCCTTGAATTTTTTGCTCTTATAAAGAACTAATATAAATTTGAACTGGTAATGAAACTTAGTTCAGTTAGATATTTCTTTTACTTTAACTTGTGATGCCATGAAAGATATTTCTAAAATTACTTCCACTGCAGATGAAATTCGATATTGAGTTGTCTACAGCATATTACTGTCGGCAAACTTTGGCATGTCTAATCACTTTGCAGTTGTAACTATCTCCATTCTATGCTGGTCTTTTGTTTATTTTTGTGATAATTATGAATGTCAGTGAACAGGTAGCCAACCGTCTACATGTTACTGTTTTACCAAACCATCACTCAGCAGGATATCATCCATTATTGACACTTTACGCCAACAAATTCTTTTTTTTCTTTTGCTTGGTATATAACATGCAGTATTTCTGGAATGCACGTTTCCGTGATACTTTGGTTGGATGGGATGGTTATTTAGGAATTAAGTGTATTATAGAATTACATTTTACTTTCGTTTTTAATTCTCATCAGAAAATAATGACTAAAAATTGCTTCCTTAGTGATAGTCCACACCGCTTTAAGTTACACCTAGCGTTCGTAAAAAAAGACATCTCCGAACTGCATAATTTTGCAAGAAAAAGTTGTCCCTCATGAACCGAATCATGAACCAAAAACTTTACCTCAATTTGCAGTCATTAAATTTGAGAGGATATCAGTGTCAGAGATCACATTAGTAACGGATAATTAAATACTCTTAAAAGTGACGCATTCATGCCAATTCGATCATAGAAACAGTTTCAGATCATCTTAATGACGCTATCTTCAGCACTTTCTTCAAATTTCAAGAGCACTGAAGCAGAAAAAATTTATTTGTTTTCACTATCATCTGTTGTCAAAACATATCCGGAAATTGTCAATTTTAATCCGTATCAAAAATATTGCATAGAATGAAGGAAGTAAATTATGGTCTCATCAAATTTATCTGTTCTATATAGTAATGCTATTTTTGAACCAAAAATAAAATTTAGACGAAGTACATGCATCCAGTTACAGTTTCAAGTTGTAGATTTATCACAGTATCATTTGCTTTTTTACTGCTAAAATAACTTGATGTGGAAATGATTTTGTGTTGCTGTTACTAAAATATTTTTTTTTTGTAATAACTGCAAATTAGTCGGCACGATGAAGGGAAACATTTTTCATATCGATAACATTAAGGCAACTAAGAATTTGTAGAAGCAGTTGTAACAACATTACATGGATTGGAAGAGCTTTCCCGTCTTATGGCTGCTTGCTTGTCAGGACTGTGAGAACTTTAACAAGGATAATGATGGCTCATGATGCAATAAGTGGGTATTATATTCAGCGGGGGGCTAAAGGTCAACCGGCACTCACTATTGCTGAAGATTCATTCCTTCTATATGAAGCTAAAAAAAACTATCTTTACAACTACATAAATTTGATGCAGCAACAAACAACAAATGTGAATTCATCAAAATGTTTAAGATATGCAAAATGTAATCTATATCCGTTGCAACCGAATAAAACAACTTGCACGTGAGCGGAACTAAATTTTATTCTGCTGAAAGAAAGATAATGTAAAACGAACCTGACAATAAATTTATGATTATCTTACTGATAACGTTAGTGCATCCCTTTAATTCCTAGTCTACTGAATATAAAATTTACTCAGGACAAATTAATCACAAGCTGAATTTTTTGAACAAGAGTGTGAAGTACTGCCATCAATCAACGACTTCTGAAGTTAATCAATGTCTCAACAAACCAACATTTTGCATTCTTAATAGTCAGCTTTTTCACTACCTGGTCAAATTATATGCAGAATTGAAGGACACGATAAAAAAATACCCATAATCTGTTTTCATGGTAATTTTGAAAAACGTTTCTATCAATGACAATAAACACTAGGATGAACATGCACATACTTTAACAATGTTGTTATTAAGTAGCGATATGGGATTATAAAAGACGTATGTGAACTAATTAATTGACGATTGTAACAACTGCACAATAAAAATTCATAACAAACCACATACAAAAATCTACTTCTATTTCATTGAAAATATTTTGGAAAATAAAGAAATATTCAACCTTACTGTCGTGTAATCTAAACTTACTTTCTTATTTGTCACTAAGAAAAATTACAACTCTGATTTATCATTTCGTTCACTCTTCTTGCTTCCTTTCCGTTCTCTGTCCTTTTCTGCTTTTACTTTAATTAATTTCTCTTCACTTTCTTCTTTTTGAGACTCGCTCTTTGTTTCTTGCTTTGATTTCTCGTCCTCATCAAGTGGTTTGTTTGGTTTCAACTTTGCGCCCTTCCTCATTTCTGGAACCTGGAATTCAAGACAATGCTACAAAAATGCTTTAATCTGTAACAGACATTTGTGCACAGCAATACTCGAAAATGGAAGGCTGAAGATAATTTCAAAATTTTAATTTATAGTGAAAAGAATGTAGATTACAATAGCATTTTTCCGCTTCACGTGACATCCAAATATCTAATTTTCACAATAGTGCACACAAACCAAAAACTGTGTCACAAAACTGGAAGAGGGATTATTTCAAAAGAGTAATGTAATTTTCGTGAATTTTCAAAATTAGTTGAAAAAGAAACAAACATCTATATTATAGAAACGCATGACATCTTTCATTGAGTTGAGTACATCAGCGGGAGATGAATAATAGTAAGCATAATTTTTATATTCCGCTTTCTTATTCTTGAATTCAGGCAACAAATCACCGTTTTTATCTGGAATTAATTATTGACTTATAACAGCCAAAAGACTTAATTCTAGGTCAATTAATTGGTAGAAAACAGAAAATTGAGCTGGATAGAAGTAAAGCGATAAATTATCCTCAAAAGAACATTCAGACAAAATAACGACAATCATTTGAATAAATAAGTCATCACAAGTGATGGATAAATTGGAGGGCAAAAATAAGTGTTAATGAAAATCAATTCAATATGAGAGGCAATTTCGTAGCACGGAGAATGTTGTTACTGGAAATCACTAGTCAAAAGTAATGGTGAGATGCTTCATCTCTTAACAGGTATTACTGATTGTTAATCATACTTCATACCACACCATTTCACTCACAATAATAATTTTGGTATTTTTGTTGAATTAAAAGCACTGATACGTCTTCTTTCGTCACAATTAAATCTTACTTCGATGACAACGCAGAACAGAAGGAATATTATAAAACCGATGACAATTTGTTTTTATCAAAGAAAAAAATTAACAGCATAAGAATATAGCATATTTTTTCGCAACACATTTTGTAACGTAAAATTAAGTTGATATTTTATGGATATCTATGAAAAATTGATATAAGAAATGAAAATTTCTTTACCTAAAACAGCAAAATCTGCTTGTTTTCTTTTAAAAATTAGGATCCTAATATTTCTTGACCTCATAAAAAAACAGATCCATTTTTTGTAACTGCAACCAATTTGACAAACTTAATAATTATGATTGAACAATCATAATAAACTGCAGTAGAATTTACCTAAGAAAAGTAACCGCGGAATATATTTTCCATCAGGCCTGTATTCTTCCTCATAAGGTTCTTCGTCATCTTCCGTATTTACCATAATAAAATACTCTGATAATTTTTTAAAAGCCTTTCGAGCATTTGATTGTTGAAATGTCTTTTTCAGCGCTTAAAAAAACAAAGTTAGAGTAGACGGAATTTTTGCTAGAAAACCCAGAACCAAAAGTTCCAGGTAAATCCAGTAGTCTTTGTAGTAAAGCATTGCTTATAAAATACTTATTGCTTTCAAGACTTCAACTTCGAATGAGCTAAACAGAGTTGAAAAAATTATGTTTGTAGAGAGAACCTTTGCATGCATGACACCAAGATTTATGAATCAGAAGAAATATAGGTTTGTTTTCTTCCATTGCTAGCTCCACTGCATCTTCCCACTTTACCCAAGCGATATCCTCACCAAAACCTTGAAAGTAACTGCAAAAGTTCCAAATGATATGAATGTTTTCAAACACAAGTAAAAAACAGTGTCAACTGACCAGTAATGATCACTGAAATGAACTCTAGTTAATTAGCATTTTAGAGTTAATTTTAGCAATCATCACCAGTCATAATTCACTAATTTAAGACTGACTGTACTTGATGCTTTCATTGTCAGGTACTTTTTATTCATTTCAAATGACCACTGTAACCCTGATGCTTGAATACACCCATGATCGTATCGATATTGCTTGAGTCAGATAAGTTAACAAACCATGTGATAACGGATTTTGGTACATTTGTTTTGCGTCGAATGAAGCATGCGTGCTTTGTAAAAAGATAACAAGGAAGATAAGCACAACACTTGCCAACATCCTCCACGTCAACACACCGTACGACAATAAAATATGATGCAGAATGAAAAGCGGGTTGGCAGATAATGAAAAAGAAGGCTGAGAAGTGTTGTGATGCACACTGGTAAGGTCTTCGTCTACACGACCCACTTCTTACTCCCTTTTACAAATAAACTTGTTTCATCGCTCAGAAATGGATGTGACACTGGAACTGAGCATCGATTGCTATTTCAAAACTATCTAATATTCATTCCCTCAATCTAAAATTTCATCCCTACAACAAGAAATCCACTACAAATTGTAGATGAAAAAATAATCATGTATGTATAGACACAGAAGTATGCTCATAATTGCAAATTATTGCAATTAGCCCTTTTTAATTTCAAAATTTTCGCTACCTCAAAGGTTTGAAACAGCTTGAAACGAAATATTCTGCCAGCAAAGATGGCTCCATTATGTGGATAAATTTAAGAAAGTAAACCTATGCGATCACATCACTGCTGATCTATAACTTATTGCTTTTTGCATATTATGCTTGAAATGAATAACAAGTTTTGAGGTGCTACTTTTCCATCGCATTTTCCTCTGGACTTTTGTTTTCCTTAAAATCCATTTTCTGAGTAATTAAGAATTTGTTATAGTCAAGGTCATCGGCACACTGGTAGTTACTTATAACCCAAAAATTTATACTGCATTATAATAATTCTTGAATTTTTCATAAAATAAAAACCTGTTTGATATTTTGGAACATCTTTTGAGTTGTTTACTGGTCATTTTTAGAAAATTCTTACAAGTACCTTAAAAATCTATTTTTCATGCAATGAAATTTAATAACAATATTTTTCTCACATCAGGATTAGAGTCTCATTACAGGGAATTTGGAAAATTAAAAGCTACGACTGGAAGTTATAGCAACTTCAATATTTTTATGCCTGACTGTGATTGAGACTGCTCGTCTTTCATTGAAATCATAATTTGTTGAAAAGATCGGAAAGCTCACATCGTTTATTAATTTTTACGGTAGTTATATTCAAAGGCATGAAAAACAGTTTAAAGGACTACATGAGTCTGAACACTTTTTGCAAATCTAGCATTTCTTTTTAGGCTTGATTTACTCGAGTTTAATGCAAAAGATTTCTACAAATTTGAAATTTCGATGCTACTAATGTTAATATTAAACTACTGCAAATTGCTGACTTTGTTTCAGTCCATATAGGGTTCAACAATTACTAATGACTCGCAGTAATGACGGCAAAATTTTAATAACTTTTATCTGAAAAAACTTTTATTATATTTATTGACTTTTAAGTGTTTCATATCTAGAAGATACAAAATAAACTCTTTCATTCACAAAAAGAAATATCATACTTTACCAGATGCAAAATATTTCCTTGCCAGTCCCTGCGTTACGAAGACTTTTTTCGATCTGACTTTTGACCTAATGGATAAGCTAGTTTTGATATAACTCCTCATGGCTAAATTTTATTACATATCAACTTATCGTTGAAATAATGAGGCATATAATACTGTATACAATCAAAATCTTCATCTTCATTAAAAATAATTGAGTACTGACCATATTATTTTGTCGTTGAAGATTTATTACTGTTATACTTATTAAAGAAAGCAGTCTGTCGCGAATACTAAATACAGTAAACTACTACAATCTTAAACAATTTAAACAAACAATCAAGGATTGCAACAGTTTCAGCGAAATAGTTTTTAGAATTTGTTTACTTCAATTTTTTTTCTGAAAAACTTGCTTGAGAGGACGTGAAGATTGGAGTGGAATCAATTGTATTTGCAAAGAAATTTATGAGCTTTGGTTGGTAAACAAACGCTTTTTTGGAGTCTTCTCTCTATTTAAAAATCTTGGAGAAGTTTCCTTTCACCTCGTCAAAATTTGTTATTTATCACCAAAATGTATTTATTATATTTAAAACTAACCAAGATTTAGTAGTTATTGAGTAGGGTGTAGAAAACGTGCATGCTTGTGACTGTCATTTGTGAAGTAGAATGCATTAGATATGATATGCTGTATATTTTCTCATGCAGCCTTAAGTTAATGATTAAAAAATTACATCATTATGAGTAAATTATTCTACTGATGAATGCATCCATAATTGGAATGATGAATGAATAAGAAACTTTGTCGGTTATGGTCTCATCTCGTCACATAATTTTTTTGTTTGAAATCATCTTTATTGCCCCATTGCAATTGAAAAGCAAATTATTATTATTGGAAAAGAGACGTACATTAATTATGGAATGGATTTATTCATTCCTTACTGGTAAAAAATGAGATTTAAAGAAATTCTATGTTTCACTTGATATGTATGGTGTACAAAATTAGCAGTATACTGATTATTTCTCGGAAATGCCTTATTATGCATTTGCGTAAATTTTTTCTTTTCTCATTAATCTGCGCATTCTTACATTTAGACCAGTTCACTTCATGTGTTATTCCAAAAAAAGCAGTCTTTAATTTTCAATTTTGAATGCTGAGTTGTTATTTACACATGAAAAGTTGATCCCTTCGCAGAAAACATTGACTGCTTACTCATTTGCTCATTTCATTACTATTTCATGCTAAATTTGTTATTTCAACTTGGTTTATTTATAAACCGAGACAGGCCACTACAGTTTCCGTTTCTTCTTTAAAACATAATCGTACTCATTGTTGTTCACGTTATGAATGTGTAATGTAAATTTTGCATACTTTTAAAGAGCATGAAGATATATGACAGCGATTTAGATTTTTATTTATGGAATTACGTAATTTGTTGGAACTGTAGACGTTGCACATATATACTGTACAATATGTGTTTTTGACCATTAATTGCACAAGGTGATGATTAATAAATTAAAATGATTTTCTAGCATGTGTTTGAAGTCAGATTACTTGATTAAATTTTTATAAAAAAGCGCAAAAAGACGACAGTTTTTCGAGTTATCTAAACAAATTAAGATCAAGTGTGATTTAATGGCTCATAAATTTTGAAAGATATTTAGTTAAAGGGAAGCCAGAATTAATCTAGTTTTTAAACAGATGCAATTTTGGCTTGTTTTTCAAAACTTAAACATAGATTAAAAACACTGCTTTCTGAAAAAAGGATCTGCAAGTTCAGCTACTCAAAGAAGACAAATTGATCATTGTAATAATTATTTAACTTCTACATAATAATTTCTTTTGCATTAATTAATCACAAGTGCTGTCAACACACGTTTTGAATAATGACCATTGAATATCATAATTAATGTAATGTATTTAAATCATGTGGAAATGATATTATGAAAACCTTGACTGGCCCACTAATTATTTGCTTATGTAAATGAAGTTAATTGATTGAATCAACTATGAACCTAAAAATATGGAAAAAAATCAGAAACTTAGATCATCTTCAAGTAATGGAAATTAGTTTGCTTTATTTTAAAAGAAAGAAGTATATAATAAAAAGGACAGAGAAAATGATGTAGAAATGAGATTTGTGTCAAATGCTCTCTGCAATATGAATTTGAGGAAATTGCTTTTTAAATGTTTTTAAATACCTGACAACTATTACTGACTTTCATATTAAATGCCATTCCATAATTTTTTCATTGCACTTTGGAAATGTAAGTCACTAGATCATATTTATCTTTTATGCCAAGTATGATCAACTAGTTATCTACTTTCTGCTGCATTTTTCGATAATAGTTCATAAGATATTTGTGCAACTTTATGTAAGGTCAAACTCATCAATGTTATTCTCGCTCTTTTGAGACGGTCTTTAGTTGATAAAAATAATATGAGCGATATTGGTAATAATGACTAGTAGTATAATTTATTGCTGAAAACATAGGCTTTCCAGAATCCTAAGAAATTTCAGAGGTCTTCACTGTTTGTAATTCTACTAAAATTTAAAAAACTACATGATGTTTCCTTAAAATATGCTTAAGCATTTCATTATTTGTCTTCCTATCAAACACTTTTTTTTTGAAAACAAACTTGCCAGTGAATACGTAGTTGAGTACTGCTTAAGCAATCTCTTTAAAAATAATTTAAATGTGGCATGAAAAACAGCATAATTCTTTTTTTTGCAAATGATCATTTAGTTGCATAACCGAAGAAGGCTTTTCCATTTCTTCGTTAAATTTTTATTTTAATATATAAAATTTAGTTGAAACCTTGGCTAAAAGAATATCATTTCGATTGAATTTCATGGAAAGAATAACTCAGTGATTTTCAGGTTAGAAAGATAGATAATTTGAAAAACTGCCTGAACAGAAGAACAGTTCTTTTAAGCAAAAATCGAGTCTTGCTCAAAGCAGTTCAAAGTTTCGAAAGTTTTATCATTTTTATTGATATAAGTCATTGTGAAGTCTATTGCTAATTTTGCTGAAAGAAAACAAAAGTCAAGAAATAGAGAAGGTTAAGTAAACTCTTTAGAATTTTCTCCGGAAAAAGAAAAAGAACAACAACTTTGAATGAATTCTTAGAAATACACCGTCTTGTAGGAGTTTGTAGAATTCTCTTTTGCACGCAATTCTTAATTTATTATGCTTTAAACAGCTTTTTGCTACTTTCTTGCCTATAAAAATCATATAAAAAACTTCAAAGTACCCATGCTATTAATATTTATAGACATTCCATATGTTGAAATGTGTTAATTCAAAAGTTCTATCCTAATTTGAATTTTTCAATCGTGGTAGCAGTGTCACATTATTGTTTTTTTGCAACATTTTCTTTCTCTTTCTGACCTAAGTGAAAAGATTCACAATTCACTACTGTCAGTCTTAATCTGTAGATAATGAAAGAGCAGATTTTATAAATTTTAAATTTGGTACATTTGTATCAAAAGTAGTTATTTATCATTAGCTATACTATGTTTGTTTACTCTTTTATAAAAATTTCTCTGCATTGTTTGCTTTTTATTGCACTACTTTTTATCCATTCAGATGACATTTTTTGTTTTTAAGATAGAAATTGCTGCATTCAATTAATTTTTATGAACAATTAACACCATAGTATGAATTGCATATGTTGAGAAATGTGATGAATGAACTTTCTTCATTAAATTTTCTTCAATAAATTGAACTTTTTGATGTCTGACTGACGTAATACAACTTAATTGTTTTTAAAATTATAAATTTTGTACTCATCTGCTAAAAATTGGTTCATGAAACATTGCATTGCTTGCATTTAATTGTCACTTCTCAGAAATGGCAAGCATTTCATATTTTGAGATGAGAAAACTTTAGCATTTTTGCACTCGTTGTGATTGAAATGAATGCGATATTGAAGAACTTCAATGGTTATTATCGTAAAGCAATAAAAGTTTTCGCATATCAAAATTACTTTGTTCCCAGTGTTAAATTTTGACTTTTTAAATTATCAAACGTTTATTTGTACGAATGCTTTCCTTTAATGAAATTTCGTACTTATATTGGTGTTCACGATTTAGCATTACAAAAAACAGTTCACTGTCGTCAGCATTTGCAGTGGTTTGTTTGTAGAACTATTGAGGAAACACACTGCTAAAATGATGGTCTAAAATGATGGTCTTCTTGTTCTACAAGAATATGCTTTAAGGATGTAATCTGCAGTTTATTCTTTTTCCTACCGCATTTGATCAGATTATTAGTGTTTTTTTTGCGTTTCAATCTTTTTTTCAGTGAGGTCAATTGCAAACTTTCAAAAGCTGATATATGGGACTGAATTCATCGATACATTTTACCATAATACTGAAACATGTCGTAGGAAATTTACTAATTTTTTGTTTAACATTGTCTTTCTTCATTGTTACATCACAACTTTTATGATTATCACAACTTTTATGATTATTTACTGAAATAAAAAAGCGAAATCGCAAGATCTTGTTCATCATCACTGTTCCTTGCTCACATCGAGATCATTTTTGCACTTTCGAGTAATTTTATTTTCAACGTTGCATTTCAAATAGCTATGCAGAAATTTGAGTATGTATGTTAATTACTCTGATATCCCATTTTTCCTCATTTCAGAAGCCAATTTTAATAACTTTTTTCTTATTGGTGATAATCAAAGTTTAAGTTTTACCAAATAATGTATTTGATACTTTATCCAAATATTAAGAGTTGTGCTTGGTTTTAGAAGAGCGCTGAAATGCTCTTAATGATTATTCAAATAATTTAATTGATTCACTTCGCTAAGCATGTTTTTGAAATTTTTTTTAAACAAACAAAGAAAAATTATTTTGCTTATTTAATAGATAAAGAAAACTACGAAATAATGTGAATGATGATGAGTATTAGCAAAGTTTTTCTATGACACTGCAAGTTGTCATTTGAATAAATTTAACCGAAATAAAAAGATTCATTTTCTTCGGTTCGGACTCTTCTCAATATATTGCAATAATCACTAATAAATTTGATTGGTGTCTTAATAAAATTAAGCACAGTGTAGTATTTCTTTCATCAGTTTGCAATATGTGGCATAAAATAATTTTATTTGAAACAGTGTTGCATCGGTGCGATGATTTGAGTAATACAAACTTATTAAATCTAAGAAATAGTGTAAAGCTTTTATAAAAAGTTTATTCTAGAAGTCAGTCGATACATATTCTTAGAGAAGTACTTGTGTTTTATAACTGAGCGAATTTGTTGATCTTGCTTGCATCATGGACAGTGGCGTGGACTTACAGCAGGACTGTGATAATTGATGTCACTTATTGTGAACTAAACAGAATGGACGGTGTGCAGGATCAAATGGTGGAAGGAGAAGAGGCCGAGTTGAATGAACAGAATAGAGAGCCGTTTGTTAACCTCTGCAAAAGTTTGCAATTAATCTTTTTTTTTCAAAGTAACAAACATTATTTCAAATCATATCTACTCTGATTTAGAACATCAGTCACATTTTGAATCATACAACACTATGCCTCCGTTTTCTATCTATGCATACGATGAAAAATTTTTATTAGAATACATCTATAAAATTCCACGATTTAAGGACTTTTCGCTTCATATGGAATATAATTTAGCAAGTTTAGGGCATACAAAAAATGTTTTACACTTCTTGGTAGAAGATTGGTGCCTGTCAGCGATACTTGGTATTATAACCGCGATTTTATCCGTTGTTATGGATATTTGCATAGAGAAATTACAAGATAGTAAATTTTTCTACATCGATCTTTCTCACTAAAAAATGTGTTCTGACAGAATAACAACTTATTATTACCTTAGGTTTTCAATATTAGTTCTTAACAGAATTATTGAAAAATTAATCGTGAGATTTGACTTTTGCAATCAAATGAAGGTCATGTGACTTTCTATAAGGCATTCCGAAGACATAATTACCATTACTTGGCTTTATTACAATGGTTACTCCACGTTGTCCTGCTCACATTTCTCTCAGCTGCTGCCTGTTTATGGATTTCTAAGCAGGCTATTGGTCCGTTCTTGCCTTGATAAATTTTAATAAATGCTAGTGATTTGCTTTCAAAAATAAGTCAATATAGTCACATTAGAATTGCAAAGCCGTGGAGAAAGTTTTAAGTTGAAAATATACTTTCAGTATTTCAAAAAGATGTGGCACTTAATAACTGAGGCAACAAATTTAATGAAGAATATTTTATATATTGTTTGTGAACTTTATACCTTTGCTTAATTATTCAGGATCAGGCATACCGCAAGTAAAAGTGATAATGCATGGTTTCAAAATGGAAAATTATCTTACAGTTCGAACTCTGATTGCAAAAATGATTGGTTTGACATTAGCTATCGGTAGTGGCCTTCCAATTGGAAAGGAAGTCTGCTATATATAAATTGAAACATTGAAAAATTAAGATAAATGTTGAAATGCAAATTTACTCATTATGCTCTCACAAATACTCTTCAACTTTAAATTCGAATACAAAAGATAAGAGAGAATTATCTGAACAAAAATTATTTCTGAGGCTGCCAAATTTAATAGTTAAGATCGAGATTTAATTTATTGAGGAAGATACAGGTTTGATAATCTCTTATTACTTCCAATTGTTCTCATGGTTTTTCGAGTTTTTTTACTTTATTTGACAAAGACTTCGTAATCATTGCTGACTCAATATGATACAAAATCTTAAAATTGCATAATTTTGTAAATTATTTCCGTTCGAAACTAAAGTTTTAATTAAATTAACATTTTCACGCATACAGGGACCATTTGTGCACATGGGTGCCATTGTGGCAACTGTTTTGAGCAAGATAAGCACTACTTGCAAATATACTGCTTTTTTTTCCAATGAAGGTCGAGAAATGGAAATGCTTTCTTCCGGTTGTGCTGTTGGTATTGCGTGCACATTTTCAGCACCTGTTGGAGGTAGTTCTATCATTTGCACTCCAGTTTTCTTCGTACCATTTTTATTTTTTTAAAGCAAGCGCAAAATTTACATGCAATTGTATGGTGACAAATGCATGATTTGTTAAGTTTCCATCGTTACAAGTGAGTAAGAATACTTTTGCAGCTGTGCTATATGCGATTGAATCCACATCCAAATATTTTGCTGTTAAAAATTACTGGCGTAGTTTTCTAGCTGCAACATGGAGTGCTATTGTTTTTCGATTTGCGAATTTTTTCATGACAGAAAAATCTGGTTAAATTTACAGCATATTTTAAAATTATTAGCAGCAGTTCTAAAGAAGTATTGCTTACAGTAAATTTATCACTTACAGAGATAGACTTCATTAATAAATTGGTTTTAGATAAATTCATATTCCAGGAACTATTACAGCTTTTTATCAGACGACCATTCCTACTGAGTCATTCTTGATTGAAGAATTACCGATATTCGCTTTACTGGGGTATGTTGGTAAAGTCAGCAGTTTCCTTATTTTTTATAGAACACACTTTTCTTAACAATTAAGATACCTACCGCGATTTCTGCAAGATGGGGAAACTTTTAATAGATTTGTTGACTTTATTAGAGTAAATATTTCATTTAGTGTCATGAAGTATTTTATTTTAGATTACTTGGTGGAATATTTGCAGCGCTTTTCATTTTCACTCATAAGAGGATAATTTTATTCCGACAAACAAATCACGTTTATCAAATGGTTTTCCGAAAGAAGTGTTTAGAATTTTAATCTCCTTATACTTTTTTCTTATTTTCTGAAGAGGAAAGATCTCTGTCATTCTACTTCTAATTCTGTCAGCATCTTCTTAATTGTCATGATCTTGTCTGCTTTTTACTTTTACAGTGATTGCTGATTCTTTATCATTTATTTCTTCGGTAACTTTTTTATTGCAGCTTTTTTGCATTCACAATACTAATGGCACTAGTCGTTGGCATACTCACTTATCCTGAAGGTTTTGGACGTTACATCGCTGGACAGGTAGACTTCTACTTCCGTGTCATAATTCTTTTAGACTAACTGTTTCTCTTAAATTATTAACAAACAATGACAGCAGTTGTTTATTGCATTTTTCTAGCGTGAGATTGGCTATCTCCGTAATTTGAACCTCACTTTTATGATTTGAGAATGATATCCCTTTACCCATAAAAAAATCAGCTCAAACTTCATTTTCATTTCTTTCTCACGCACTTCTGTCCATAATTTCATTACGGATAGATAGGTCTATACGATAAATACGTATCGCATTATACACTTTAAATGTAATATCAGTAAGAAAAATGGCTGTAATTTTACACTTTGAATAAAATTTCAGAAACTTAAAATGATTTCTTGGTAGTAATCAGTCAGTTCACTTATGTTTAGCATACAAAGATCATGAAATATTTCTATCTTATCTTAGTCGCTGCAGTGTAGTTCAGTGAATGAATTTCTCATTCAGAAACATGATTGCGATTTTGCTGTACTATTCTACTGCTCAATTCAATTTTCAGTTGACGTTTCGTGAAACGATGGCAGATTTTTTTAGCAGTTGTACAATGCATATTACAAATTTCAGTAGACAACCCTGTAGTGAAAAACTTCTTCAGCATTGGATTGGCAGTGGCACATCAGAAGCACACATTAATATATTTCTCTCTCTGACATGTTACTTAATCACCTATGTAAATCTTGTAATGATCATTAGGAATAATTAGCATCTTGGTAATCTTGTATTTAAAACATACTAATTGACGAACGATAATAGAAATTTTCAGTTCTTTCTCGTCTCTATTTGCATATCAATAAATGTACCAGCAGGAGTTTTCGTACCCTCTTTTATAATTGGAGCTGCTGGTGGTCGTCTAGCAGGTGAAGTGATGGCACTATTTTTTCCGGAAGGCATCCGTGGACCTGCTGGACCACCTATTTTCCCCGGTCTTTATGCAGTTGTTGGTGATTTTATTTTTTACCTACATTAATTTAATGTTCGCACAAATTTAATTTTCCTCATAATACTTTGATATGTTATAAAGTTGACTGTCCTTCAGCAAAAATGATTATAATGTGCATAAAATTTTAGATGAATACTTAAAAAAGAAGTCTTAATCCAGGTGCAGCAGCTTATACAGGCGCAGTAACACATACACTCTCTGTAGCAGTAATTTTATGTGAACTCACTGGTCAGCTCACTCCAATACTGCCGGTTTTGGTATGTTCGAAACTTTTTTTTCAGTTTGATTTCTTTTTTGCATACCACAGTATCAGAGTTTAATGCATCGCATAGTGAAGTTTAAGTGATTCAAAAAAGCATTTAGATTAGAACTTTGATTTATACTTTGATAACTGCGGTCAAATTAAGAGAAAATCGTAAGATATGCTAAAAGAAGAGATTATTAGCTACAGTCAATTAACAAGAAGTCAAGATTAAATTAATGCCTGAAATTTATAAGCGTTCTTATTTCATTCGAATGCATCTTTAGAGATTCTGCCTTGAAAAATATATGAACAGGCGTGCAAAACGTCTGGCAAACTCGTTAGCAGCAATGAACATGATAAAAAACAGTCTTCTTCTTTTTCTTGATTGTATATAAGAACAAAGAGAACTGCTAGCTTGAGCGTTAGGGTTGAAAGAATTAATAGTCCCAATTTTAAGGTTACAGTGGTGTGACAGCATCGCAACCTTAAAATTTTAGATATATATTTAGATGTAATAGAAACCAGTTGCTAGAGTTCTATGTTACACAAACTTTCAGTACGAAGTTGATGTAATGTTTGTTTGAGTCTTTTCCAAACAGAATAAATGATAAAGGATTTGGCAAGGCTATTTTCTTACAAAAATTGCCATGTTGCAGATAGCTATGTTAGTTGGTAATGCAGTTTGCAAATTTCTGCAGCCTTCCATTTATGAAAGCATCATTCGAATCAAAAAATACCCATATTTACCGGATTTACCACCTTCGCGCATTAGGTTATTCTACTTCTTACATAAGTGAACCTTAAGTAGAAACAACCAAAAATGTGGAAAATTCATTTTATTAATAAAAGGACAGCTGGCAACCACCTGGAAAAGGTTCTTTAATTACCGTTTGTCGTTGAGTTTTCTACCTGAAATGCTGTCTACTGCAACACCATTATTAGATGATTAGCAAGTCATTTTCTATTTGTGTACATCTTAATGCGAGGTTGTAAAATAGTTTCACAGTTTTCCTTATACATTTCGACAGCAGAGTAAATTTCTGCATTTTGACAGAACTGTTACTAGCATGCTAAATGAAACGATTGAAACTGTTAAAATGTTATAACTGTTTACTTTGTTTATGTGCCTCTGGAACGAAGAACTTGTAATCAATTCATGGATTTTATATAAAACAGAAATCTGATAGCATTCTAGTGTTCATACAATAAAGGTCGAAGAAATTATGGTGCAGAATGTTGTTTATATAACGAAATTTACAACCTACAGAGAACTTTTGGAGTTACTGTGTCTTGCGCCAACACTCAGAAGTTTCCCTGTTGTGACAGATCAAAGTAAGTCTACTGTTCTAGAAGCATATAAAAGATGAAATTCCTACGTTATTTCTACAAAATGTGTTATATTTTCCACGTGCTGTATATAAACTACACAAACATTTTAGTCTTGAAAAAATGAGTATATATTAATAAAGTTATGGCAAATTTTTATGTATTCTAGAATCTATCGTTTACTACATACCAATTACTGAAATTTTACATGAGTAAACTAGCAGAGTAAACAATACCAATTCTGTGAATAACAACTGAAGGCGGCAATACCATTTGTTAATTTTAGAATGTAAGATATTGCTCGGATCAGTTGCAAAAAAACACTTGGTTGCAATGATCAAAAGGGATTTAATAGATGTGGATCATGTTTCTAGCAGACAAATACCTAAAGAATTCTATAACAATATTAAAAAGTAAGCAGGTATTTTCTCATCGTGTATTAGAAGCCTCAATAAAAAGCACATACACTGTTAAAGATCTATGCGATTATCCGAACAACAAAGAAGTCCTAAGAAAGATGAGAATGAGGAAGGAGCGTTGGCAATGAGTTATATGGAAAATTTTCCCAATGAAAGCGCAATTCCTGGTAATACTTTGCGATCTATATCATCTCTTCATCTACTCAGTGGTAGGAAATTTGTATTCCCAGTTTCCCGCCCTTCGTAAATATTATTTAAAGACATAATTACCAGTAGTAATTGCACATTGTGAAACTACAAAATTCAACTTTTTCATCAATAAATTTTAAAGTCTAATGAAATTATTGTACATGATTAGTGGCTATGAGAAAAAAAAATCATTGCAAATGAATGATGTAAAAAGTTAGGAGTTAAGAGGGTTATTTAGAAAATTCTTGAAATGTTTACAGTTTAGAAAAAGACCTCTATAAGTAAATAATACAAGCCTTGTCTAACCAAATTCAATCATCACCCCCTCATTTCTTGTATGTACAGAATGATTTATGAATGTATAATAAAGAGCGTAAACTGATTCATTCAACATAGAGAATTTCAAAAAGAAATTGCAGATTAGATATTCAGGCGGGGAGATCAAATTGTAGGCTGTTTACACACCTTCATATCGGTTCCATCTAAATCTATCTGATGCAGGATAAGAAGAAATTAATTAGCGACAACTGAATTAGAATTGAGGGGCTACGGTCATTTACTTAACAACTCATTTCAAAATTTCTGAATTTATGAGACATTTTATTTTGCTTTTGTTGATTATATATGTGATCACCTGTCGATCAAAGTGTTCAGCAAGATTATTATCAACTAATATTCTCAATAAATTGAAATGGTTTTTCGCTGTGACAGACTTTGTTGATTTATTATTAATATAGATTCCTTCCGTAAGTCTTCATGTTACTGCGTTAAATTGAATGGTACTTGCAGATGCTTCACTGACAACGATGTTGAAGGAATCGACCAGCAATAAATTGCTGAAGGAGAGGTTGATAGATGAGGAGAGTTTACTCGATCGAGTGATAGATTTTGATCAAGTGGTCATTGATTCTGCTCCTTTCCAGCTCGTTCTTGGCTCATCATTGTATAAAGTAGGCAAGACAGTTTGAGGTTCTCAATGATTTATTGTACTTACCATGCCTATATTTTACTAGTTCTTGCTGCGGCCTGTATAGCAGTTAGTTATTGCATGCTCGACTCATTTCACGTTTCATCAAACAATTATGGGTGAAAAGCTCCATACTGAACTATGTCAACCACAACATATCGAAAATAGAGGTAGACGAAAGCTAGCAGTGAAGTGAATGAAAAATAGTGAAAAAAAGTTTTTGGCTAAATGATAAACTATGTCAGGTGCATACGTTGTTTTCGTTACTGGCGCTATCTCACGCTTATGTTACCGATCGAGGTCGTTTGGTAGGTGTCATCGCATTAAAAGAAGTAATTCTTTTACTTTTTTAAGTCATCATCACTTAACTATAATATGCGACATTGAATTCTGTTGCACTGAAAGTATAGAGATGTTATTGACTTGTTTTCAATATGAGAATTTTTTAGTGGTCATTCTCATCCTTACCTTCCTCTACTTTTAGTTTTTTGCGTGAAGCCAGTCTAGATTTTTCCCAAAAAGCATAAAATCAAAAGAGACTTTATAAAAAAAGTCATTTGAATCGAAACATCATTGCCTATGAATTTGAACTCGAAACATGATCGCCTATGAATATGCTTACTAATCAGGCCTGTGTAATATTTTATAATGATGAAGCTATCACTGTAACGTCAGATTGAGTCGGATTCGTGCATCATCATTATTTCCATTCAAAACTGTGTCATGAGTTTCGAGAGCTTTTCTCATTTTGAACGTCGTTAATTCTTTGCAACACTTTTTTTAGACTTGATAGCATTACAATTTTATCATACTAAGGGAAAAATCCTAGCAGATTCAATTTTCAGCTGCGTAATGCTTTGGTTGACATATGCGTTCGTGATGCAACGCCTGTTAAAACAAAACGGAATCTAAATTAAAATGTGTTATTGATAGACTCATCAAATATAAAGATTTCGATAAGTCATTTATAGACGATCTGTTAGAGACTGAAACAGTGTCGATTTCCGTTGTGCAATTTTATTGTTTTCTATGACGTTAAGCTGCATATGTGTTCTGTGAAACAGTAAAGTTCCTGTACTTTGTCATTTAATTATGTATTACATTAGTGAAGTTTCCAAAAATATTACTTTGTTATGGGTTAGTTTTCTAATTTAATAACTTTTTCAGTCATTTATTTTTTTCATTTAATTGACTGTAGAAAGGCTAATCAATTCTTCTTCAGAGTCTCTTTGTGAACTCACTGGGCTTCAATTCTACTTGATATTTTTAGTTCTTACAACACTCAGCAAAAAGTGATGCAACAGAATTGAGGAATATAAAGTAAAACAACACGATAACTTATTCATAGATAGTAGAATAACTTTCCTACTAGCTAATAATTTATCATTATTAAGAAGCATAGACAAATATGCTCTACTCTTCTAATAATCGCTGTTTTTATTAGTACGTATTTCAGAGACGTGTCAAGTGTTTTGAGTACAAATGTAATCTCTAATGAGTGAAGAAGTGAGTTAAATAAAGAATCTTCATATTTTCCTATTTCTCTTACATTGGCTAAGAACTGAAGTGAAATTCTTAGAAAGAAGTCGCATAAATTTGCTGTTTCCTTACCAAATTACATTTATTCAATTTTTTGCAGTAATTTTTTCATATTCAAATTCTAAATTGCATAAACTTCTCGATCCCTTATTTCATATCAAACTGAACATGCTTTGCCATCTTAACAATGCATAAAACCGTGAAACATCATAAATGCAATTGTGACTGTAATGATATTGCAAGTTAACAAATGACAAGGAAAAAAAGAAATTTAAAAATTTATCATAACGGACTTCAAAAGGTAATTTTAAATGAGAGCCGACTTGAGAAAAAAAAACCATAGCAACAAATGAATGAAACAGTAAACAGTATTCATTTCTGGATATCGATGCAATAGTCGATCATAATGGCAAAGTAAGCTAAATTTTCACATATCATTAGTAGAGAATGGACCGGTGTGAAAATGCATATGCATGCGGAAATGAAAATAAATTTATACTATCAAGTTACTTTTAACTTAATTTTTAATTTACAAATGAGCTTTACAACGTCGGTGGGTGTTGGTAATAATAAGATTTTTGGAAGATTAAAAATAACACTCCATTTTTCTATAACTACCAAATGTAATGCTTCAATAACAAACCATATCGCGATAAAATGCCAACTTTGAATGAAAGTCAGACTACCTGTTTTCAGCTGAAAGTTGATAAACAAAATTTTGGACGACAGATAATAATAAATTAAAGTTACTGAAATATTTTATCACTTTTGTCTCAAAAATTGTGGAAAAAAAGTATTGCATAATATAGCGAACGATAGGAAAGCATACATTACTGAGCCACATGAAATGTCAGATCTTGAAATATTCATAAATCTTCCACAGCAGTGGAATGTAAGTGCACTGAGACGTTTGACTTTGCTAGCAGGAAAGAGTGGTAGTAGATAGCAGGGCGGTACAAATCGTTCACCCAAAATTTCTTTCACTGACATTCCGGTTGCGATGACTGAGCAAATTACTGTTACACCTGTAAGTTAAATGTGCAATATTTACTAGTAAACATTCCAGATAATTCTGATAAGATATACGAACTGAGTGATAATACAAAATAATTGGCTTTTCAATAGTATACATACCATTTATTATGGCTAACACTATCAGTGTCATTTTCGGTGTTTTTCGCAACACTCTGAAAATTTGGTGACTGATTTAGTCATAAATATAACATTTTTTTCTATATATTTAATCTTAAACGAGAATTAGTGCGATGAAGAGTTTGATATATGCATCAATTTCTGTAAGTAAAGTACACTGCAAAATATCTGCTCTCCAGTATATTAAAAAAACAGAAACGTAATGCTAACTGAGAAAGTGGTGGGATAATCCACGTATTTGTTTCCGCATCATAAGTAGCGCTTTTAATATGAAGATTAAATAAAGTTGGTAGAATCACGCAAGTGCAAGGCACTGTTGTACTTCCAAATAAATTCATCACAGCGCCAAAATTCGGAAGTGTTAAGCCAACAAAAAGTGCGACAAGCATTAAACTTGTGCGAGTTGCTACTCGTTTAAAGCAAAACTCTGAAGGAAATTGCAGCAATATTTATGTTTGCAATATGCAATTGACTTATACTATGAGCTTCCTTTGATTACAAGCAGCAGCCTTGTAAATGGAATTTGGAGGAAGCTCTCTATCTCATTATGCCATTTTTCATTCATTTCTGCTCATTTTAAAGAATGTGTTAAGACAGCGTAAACTCACTGTGTGGAACACTGAAAGTATCTTCCAACTGCAAATTAACTGGGTTGATGGCGATAATAATAGTCAGAATACAAAGTAGCGCAAGTAACATGTCAGCAGAGTAGCGAATCCAAACTATTTGTATGGAGTTGATTACGGAATCAACCATACTGTTGCCATAAACCATAAATGTGTAGAATGACATAGGTATATAAAGTATTGCGACGACTAAAATGTAGAATGTACTCAGTACCACTCTTGAATTTAAATAAATTTTATTAAAAAATCACTGAAATAGAAAATATGTTATACCACATTTATAGATATGAATTAGTAGGCTAATTTTTTTTCTCAAAATCGCCAATATTTAGAATTTTCTAATCATAATTGTCAAGATCGAAATCAAATGAAAGCAAATAAAAAACCAACGGAGAAATCCCACAATAACTGATTTTTTGAAATGTTTTGGATGGCGCATATCATTTTGCACTGTTGGAAAAATTTGGTGTCCATTATAAGCGAACAAAAATATGCTTAAGCCTAATAAAGCTTTCATGGAGATGTTTGGATAGTAAGCTTCTCGAAAACAGTATGGAGTATCCAAAACTGCTCCGACAAGTATCAAAAGGACACATGCGACGGTGAATACGACACCGAGAACTACTGTCCACCTAAAAATCATTATGAGGTCATTTACATAACTCTAAGCTTTTACAGATTAAACAAATTTCAGGAGCTGATTCTAACATTCAAAATTTATTTATTCCATCAATACAAAACTTTGAAAAACATGTGTATTCTTTTGTCAAATATAACAAAATTTGGAAATGGGAAAGGTCAGAAGACTTCAGCTATGCCATAAATTAAATGAATGCTAAATATCATTCAGCTTGACATTACAACAGTAATACTTCTTAAAATAATCCGGAATTAATAATGTGAGCAAAAACAATTACCAGTAATCAGATGGTGATTTGAGAAATGTTGCAGGCAAAACTGATGCAGTTACAACAATTGGTAACCAACAAAAGCCGACTTTTAGATCAAAGTATGCCATGAAATTTTGAAATATTTTAGAGGAGAGAAGTATATATACCACCGTAGCACCAAATAATGTTGAATGTACAGTTATCTTGGTGACAACTCTGAAAACGAAAATAAACCAAAATTTTGATTACAAGAGCATTTTATCAAATAGAAAAAGCATTATCTAATAAAACGTCACCGAAATTTAAAAAAAAAAGTTATTAGCCAAAAATAATGCTAAAAAAACAGTTCTAACTTTTACTTAGCTCACTTAGACAGTAATTTAAAGATTGTTTTTGTCATCAACTGTTTCTCAATAATCTTTCTTCTAAAATATTTCAAGACATAATTGACAGAATAAAAAATCAAACTTTTTTAAGCTTCTCATCTTTATAAACTTAGTATTAATTACTGAAGTGGTAAAATAATAAGAGTGAGTGAAAAAAATTGCCAACAAACACTGCTGTGTCATTCATGCATCGCCTAGCCATTTCCGAATATGGTGTCCTGCAGTGCTTTTTATACTCAGGCCATCGTTTCCTCATTATCTCCCACGTATCAGCAAGTAACCAACCAGTTATCGTAAAAATTACACATATTAAAATTATAAAGATGGCACCTACTGTAAAACCTGGAAAAACTTTTTTTTAATTAATCAGCTAAACAAAATTATCTTGACAAGTGTTCATTATTTACTGTAAAAAGCAACTAAAAAAATTTTAGTCTGGCAGAATAATCAATCCTTTTCAATTTCTTCGAGCATTTTTAAAATTGGCTTGTTTATATATGAAAGATTCTACTAATAAATTTAGTTGATATCAATAATATGACTCAGTTTTTTATTGTTTTTGTTACTGAAGAGATCTGGAAGGCTTGCAACACCTGTGTCACTGAATGAAACAGGCATTGCAACAATGCCACCACCAATTAGATCTCCCACTATGAACAAAGAAGCCATAAACCAGTGAATTCCTCTCGGATTTTTAAGTGATTCTTCTTCAGTGCCGGTCTTTAATACAAAGATATACTTGTTCTTGAGTGAATCCGAAAGTTAAAAAAGAAAAGAATCAGTATGGTACTATATGGATAAATGACGTTTGCCAAATAGAAATAACAGCTGAGATTTTTTTGCCATGTAATCAAACAAAATTTCATGACATAAGGACTTTTGTTACCAAAACTGTGGTACTTTGATCATCAGTTTACATACAGAAGTTCTGCTACAAAATGGAAGGATTTAAACTGAGACACCTTATCATATTAAATCTTTTTACTACATTCGCAGTGTATAATTGAAACTGTTAATCAATCACAAAATAAGAATTTTCTTAATTTTTTAATAATTACATGAAGAAAATTGCTTGTTTACCTCAAAATTTGTCTTTGAAGTTTCTTTCTGAGTTGCTGCTGACTGATACTAAAAATTGTTTGATTTCAAAAAATTAAAATAAAGGTTAAGTTAGACGAATAAGCTCAACTCTATATTTTTAGTCACCTTACAGCAATAATAGTGATTCTCATATGTTAGAAATGATTCTCGTTTTAGAAAAGCTCAAGAAGTAGTGAATATTTATTTTACTAGTTACTTTTGAAGAGCTAGAAATATGCTTCAAGTCCGATTTTTGGGAGTTGCTTTCCTGTTGAGACATTCTAAAAATAACAATAAAATCATAAATACTCATTAATTCAAAGTAAATCTGCCAGTAATAAATATGAACTGATATTAACAGCATAACATATTTCACTTCTTAGGAGTAATCCTTGTTCCGAGAACTCTCATTTTTCAGTATCTGTATAGCGGATAAAAAACAGAAAGCCAATGTTAATGCTTAATTTTTTGCAATTTGAAAAAAGTGTATTTTTTTACGTTTTTTGTTAAGTATCAGTAATTCTAAGGTTTCATTTTGCAAGCACAATTAAGTTATTGTGATTTAGCTCAGAGTATTTTCAAGCTTTGATTTAAAAAAAAACGACCTATTAAAAGTATGCAAATTGCTGATAAATCTTGCAAGTCCTAAAAAAGAACCGACCAGCAAAAATACTGAAGGCAGGTGTAATCCATCTCTTTCCAAAATGATCATTTTATTAATGTTATTTTCAATTTTTTTCATGTTTAATTTAAATAAGGACTGAAAGTTTTGCATTGCATTGTAATTTTTATTTATGTTTCAAGCAGTCTGTAAATTAAACAACACAATCAAGTATTTTCTTTGCAAAGTTATGGTGATGTTGGATCATTTTGCAAAACTGCGCATGTCAGTTTGTCTTTTTCAAAGTAAATATGGTCTTTTAATCTGAATATAACAAATCTATAAGATCTAATACTGTTTTTCAATGTCCACATGCTATTTTATACCTGGCTTTCCACGTTATAAAATAAATAAGTGCCATTAACAGACTGCTAGAGTTAGAAAGTATTTATACGTCGATGAAATGGTAAAACTTTGCAATATTTAAAACTTGTTGAAGACAACTGTAAGTGATCATAGAATTTGTTTAAGAAACCATTTTTGTTAACTTAAACTCTGTCGTGATGAATCTTTGCTTTTAAAATTTTGTTTCACTCAGTAAGAAACAATATTGATGATAAAGCAAAGATGAATATTTTTACCACCGAATAATAATTGTGAGATAAATCAGTATTCTTATGCATATTGTCACAGTTAATGATCAGAAAAATTACAAATGCATTCTTTTTGAGATGGAATTTTGTAGTTGAGTACGTATAAAATTATTATTGGTAATATCACTGATTGTTTTATCTCAATCAAAAAATATATATAGAATTTCAGTTCTCAACAATTCTCCATATCTGTTTCTTAATCTCGAATTTTCTCAAAATTATCTATACAAATAATATATTTCTAAAATAAACATCAAATGGTATTATCGCATGCCAATATATAGGCGAGCCTAAAAAAACAAAGTTTTCTAAACATGCTAGTTTTCACTTCTGTTCACGCAAAATAGTCGCAGATATAATACAATAGTTCTGTTTGTGGAGGTAACAATATTTTGGTAATAACATTACCTGTAATAATAAAGTTCTATTTGCAGAGGAAAACAAGAAATCAAAATGATATCAGTTGTAATTTTTGAAGCATGAATTCAGAAACCGCATATATCAACGATAATCCATATAGTTATTTCTGAAACTTAGCGACATTGAAGGTAACAATATTTTGGTAATAATATTATCTGTGATAAATTCATCCAAATTTGAGTGCAATTAAATCAACCAAAAAATAATTTTTCAAACATGTAAAAAACAAAATAAAATAAAGTACCAAAGATCGAGAGGACT